CGATTGGCGTTCCAAATCTGTAATCTGCCGATCCAAACTCTCAATAATTCTGGCTGGTTTCAAAATGCTCAATGGAGTATTCGTCGCAGGAAGCACCGGAGCGATGGCTAAATGAGTCATCTCGTAGCATGCGAAAAACAGCATGACAACCGGATCACCTTGAGTGAGGCGTTGGAAGGCGCTGGGTATCCGATACATCCAGTTCCTGATGGGATAGAGGGCTTGCAATTGATACTCGACAGGAGTATTCGTGACTGGGCGCATGGCTAAGCTGGAGACATAACTTGAAAGTTCTCGCATGCTTCGCTTTAACTCCGCATCGACTTGGAAGCTTTGTAGTCTTTTGAGAATTGTCCTCAAGACCTCGCTGGCTCGCATCAAGGGACGGTCTGGAATCCTGAACTCGAAATCATCCAGGGAAGGAGGATCTTCTGATGATGCAAGCAGTGATCGCAAGTCAGAATGGTGCTCATTGGCATCCATAAACTCAAGCACAGTTTTGACACCTTGCATAGTGTGCGAGTACTCGTCACTCGAGGGAGCTTGCCAGGAAAGTACGAGTGAAGCAGCCAACACTCCGACAAGATTCTGAGCATCTGTGGTCTCCAGGTTTTGTCGCAGACCGCGGATCGCTAGGTATCTATACTCAAAACTAGCATGCGCCATATTGGTGGTCTTTGTTAAAGATGCTAGATGAGAAGCAGACAAAGCGCAGATAGCATGTCGGACAAAGTCTTTTTGTATAGCTATTTTGAAGGTNNCCTAGCACAATCACGTCAGAGGCAATACACAAAGCAGTACAATATTCGTTGTTCCAGACTCATGTAACACNNAATTCCCCCCGAACACGAGTTGTTGCGTCTTGCTTTGTTGGAGGTCCACGATCAAGCAGGAAAGATGGTTGAACAGGTATTCATCGCGATCGAGCCAGGTAGGATGGTCGCTTAACGAGGGCTGAATGGCTTGGTGTGTCATACTCGTGTCAACCCCATTCGAGTATCCACAGGATAGATTCAGGCGGCTGCAGTTGAGGCATTGGGGCTTGTGTTCGTCGCACCGCACCTGCCGCCTCTTGCAGGTTGAACAACCCGTCTTGCTCTTGACATGCGGGCGACGTCTCTTCTTGTCTGTCATCGACACCATATGTGATGGCATCTCGATAATGTTGTCCAGAAAAGATATGTTTTGGAGAAGACAGGACGGTGAAGTAGGCATACTCCTGCCCTAGGTCTAGGCTGAGACTTCCGACTGCCGTCAGAATTGGTGTCGCAATCCCAAACAGCATCGGCGTCATCCACTACACGACTCTCACCACCTTGATTGCTCGAACGTTCGTTCTTTGAACCAAACATCGTTGGTCTTATCATCCGAATATAAGTCTCATATTGCAAGTCGCGATAATATCGACCTTATCGAGGTGTGAGAGCTGGGTTGACGCGTCCAGGGCGTCTCCCTGGATCAGCGTCCAACGCTCTTCATATTCGATCGTATTGTCAACGCTCTCAGCTGGGCATGCCAATGCAGGCTGTACATTCGGGCCCCCCTGCGTGCAGGGGGTACGTCAAGTCGATGCTTCGACAATAAAGGCCGGGTCTTCGTGGCAGACTCCAAGCACTGGCTTGGTATAACAACGAGACTTTCGAGAGCAAGACTTCTGGCACCAACGATACTGCAAAGTCTCATCTAACTTCGGATAACACAGTGTTTCAAGTCATGCGATGAGATCATCGGTAGGTATACGAAGTTGTCATCGAGTGTTTCGAAAGAGATGATACTCATGGATGTTGCCCGAGATGGTGAGTCCGGTGAATGAGGAAAATTGCTACCTATACCACAATCCAGACACTCATGCTTGCGTCACCATATACTCTGCATGGTGTACAAGCGCCAAAGGAGTTGCAGAAGGAACCGGGGTGTTATCTGCTGTGTTCCTGCGAGCCAATCTATTTCTGCAACACTCATTGGACCCCTCACCAAGCCTCAGCAGAAGTCTTAACGGTTTTAGTTCAGCCAAATGCGCCAACTCGACAAGAAATGCCGCGCCGCATGGCAGTGGCAGTATCGTACCAGGGGCATGAGCTGGGCAACATGTTGACCCGTACCTGGATAAAAAAATTTCATGTTTCCATCCTTTCTTTCCCTCAGTCATCATACAAGCTCCTTACTATTCCTTGAAACTCCCTCAGAACTGACACTAGGAAATCGTCTGGCGAAAGCGTTACTCTTGAGCTTACGACCAAGGTTCAGCTCCGCATTTTGACCCCGGACCCCATTGTGAACGCCATCCGTGCACCTGGCACCATCCTGGTAAATATATTGCTTCTAGTCGTTGTGTCTCTGGGAGCGCCCTCCTTCTCGACCACTATTCACGTTGGCGCTGTGCCGGAAGCTGGACGTCTTTAAGGAGGAGACCTATACAACCCACATTGTTCAATCGGGTGAACGACAGTGTAATGTCTCCGCCTAATCGACCGCCATCGTCACGCCGCTTGACACGACCAGAGTCGTCCTACTTGGACGAAGAACGACAGAGCGAACAAGCTGGGCGTTTGGCGATCAGTCTAAACGCACAGCTCTCAGCAGCTTCTCTACGACCACAACGCTCACGAGGGCCAAGCGAAAAGACTAGTAGCGAAGACCTACCTCGACAACACTCTTCCACTCCTTCCACTGTCCATCGTAATACTCAATCGAGCACATCCGATCAGCCGTCAAGAGATGGATCTGTCGGGTCGTTGCACAATATACGTACAAGAGACGCGAGTGCTGCCGGAATTGCGATAGGGCAGGGGCTACCACCTCCACCACCAATTCCTGCTTCGCGTCACAGCTCACGACCGTACAGCATGAGGGACGTCAGTTCTTCTACCAACCTCTCAAGGATGGCTACTCCCAGATCTGTCAGAGATCTTGGGCGCGACTTTGATCGATACTATAACCCCTTCGAAACACCCAATCAGTCAACAACTGATTTGACCGCTTTGCTGCCCCGTCGCAATTCCATGGACAGTAATCGGCATGAATCTGGACCTTGTGTACCCATGTCAAGACGAGACTCGAACCCCTTCGCTGATGAAAGCCACCCTCCAAACCATCTGGCAATAACTTCCTCGACAGCGGCCACTTCCGGAGAGGTTGCTTTGGACGAAAGAGATATTGGCGTGTCTTTCTTCCCATATCTTGACGATAGACTTGGTGCTCCAGGTACAGAAGACCAAGGCTACACATTCCCCCTGTACTGGCACGAGAAAGAATGGGACGATGACATGCATTTACCGATGGTGGACGATGATGTGAAACTCAAACCTACGTTACGAGAACGCTTTTCACGAAAGAATGTACTGGACACACTAGGTCTGGTATTCATGATAGTCGGGCTTTTGTGCGTTTTCATCATGCTGCCTGTGCTCAGCTGGTCAGGCATAAACATCATCGGATACAACGACACACCACTGGACCAGATGTGGGGATATGATGACAATGAACCAACTTGGGCAACAGTCAACGCGACTAGGAAGTATCCACTGCTCAAAAACATGCGTAGAGGTCTCATCGATCCAGACACACCCAAAACAGAAAGAACGAGAGTCGGCGTCAATGGCGACAAACTCAACCTAGTCTTCAGTGATGAGTTCAACGACGTCAATAGGACTTTCTACCCTGGCGATGATCCATATTGGTATGCACCAGACTTTTGGTACGGGGCCACTAGAGACTTGGAGTGGTATGATCCAGATGCCGTGACCACTTGGGATGGAGCGTTACATCTTCAACTCGACGCGTTCGGAAATCATGGATTACAATTTCGCAGTGGCATGCTGAACTCATGGAATCAACTCTGCTTCAAGGGTGGAATGATGGAAGTTAGCGTATCCTTGCCAGGCCCTGCTGGTGTTCATGCTCTTTGGCCCGGTGTATGGAGCTTGGGAAACCTTGGGAAGCCGGGATATCTGGCCACTACGGAAGGGACATGGCCTTATACGTACGACGACTGCGATGCGGGTATTACGCCTAATCAATCCGACAGCAGCGGCATGAACAAGTTGCCAGGACAGAAGCTAGCCAGTTGTGTCTGCCCAGGACAAGATCACCCTACACCAGGTAAGGGACGTGGAGCACCAGAAATCGACGTGATTGAAGTCTCGGCCGACTACTCCGGCCTCGGTCTTGGTGTAGCAACGCAGAGTTATCAGATAGCTCCCTTTGACACGTGGTGGTATCCCAACGTCGATTTCATGGAGATTCCAGATTACAGTCTTTCTTCACTCAATACATGGACGGGAGGACCGTTTCAACAAGCAGTGTCCACCACTACCATGCTAAATAACGGCTGGTACGACGGAGAGGCATATCAACGCTATGCTTTCGAGTATGTTCCTGGAAATACATCAGACAGCTTCATCGCGTGGACAGTTGCTGGAGCGGAGATGATGAAGTTTGATGCCAGAGCCATCGGACCCAATGGAAACGTGGGTCAAAGGATTATCAGTGAGGAGGTATGTTGTTTCGCTGCTGAGTTCCGGAATACAACTGACATGTGTGTTCCCAGNCCCATGTCGATGATTCTCAACCTAGGCATCTCGGAAAACTGGGTAGCGATCAACTGGTCNGCCGTGTCGTTTCCAGCAATCATGCGCATCGACTATGTAAGGATTTTCCAAAAGGAAGGAGAAGAGAGCGTGACGTGCGATCCCCCTGGGTGGGAGACCACAGAGTATATCAAGAAGCATGCAGGGGCATATACTAATCCTAATTACACGGTGAGTCCAGACGACATGTGCAGGATTGTGAGTAATATACTGATTGGTGAATGGACANNGACTTGGGCAGATAGTGGGTATGAATGGCCGCGGAACTCGTTAATGCATGGATGTTGAGGAAAGACGGTAATGTGTATTATAAGGCCTCAGTCAAACAGCAGAGTAGCAACGTGTAAGATGAGCAGAGTAGGCGCATGCTTGACGGTGTAGCAAGGGCAGTGTCCTGGTGTGATTGTGTTCTCAATCTTCATCGACAAGCTCCTCGCCGTACATGTGGTCTTCCATGTCCTCGTCCTTGGATGCAGCGCCCTCGGTAGCAGCCTTGTCGTCGTCCATCTTGTTTGTCAAGAATTGATTAATGTCGTCTTGCAGTTGGGCGACCTTTTCGCGTAGATGCCCGAGGTATTGCGACTTTTCCGAGGGCGAGGCTTGTTGGGTGGGGGTGGATTTGAGCGGGGAAGAAAAGGTGTTGGTCGCCGTGGGCGAAGTGTAGACGGCCGTCAAGTGGGCCGGGGCCGACATTGTGACTGGGATGGAAGCGTCGTGGTTGATGCGGTTGACGTGGTGCAGTGGCAGAACGAGGCTTGTTCTGACAGGAGGATTAAAGTTATTTTTGGGCGTGAACTCAGCGAGGGATGGGCTTGGACGATGACGCTCCCAAACTTTGACTCTCCGCATTCCACAAAGGGACTTTGCTATCATCTTCAACAAAGATGGACGATACAGCATGAACAACGACCAACAGCAACAACACGACCCTCCGCTGCGGCCTCGACCGTCGCAGGTCGCCCCTTCATCGCCTCCACCGTTGTGGGCGCATAGGAGCGCCTCGAGCATGTCGGCTGCCCCCAATCACTCCACAACCAAACAACTGCCTCCCGCCTCTGCTCCTTACGCTTCACGGCCCAGCACCGCCCATGCCACCATAGCGCCGCCCTCTGCCCTCGCCAACTTCTCTCGTCCTCAGCCGCGCCAGTCCATCGATGCTCCTGCCCCTCCATCCATCCATCCCCGCCGACGACAGCATTCGCAAGGCTTCTTTGAGCCCTCGTTACCGCATACTTCGCACATGCCCGCTTCCCACATCGCTGCTCAAGCCGCCATGCACCATATGCACTCGCAGAATCAGGATCGCAAACGACCCAATCCTCCCTTGCAGCCCATCAACATCGCTGCCAGTCGCGCCGACCGTCGCATCGTCTCTCCCACCACCCTGAGCCCACCCCCGCTGCCGTCAAGCAATATAGACAGCAGGATCACCGCCACCACTGCCGCCAACGTCGCTTTCCCTCGTAGTCCAGGCCCCATGCCTTCACCCCACGCTCTGACCGCCGATCAACCCGTCTCTGCCCCTCCCGTGCCCATACCTGCCGAAACAAAGGTCAAGGAACGCTCCAAGATGAAGCTGTTCCACAAGCCAAAGAGTATTGGAATCACAAAAGACAAGGACTTGGATAAAAAGGCCGCTCCTGCTCTGCCTTCTCCCAATCGGGGTCTTCTGCGCGCCGGTTTCGCAAGTGCCTCCATGACCAGTCTGACCGACCCAAACTCGTCGGCTGCTGCTTCCGTCTACTCCTCGGCCAACACATCAACTTCCACTCTGGTACCCGTGACCACGACGGCCACTGCCACGGCCGACAAGAAGGAGGGAGGGGAGAAACACAGACACCACTTCTTGTCAAGGCAAAAACAAAAAGACCGAGGTGCTCTGCCCCTGTCCTCGGCCTCGTCAAACTCGACCGCTGTAGACCCAAATGCTCCACAATCCTTGTACTCGTTCACTCCTCAATCTCCTGGTTTCTCCAAATCTGTCAGTGGTCTGGACTTGCGACATGGCGGACGTGCTCTGCGAGAGAAGAAAAAGGAGGAAAAGGCCGCGGCCGCTGCTGCCACCAATCTGACGCCTACAATGTCAAACACTTCTGGCAACCTGCTAAGAGACGACTCGAGGAGCGACTTCGCCGGCCCTAGCAGTCTGGATTCGGCTTCAATACTTGGTCCTCCGAGCAGCAACTCTCTCTTCTCTCTACCCTTGTACGAGCCACAACCCACCATGTCCGCTGCTGCTTTTGACGGTCTTGGCAAGAGTATGGGTCTACACGGCATCACGGCTGACGATGCTTGGCCGTTACTGAAAGCAAGACTCTTGAACATTTTCTCCGGCGAAGATCTACGGACGCCAATCGAAGACTTCAACTTACTGGTCTCTGTGCACATCCGACGATGTATACAGAAGCGCGCTCCTGTAGTGTTGGTTGAAGACTTGAGGGAGCTGCTTGCAACGGGCTTCTCTTCTCTCGCCCAAACACTGCATAGAGTGCCCGACGAACGACTCGTGACACGCCTAGTCGCCATTTGGCAGACCACCTTCAGCTCCATACTTCCCTTCATCCAAGCAGTATTCCTACCGTTGGATCTCGAATTCAGGGGTCACGGCAGCATAATGAGTGCAAGAGAAGCTCAAGAGTTCTGGGGTGCTTTCGTGCCCGCTGAGATGCCACCACCATTCTCACGGAAACACTCAACATCATTCGACGAGATGAGACCGGGCAGTTCTGGATGCGCGACAATAACAAGCAATACTTCAAACTCGAACCGCATGCCTGGACTCGGAGAGGAATTGGACGTACGCCGCATTGCCTTGATCGTCTTCCGCGACGTGGTCCTCCTTCCACGCCATGAGACGTTGCTTGCAATCTTTTCACGATTATCTCTGGACAGTATAAACACTGCTCCTGCGTCCAGCAATCTATCATCTTCACCGCCCATGTCCAGCAACCGTGGGCGAGGCTTTTCCAATCCAGCGGCTGGAGGCGCAGAAAGACCATCTACAGGCGGCTCTCTATCCCCACGTCTAGGAAGCAGCTACAACAGCAATGTCAACTACCTCGACAGTGGCAACACGACTATAGTCTCCAGCCCACCCACACAACACAGTCGCAGCAGAGCTGCTTCCAACACTTCTGCCGGCAGCTTTGGCACTTCTCTACCTCACACCACATCACACTACCCCACCACTTCCATCGACAGTGTGACCTCCTCCACACCCGCCTTTTCATCCTCATTCTCCCCCGATCCTTCGGGCAGACCACCCACGTTTGCAGACCCGGCGCAGGTCACGCAGACGGTGGCTAGAATGCTACAATGCGTCAGTGTTGTCGCGGGAGCGCAGACTGGAGATCAGAGTCAAGCTGTTGTGGAGAGGTTGACGAGGGAGTTGAAGTATAATTGGTTGGGTAGAGGGAGGACGGGGAGACAGAGGAGGGGGTGGGTGGGTGTCAAGGGCAAGAATGCTGGGTGCTTGGGACAGGGACAAGGACAAGGACAGGTTAATGGGTTGGGTGTTGTGGGTGCTTGAGCTTTTTGATTTTGGATGTTGTACATTGAACGTTCTTGGTACTCGGACATGGTAAAGGTCGACTCGCGGATTGGATGGTATGGTATTCATCAGGAGGTTGGGTATGGAGAGCAAAAGGCTGGCCGAGGAGTTTTGGATGCAGCATTGGGTGACCAGGGGTTTGGAAAGAGGGTTCTAACGACTTCGCCATTGATGGCATAATGATACATCTTACACGACTATTTTCACTGAAAGAAAATGTTGTCGAGTCGGGATAACATGTCGGTTTGTCCAAGTCCTCTGGATCTTGATCATTTGTGCTTACTCTATGTAAGTTTTCGTGTGCAAAACGGCAATTGCGCTTCCCTTTCGTGCTTTCCCTCATTAGCCTTTTCATCTTTCCACTTTACCCTTCCCTGAGAACATCTTCTCCAGAGAAGAACCAACTGGGCTTTCTGATCGAGTCGACGGCTGCATCTTTCTTCCATGGCATATCCCAAGCTCCATTCTACTTTGCTTCTTGCTTGGTGACGGGGGGTTGGGTTTACGAGTCTGAAATTTGTCGTTGGATGGGCTTGGTTTCTGCTTCTTTGGCGAGTGGTTGATGATGGATTTGGATACGGAGATGGTGGTGGTTTTCGTTGTGGATGTCGAGGGTTGGGAAGGNTGAGCTGATGTCGAGGTTCTGCAGATTGATGTCTGTCTTGTCGGCCATCTTTTTGTTCTCGATTTGAGCACCAGTTTCAGCGTCTTCGTCCTGTCGTTTCTTGTAGCTCTGTCCTCCGACTCTCTTGTCCTTGCCTCCGGCTTCAAGCACCCCTTGCTTTTCTTGCTCTGTGCCCTTTTCCTTCTTCTCGGCAATCTTCTTGGCTCTTCTCTTCTCCCTCTTGTGCTCGGCAACTTTTTCTGCTTTCTGTTCTGCAAGGTGAATGATATAGTTGGCAATGTTGGTCCGGTCGAGAATCTTGTAGAGAACCCATGGGGGTCGGGAGAGATGGAAGCGCTTGACGTCCTTTTCGGCAGCGGTTATGAAAACATCGTTGTCGATAATGTAGCCAATAGTGTTGTATTTGACACCATGGGACTCGAAAGTGGGTGGACAGGGGTTGGTAGCAGTGTAGCGTTGCTGATTTTTTGGCACCTTCCTGTTAGTCAAAGAGGCATTTTCATGTCTCTTGAGCCTTGACACAGAGCNATCACTCACACGATCAAATTTCACAACCAGCATCCACTCGCTCTGTGTTTCAGCCACCAGCCCCCAGCCCACTTCCTCTTCATCATCCTTCAATGTTTCGTAAAGCTGATCCTGCAACTTCTGGACGAGGTTACGATCTTTGATTTGCGTGTCTGCATAAACAGACATGCGTGTGTTCAGATTGTAAGGTCGAACAGTGTAGTCGAGACTAAGCAGCTCTTTCTCCAGAGAAGGGTAGTGATTGAACAACTCGACATCAAGATTACGAATGCGGCCGAGGATAAAGTGGTTAGGGAGAGAGGGGATGTAGGTGGTGATGCAGGAATCCCATTCGCGCTGTACAATAGACGTGAGTGAGTGGGTNNGGATAAAGCGAGTGAGAAGAGACAGCACGTACAGCGGTGACAGTGGTGGGCACGACGGGGCTTCTGGTTCGGGTGCCCGAAGCAAGACTTGGAAGTGAGCTCCCTATTCGTGTGATTAGTGCCCATGTGAGACAGGGGAGAGATACGAGGGTTTAGTTACTGAGTATGGAGGCATCGTGTCTGATGTGATGGCACTCGCACGTAGCAAGATCCTAGCAGCCTGTTGCAGAGAGAAGAAAGGCGAGGACAAACTGAGATCAGAAGTGGCTCTTGAGACGAGAAAATGGTGATGAGAGAAGAAGACTTAGTTGAAACACAATCACCGTCCTGTGATCAATCGGTAGATGTCTTTATCTCTTTGCCAGCAGTGAAAGATGTCTTTCTTTGAACGTTGCCTGTCTTGCGGCGTCAACAAACGGACCAACGCAGCAGTTGCGTGAAGGGGTGAGCAAACGAGATCTCCAGCTGAACCAAGCTGCCGGATTCTGGCCAAAAATCCAAACGGCCTCCTCATAGCGGTCTTGCAGTGCAGATGTGAGTATATAGACGCACCATACGTGAGGGTCGAGGTCTGATCAAGACGAAAGTTCGGAGTCCAGGCCTTCCGCTCTCCGATTTCTTGCTGTAGCAGCACTGGCGCAGGCCAATTCGTCCAGATCATCGACAGCCACGTCTTAGTTGCACGTTGAGGGGAATGGTGACAGTAGTGCTTTGATTTCAACAAAGCATCTGCGTTCCAAGTCATCATCCGTCATCGGGAGAAGTCGCGACCAACAGACATATGGGCGAGTCTTATGAGTTGAGTGAGTATAACTTTGAGTTACCGTCACATCTCTTCCAACAGAAAGTGGCTGCCGCCTCTCAATTTCGTCCTTTGAGTCTGCGTCTCTGGAGACTTGTACTTTGTGTCGAGATGCAAAATGTACTGTTGCTCAATGCAGAAGATTGAGTGCGATGGATGGATGACAGGCCCGCCAGTTCTGCGAATAGAGAAGAGAGTTTGGGTGTGTGACTCGCAACGGTTGGGTTTTAGCCAACGAAGGTCGAGATACGATAATGTTCGATGCATCGACGCCGATAGTTTCTCGATAGTCTTTTGTCGTAGGGTTTTGTCGTAGGGTGCCAAACTGTGATCTCGAAGGTTGAGGTCATTGAGATGTCCATGATTGTCAACAGACATTGGTTCGTCGAGGCCGTTGATCGCGCCTTTCCCTGGCTACATGGTTAACTTCAAGAAGATATCGACTTCCCATCGCCATCGGCAAGATTGAGCCCCTTCACAGACAATGCTATTGTTACTCACATCGACTGGTTGATCAAGTCGCTATAGTCAAACTTCGTGTATGCTACTCTCTTTCTCATTACCAGGGCGAAAGGTTCCTCTCTGGCGTACTTCAATTCTCCGTTAGATGCCTTTATTGAGACCAATAATGTCGGTATATCTAAGCAAGACAATCATGCCGGACAAGCCACTGCATTGATATGGACTTTGGGTTCTTTGCAGGCAGATATGGAGAAGGGTAGGACGGCTTTGTGGCCTTTCGTGATGCGCATAAGGGGTGGTCTTGTTCTCCCGTCAGACGCAGGCATATCGTGAGCATTTCCTCTTTTGGGCGGCACGCTTAAGATCTCTCCACGACTTCGATGAGAAAGCTCGGTGGAACATCTTCTCAACACATAAAGGTGACAGTCTTCATGCTCTATAATTAGAGAGGAGCATTCCAGCAGATAAGAGGCTTGTGAGAAGACGATAGAAATGGTCAAAACTAGGATCAGGGTCGTCCGCTTAGCAATGATGAGGTCCAAGTCACGAGCAGCAAGCCACACTGCGATTCACTCAGCTAGTCCTCAATACTTGGCAGTCGTAAAGCTGGATAAACTTCTGATGTTTACCCAGCCAGGCCGTACGCGTGTTCGAGGGTGTCGCACAATGTGTGTGTGTACGAGTAAGCCGCTGCTGTCAAGGAAACCGAAAGAGCAGATCACTCTCTGATTGATATGCAAAAGCAGGACTTGAGTGGTTAGCGATTGGAAAGGTAGAGTAGTTCATCTTGTAACAAGCCTCTCGAAAGGCTCCTCGGCGCAATTCGCCATCCTGATTTTTGAAAAGTACAATTAAAGTGTTGACCAATCAGAACTTCATGTCGTTTATTGTGCCCCCAGCCACATGCATCACATGCTAACACAACATGTTTTCGAGATCTTGACCAACACAGCAAACGCCGTGATCCAAGCGAATGTGCGACATGATTCCCCCAGCCGTTTGCCCGTGTTTCTCGTTGCGGTTGAGTGCGGTTGAGTGCGGTTGAGGTTTAGACTGCGCCATCTGAGGATATTTGAGATAGAGATAGGAAGGTGGTGGCTGGGTATGTATCTCGCTGTCAAGCTTCCTCAGAGTCCAGAGCCATGGCTGTGTGCTCTACAGGCAGACGAACGTGGGGTACGATTCGCATGGTTATGGTTTGATTATCGACCAGCCACCACAAGGGTCGGGGAATCGGGAACAATCGCACGTGTACTTGTACCGTGTCTGACAAGGTAGAAGACATGGATCCCTTCGCGAGATGAGGGAGGTGAGGATTACATGGAAAGTTTCACTTCTGGTGTCGAGTCGAGGAGAAACAAGCAGGGGTCCTTCTTTAATTTACTGCCCTGTTAACTGTCATACAGTAGCACAAGGGGATGTCGCTGTCGGTCATGAACGACGACTGCTTCAGATCCCACCGGCGGTAACTTCTAGCGGCAAGCCATCGACACCGTGCTGGGTGTGGCTGGGGAAAGTGGCGCTGTGGCACAAGCAGCCATGTCGTACCTGCATGAAAACAAGGAAGTTGGCGAGGGGCAAGGTCAGCTTGCACGTCCATGATGGTAACAATCGTGGGAGATCGTGGATAGTTCTCACGAGTGAGACAGGATATCGAATCTTGAGCAACGAAAATGATGTCAATCGATATTGTGATATCGATGATCGTCAGGGCTCCGGTAGCTCGCTGGAGTCTTGGGCGGAAAAGGAAAACCCAGGCAAGGTTTCGGCCAGGCGCAAGTAAGCGACTGCAGGGTGGTGGAAGCTCGATGGTGGATCTGGGGAACCGCGGGATCCTCCTATCAGACTGCATCTCGCAGCGAACAAGGAGATGTAACGCAGAACGGGGGAGTCGATGACCTGCTCGTCGTCCAATGGCTTTCGGGTCGCAATATAAGCGATTGAATGCAACAGTCCTGGTCTCATCTCTCTCGCGGCAAGAAGGAGGTCCTCGGTCAGCCGTTGGCATTCACAGACGGTTCCTGCACTGGGCCGCCAAGAAATGAAGCAAGCGCCATTTTAGCGCGGCCGAGGGATTGCGTCGATCATGGGCACCTTCATCATGCAAGCAAAAGCTACGTGGGATTTGTGGATAGCGCAGGCTGGTGAATCAGGAAATGGTGGAAATGTGGGAAACTGGCTGGCAGTCTAGGCCGATGTGCGCACGGTATCGGTGGTTTAGTGTTGGTAAGAGAGTGCAAGGCAGCGTGACCGCATCGTGATAGCCTCCGTCGGCGGGAATTTAAGAAAGAGCTCCCATCGTCACTGCGCCTTGGACCAGCCATCAACAACCTGCCTCCGAATTACTTCTCCCTCGCGTCCCCGTCTACATCTTCTCGTCCATCCCCTCATCGATAGTCGTTTCATTCTCCACTTTCCAACCTCGTCATCTAACCGTCCTCGCCAACGATCACTATCTGGTATCCTACACCACAGCATCTACCATCTCCGCAACCATCACAATGAAGTACGCACTCTCCCTCGTCGCCAGCGGTGCTGTCCTCGCCGCCGCCCAGCAGGGCCTCGGCTCATGCGCTGTAAGTAGACTCGATCCATCAACATGGCTCAGTGCGCAACGTGCTGACGCGATTGCCTGTAGCAAAACTGCTTCAACAACATGGTTGGCATCGCCTTGAACCAGTTCCACTGCACCATCGGCGACGTCGCGTGCTACTGCTCCCACCCTGACTTCGGCTATGGTGTTCGCGACTGCTCCAACCAGGCCTGTTCCGCCCAAGAGGCCGCCGACGCCATTGGCTTTACCAACGCCTTCTGTGCTGGTGAGTATTATCCATTAATCGTAGCTCTTCACCTGAGCTTGTACTAATCCTCGAACAGCCGCTGTTGGCACCGGCCAGCCCAGCAACTCGATCGCCTCGATCCTGAACACCGTCTCCGGCTCTGGTTCTAATTACGCATCAGCTACCTCTGCCGGTGCTGCTGCTGCTTCTTCAGGTCTCGCTCTCCTTGGCGGCGGCGCCCAGTCTTCCGGTGCTCAGTCTTCCGGCGCCCAACAGTCGTCGGGCAGCACTTCATCTGCCATCACCACCTCGGCTCTGGTTGGAACCATTACCACTGATGGTAGCACCATCGCCACAACCACTGGCTTCTCTACGATCTACTCCGTCGTTCCCATCGTTGGTGGTATTGTTGGCGGTGCCTCATCTGGTGCTACAAGTGTCGCCTCGGCTGCCTCATCTGGTGCTTCCAGCGCCGGAGCCGCCGCCAGCTCTGGTGCTTCCTCGGCTTCGTCGGTCGCCAGCAACGCGTCTTCCAGCGCCTCCTCGGTCGCCTCTAGCGCCTCGTCTGCCGCTTCATCTGGCGCTTCCAGCGCTGGAGCTGCTGCTTCCTCGGGTGCCTCTTCTGCCTCGTCTCGCGCCTCTTCGGGTGCCTCTGCCGCCAGCTCGGGTGCCTCGTCCGCTGCCTCCAACGCCAGTTCTGGAGCATCTTCCGTGACTTCGCGTGCCTCCAGCGGTGCTTCCAGCGTTGCCGGTGCCGCCACTTCGGGAGCTTCGTCGGTCGCTTCGCGCGCCTCGTCTGCTGCGGGTGGTGCTTCCAGCGCTGCCTCGTCGATTGTCGCTACTGCTGGTGCCCCTATGCAGACTGTCGGCCCTATGATGGGCGCTGCCGCTCTTGCCGCTCTCATGCTGGTCTAAACAAACAACAGTTGGTGCTACTTGAACGTATTTCAGCACCGCTACGAGTTATGAAGTCTTGCTTTCGCAGCGCCGAGTGTGTCTAATTAATATCGGCCTGGGGGTTATGGATTGAAGCGAGGTTGGCTATGGCGTAGGGAAAGGAGAAGACTCATTCTATAGCCGGATTGGCCTCAGAAAACCTAATGTGTACTACTGGAAAATGAATATACCCTCTTGCTCAAGTTATTGATTTCTCTGAGTTTGTGCTTTGAGATGTTGGTGTGGTTTGTACTCCCCTCGGGTTTGCAGCCCATATGTCTGTCGTTAGATGCATGAGCGATGGCTACGAGTTCATCGTGTCCATTGAGTCGGTATGCGTTGTCGCCTGTTCATGCCTCGATGGTCGGTGTCGTCTCGTCATGTGATCCCGAAAGCTCCCCCACGTCATGCGATCAACCAATTGCGCGCAGGCCATGGAAAGTCGACCGCGGCCTATACACATCCAATAAGCTCGAAACTTGACAGATACAATGGACAACATGAACATGCAGAACGCACCTCCACCGCCGCCGCTCGGGGAGGCCAACAAATGCCCCCACCCGTTCCTCAACTGCCGCCGCAAATGTTCACGACGGCAGCACAACTGCTTGACTTGACCGACAGTGAGCATTTCCTGCCTCATCGCATACACTGTGTCGTACTCTAGAGACAAGACTGACTGGGGATACTTCCATTGGCGAACAGANNAAAGCTCATGGTGTCACTTCGCGACGGCAGAAAACTGATTGGCGTCTTGAGGAGTTGGGACCAGTTCGGTACGAGGCCATGCTGCGTCGACTGTGTGTACGACAGGCATTGACAAGCCCANGGAAACCTCGTTCTCCAGGATACCGTGGAACGACTCTTCGCCCAAAACCTCTATGCCGATGTCGACCGTGGTCTTTTCCTGGTCAGAGGAGAGAACGTCTTGCTACTCGGTGAAATCGTATGCTTGACTTCATCAATCCACTGAAAATCAGCCACTGACAAAACGCCGCAGGATCTGGACAGAGACGATTACGTTCCCCCTCCCTTCCAACAAGCGACCGTCAACCAAGTCTTCGAGCTACACAAGCAAGAGCAGGCCCAAAAGAAGAAGCAGGAGAAGATTAGGCACAAGAAGCTGGCTGCCTACGGTTTCGAGGGCGAGCACTCTGGAGAGGCCATTCTGTGAGGTGCTCTAGGTCACACGAACGGCACACGCGTACCCATGCCTTGAGCGACCACTGCATCGACGAATGAGCCAACAGCGCTCTTCGGGCCTCAAACATGTCATGTCCAAACTCTGGACATCGATCAAGAGACCTCGATTCCGGATCCCCACTCATCAGGAACAGATCGGAGGACCCGTCGTTGGATCTTGGTTATCAGGTGCGTAGACACATTATCCTGCTCAGGAAGCATGCACCTAGCGCTCATATTGCTCAGCTTCTCACCAGCAAGTTTCGTTCTGGCAAACAGACCCTAGAAACTCCTATTGATTCTAATGAAAACTTCATGACACTTGATCCGCTGATCGTTCCGCCTCTTTGTGTGGGCGAAGGGCCATGAGCTATCAAAGTGCAGAGTGATTATGTGGGTCGTATCCTGCCTGTAGACAGTGCTTACTAGACAGGTTCTTTCTGAAATTCTGCCGGTGTATGAGAAGAGTTTTGTGTAATCAGATAAATGGAAGTAGGTTGATGACCACACATGAAATTACTGAGAAAATACGCTGGTGGAGATGAACCCATAGCAGCCGCTCTCTATATATGTGGAGTTCGATTGTGAGACGAAGGCCCCGTCGCCGGTGTAAGTCCTCTTCTCCTGGCCTTCATGATGATTGCATGCCCCCGTGTACCGTCATGTTTGCCTCTGCTTTGAATGAAAAACAAAAATGGACATAACGACCGACTTTGCTGTTGCATCATGTTCAAGCTTGCACGACGGTGCAAGAGCGGCTTTCTGGTCTGTTCATTGCCAAAGTTGACTTCCTATGTCAGGTTGTCTGTGAAAGCGTTTGACAATACATCATTGTCATCCGGAGCGTACACGTCCTGCCTTCCTCGAATCTCCACAAGTTTACTACCCTTCCATTGTCTTTCTTGTTCTCAATTCATCCAAACGAGAGAAGACATGATGTTAGAAGTTCAATGTGCTTCCCACCAATGATTTACTCAAACTCTCCTTAGCAGCTAGAATGTTATCATCGGAACCAAGCTGCCTATGCTCTTCTGCCACCTCATCAGACAAGGTGAAAACACAGCCCACGCATCCAAGGACTGCCGGATTCTGAAGAAGACCCTGATGCAGTGTTGCGAAGGACGGACGGAAGGGTAGGTCAATTAGTAAGCTCTTTCTCTGTCCATCTCCATCCGTGCTTGTAGTTTACCTGTCGTGTCGCAGAGTATGTTGATAGATAGGCCAAACTCATTGATAGCGATAGAAATCACAAGTCGTGGTGTCTCTGATGAATAGGGTATACAGAGTAAATTCGGGATCGATTATGGAATGAGGAGTATCAACTATCCACATCAAAGCATAGCCCCTACAACCACTGTCGAACATGAAAGCCCTGTCAACGATCTTTATGTGGAGTGTATATAACAATCGACAGTGAGTATGATACCGGCAACGAGAACGACACATCTATAATTCACTCCAGGCAAGAGATGCTGGCAGAACAAGCGAAATTTCGGATGTAATCAACACTCGAGCTGCAAGATTCAATTACAGGAAGACAAGTAGGAGACCGTAGCTATAGATGGTCTGAAGTGGGAACAGATACAATAGCGCAGAAAAAGCACAGCACGTGTAGACAAAATTATACAGTATTGAGAACATAGCATTGGGGTATCTTCATCCTCTTCACTCGACTCTGGGTGTCTCCTTCAACGTTCTATACCAAACCTCTAGCCCCAAGGTAATTGCCTCAAAGCTTGCAACCCCTGACCTTGTCCCGTCTTCATCCTCTGCACTCCACTTCTGCCCACACATCCATAGTGAATAACCTCATTATCGGGATACACCCTAACTGCCGAATTGCCAAATCTCTTGTGACAAACCCTGCAATGATCTTCTTCTCTGATGACGACTCTTCTGCTTCTTCCGCCCTTTTGTTGCATGTGCTCAGGCCCAAAGGCGAGGTCAGAAGACAAACTGGTCTTGAGGACGGCTTGGAGAGAAGTGAGGATGCGTTCTTCTCGGACTACGGTATTGGCGCTGCGGATGCGACCGAGGAAGTAAGAGGATAGTTCGCTGACGTGCAGGTCACTGGGCATAAGGTCCAAAGTGTTGGCAGCAGGAAGCCTGGGGCCATGCTTGGACAGCAATTGCAATGCAGGTTCCCACTGCACCTTTTGCGGACTCGGCGGCTTGAGATACAGTGAGAGTAGTGTGGTGTAAACGTTTGGTTGCTGGTCTTCGGGATCCATGGCCATGCTGCTTTTTTCGTAGGTTTGGCTGCCGGTGTTAGGGTTTGAACCCACAGGTGCCGACGGAGAAGTGGATGTCGAGAGATAGATTTTGTTGCAGTATTCTTCTGCTTTTTCGTGATCGCAGATCTGGAAGACGTAGATCTGGAGGGCTTGTTTGTGGTTTCCCATTGCGCAGAGGACGATAGCGCGGGCTTCGTACACATCGGGATNCTGTTTGGACAAGATTAGCATGATCACTGTGGAGTGAGGGTGTGATGTTTGCTTACCATCGGCGGGTAGTTGATTGAAGGTCTTGAGTTTGTGGTATTGCGTGCTGTTACGCAAGAACTCTTCCAACTTCGTCCGAGCGCTGTTCCTTTCTTCATCATTGCTTTCCTTTCTGTCGCGTAGCTTCTCCAGGTATAAGTCTACAAGCCTTTGATGGAACTCTGGCGTCTTGTCGTTCAGCTCAAGAATGATATGTTCCAGGTACTGCACCGCAAGCGACTTGTCCAACGGCACCAAGAACTTCAACACTTTGTCCTTGGGAAGATTCTCGGCATTTCTCGTATCTGCGACAAAGACCTCCATACCCTTTTGCGCATTGACTTTGATGGGCCACTCTGCGAATTCTAGGATGATATCAATAAGCTCAGCTGGTAGGTTCTGCAGATAACCGATTGTTCTGTCAGCGCCTCTCAGAGCAGGCATGACTTCTTCTGCTGCTTCGTTGCGACCGAATCTCTCTAGCAGCTCCAAGGCTTCACGGTGTAACTTCTTGCCGTAGAGGAAGTCGATCAGATCGTTGTATCTTCCACTTTCGTACAGCTTCTCTTCTACAACGTGGGGGTCGCAGAAGTTGTCAAGACGGAATAGTGGACCAGCTAGCGATGGTAGAGCGAGCATATAAGCACGGAAGAGAGTCGTATCGACCAGTTTGGCGACTTCCAGCAATTCTGCTTGCCAATCGACCTTCTCAGCACCTTCAGGAAGCTCAATGAGATTACTGAATGGTGGTGTAGAGCCTTCAGTCAGTTCTGTCTTGAGTGCGCCATCTGTGTTCATGTACTTCTGGACTTGGACACGTGATTGAGCTAGGTAGGAACAGAGAGCCATAACAGCAGCTTTCAAGTCTGAGCCAGTCAGTGGTGCATCTTTTGCTGGCTTTTCTCTAGGTGCTTCGCTTGTGGTACGGAAAGATCGAATCGATGCTGTATCAGAGTCGTCCTTGGCTGCAGGCCTGAACTTGCCCAACACAGACTTGCTCGGAGTTTGTGCCGTCTTGACATGATCCTCGGGCTGTGATGAGTTCTCCTCGGCAGCACTCGTTTCACCAGATGGTTCTTCCGAGTCAGTAAACTCTAGGACCTCTTCGACAGTCGAGAGATCGCCGGCGATAGACTTGGGATACAATGAGACAACACGCTTCGGGGGTGCAGAAACATCGGTGAACAGGTCCAGTGCTGGTCTGTACTTTTGTTGTGAAAACAGATTCTGAGCTTTGAGCATACTAATCTCTCTGACGGAACCTTGCTTATCTTTGAGTAGTGTGTCTTCCAGCATGTTCAAGAGACTGATGGCTTCATCAAACTTTGTCTTCTCGACAAGCTGCTTGACTTGGGCTTCGTAGTTGAGAGCAACCATACGCCATATGCATCTGTCGCTTGCAACAAGGAAGCCTTTACCAGCATGGGCTAAGCTGATGTTGGGTTGAGGTACGTGGAGAATCGAAGCACCAGGGAGAGGGATAGTTTGGAGGAGGTTAAGAGTGTCCGGGCTTCTTACATCCAGAGCTCCTTTGGCGGTTTGCTGCAGCGACAGTAGGTAAGGGTAAGAGTAGCCAATAGCTTCGGGAGCAAAAGCCCAAGGTATCTGGCGTTTGTCGGCAGATTTAGCATCAGTGTCGATGAACAATGTGTTGACATCCTTTGCTATGAGCATCTTGTTGTTTGTGAGATTTGTCGCCATGGGTTTGGGTACCCAGCTTCCCATGCCCATGTATCCCATACCCGAAGAAGTGACTGCACCGAACCTGACGTTGCCGGCAGGAGTCTGTCTGACGACATCGGTCACAGCCAAAGTGTCGATGTCGACTATTGAGAAGCCAGGATCCAGGCCGACCAGCATTTTGGTACCAGTAGCCCATATCAGCGACTTTGGGGTATGTGGTAGAGTAATTTCTTGAACCTCAGGGGACAGTTCCATATCTTGCCAACTCCACCACAGGATGCGACGCTTGACAGTAACAGCGAGACGAGAGACGAGCGAGGGAATGTCGGTAAGGGGGTCTTTGATGACGTTCGAGGTAACGGCGAAAGAGGTTGCGCCCTTGGTCTTGTCCAGCTTCTCCTGCAATTGGAAGGTCTGGAGGTCGTGGATCGAGACATGACCGTCGGATAGAGAGACAAGGATGTTCGCTTCCTTGATTATGGCCAGCTGCTGTATCGCCCTCCTGGAGAACTTCTCTTCCTCGCGCACCAGGTCGACGGCGCGTGTCTTTGAGGCCGTCGCATCTTGACCTGCTTCGGCGACTTCGTTGACACGGTATATACGGAGTGTGCCTGTGCTGAGGCCTACAAGAAGTCGGTCGCCNNTGCACGTCCTCGATCAGTGATGCTCTTTCCAGGACTGGCCAAGCGACATACCGTATGCTAGGACCGACTCGATCTTGGACTTGTCTTGTTGTTTGAGCTCATAGATGGGCTGCGCGCGAAACGCCGACAACATGGCGACCTCGCACCCAAGTTTGGTTCTACTGCAACGATACTGAACCTTCTGGTCTGGACTTGGACGATGTGTAGAGCTTATTACTGCACCTCGTCGTCGCTGTTGTCGCATCGAGGTCAACCGCAATGACGCCCGTGCCCTGGAATGGAAGGTTTGCCGATGCCGACATCATCTCCAGCCTACAGCTCGTTCCTTCCAAAACATCTCTCTTTCCTCCTTTTTCTTAACATCTTGAGAAACTTGGTCTCCTTACGTCCACCGCACCTCCTCGAGTAACAGTCTCTGGATGATGTACTGATCGCTCTCCGGGGTATTTGACGAGGCCTTGCTACATGACTAAAAGTCATAGATACCCAGTAGGTCTTCATTACTCAACCTTCTTTGTCTCTATCCTGTGGGGTGAGATCTCCATGTTCCTTCAATCTGGTACTTCCTTTCTGTTTCTCTTCCCTTCTTTCGCGCCTCCCTGAATCTCTCTGCGTACCGAGAAAGTTTATATTCCAGCAAGCAGTAGGCACAATACAGTAGCAAACCGAGACGCAGCTTACAATGCTTTTGAATTACTGCCAATCGAGTGCCAACCTTCCTGGCATAGTATCATCATTGCTCCCACTCGTAAGAATCTTTGCTTCCCTTCTTCTGACTGTGCATGTTGTCTCATTACAGTCACCTTAAACGTGGACTGGCTGGAGTCGATCACAGATGAAACCATACTCTTCAGAGGGATCCACTTACCATCGACGAAGACAAAGCTCTGGTCAGACAGTCCGACCGTACTGCTTTGGTTCTTACCTTGGACCGAGCCATCAATGATGATGAATGAGGCTAAAGGACACGCTAGCCCTTGCCTAATTAGCAAGACATAAGCACAGTACCCTATGGCAATGTGTATCCTAGGCCTAGCCAAAGGTCAAAACTCATGCCACCAGGAGGTTCATTGTTAGAATCTGGCGGCTCTACGGGTTCTACTGAGAAAGGTACCATACTAAACCCAGTACACGATCAAGACTTATGGTGTTATTCGTAGTAACTGGTGCATGATGGTTACCACCATCAGACTCCTGCCACTGGCTGAAGATATCCCCGATAGTCATAGCATGACAGAGTCCCTTGCTACATACCATTGTCGATTCTGTTCGATGTCTTGAGGCATCGGCTGAACAACCACTTCGTTGATCACAACGCAAGTGACCGCCCTATCAACTCCTCACCCGGCCCCTCGTCCACACTGAACCTGCTCCAATTCTTGTGAATCGTCTTCTCCCATCACCACCAGGCGACGGCTAAGCACTTCACATACACTGACCCTGCTCAAGGACCAGTGAACACCCCCCTTCAGCCATCACTATCACGCAACGACTAAGCGAAGGGACTATATAAGTTGCCTTCCCTTGACCTGAACTTGAACTCTTCCTCCAACCACAACCAGCCCTTTGGCCTCTTTCTCCATCTTACAACATCTACCAAGACCCGTGTCCTTCTTCCGAAGATCTCGCCTTTCCTTCGGCAACAAGGACTCGTTCTTTCGTAGTAAGCATTCTCTGTATAATTTGCGGCCAATTCCCTAACCATTGACAGAAATCGTTGATCATGTCGACCTCTTCTTCAGCTCCCACTGAGATTGGCCACTCGGAAACTAAGCCCGTTCATCTTCCATCGCCTCCTCCACTTCAGGGGCCAGCAGCAAGCACCCGTTCCAAGAACAGATTGAACCAGTCCTTTGCGATCCCATCGGCTCCTCTATCAGCCAGTACCCGCGCGAAGAAGTCATCAGCTCCACCCAGCAAGCCGAACAGTGACCTCAAGTCATCTGCTACACCAACCAATTCGGACATTGACATCAAGTCATGGTTGAACCAGTCAACCAAGTCAATTACTCGTTCTGACCAGACCAAGACCATTGTCCCAGTCGTCGTCCCAGTCGTCGTCCCAGTCGTCGTCCCAGTCGTCGTCCCAGTCGTCGTCCCAGTCGTCGTCCCAGTCGTCGTCCCAGTCGTCGTCCCAGTCGTCGTCCCAGTCGTCGTCCCAGTTGTCGATCATGGTCAATCTCCTGAATCTACTGCTTCGCACAAGGATGTCGAAGTGGTTGAGCCCGCTGTAGCCCTCAGTCAAGCTCCCGAGCCCAACAATGCCAATCACGGCATAGTCAGCAAGCCTTCTACAGTACGTATGGTCAAACCTGTATCACGTTGCAGAATACATTCTGAAGTGAATCAGATCTCCATTCAGAGCATATGCTAACTGTATTCAGATCCGCAAATCCCCTTCTCCAGTCCGTGGCGAGACGTTTCAGCCAGTTTTTCGTCTGGCCTCGGCTTGCAGAATGACTCTGAAGATCAAGTTCCAGAACTTCCTCCATGAGTTGGATTCGGCTGCTTCTCATTACGAACATTTGGTCGAACCTTCAACTGTCGAAGCCAAGACTCCCCTGCTTAACCAAAGGCTCAATCTCAACCACCTGAATGCCTTCCTCCAGGCTGCCGCAAGAGGAGGCTGTCAAAGACTTGCAAGAGACTGAAGTGCTGGTCTTTCAGAACCTGAAGCGTGCCAATGATCTTCTGAGCGCCAAACCTTCCTTCAACAAGACTGAAATCGACATGATTATGGGCCATCTCACCGCCATCAACACTACCATGAAAGCTTTCTGCACTCGTGTGTCTGCCCGTCTCACGCTTACCCCTGAGCAGAGCGCAATCTTCGACGAGGATGACCTTGCGAGCACCCAGCTCCTCGTCTTCCGTCTTATTGCAACCGAGAACCTTCCCGCAGTCGAGGAGCGTCTTCGTCTCCTCTGGGCTGTCTCTCCTATCTTCGTCATGAGACTCCGTTTCTCTGCCTGGTCTCAGAATCTCTCTGGACAGGTTGCCACTCTCAACACCATGCTGGAGACACGTGCTGCTGATGTTGCTAGTACCCTTACCGACAAGCACGAGGTCTTGAAGGAGGAAAAGGAGGCTCGTGGCCTCAAGAGAAAGGCTGAGGAGGAGCTTGAGGAGCAGTGAAGCAAGACAGAAAATCATGTACAAAATAGTTAGCTTTCCTTTGAGACACACAAAAATCACATCTTCCAAAACTTCAGTGTCTGTTGTCCGTATATTATCGTGACTCACGACTTGATCCTGGTAACGAGAAATGTCCAGTGAGAGCTGCCATCTCAACGGCTCTCTTCGGACAAAGCTTTGGTAGAGATGTTAATCTGTCTTCTTATAGCTTATCAAACTGCTGTACATCACTTTGGGAGGATGTTTGACAGGTCAGACTTCAACAAACGGACGCTCACTCCCTTCTTCTATTACTCTGCTCTCATATGCTGAAGTCTGTGAGTAGTGTGGCTATAGACATGCATGATAATCTTGGAAAACAAGGCAACAGCCACTGAAAGCCCATCGCCCTGTGTCCTCTTTCTAGACACATCATGAATCATGTAACAACTATGCATTGTTAAGGCTCATATATCGCCGTGCGCTCTTCTTGGAGATGCAGATGGGTTGTGCGGTGGAGGGCATTTCTGGAGGTGCGGCACATTGGGGCTGTGCAACCATACAGCGTCAAGGGCTAAATGGGTACTAAAAACAGCACACCCAAGATTTTCTATAAAGAGCACTGACACCTTCTTTTTGATCGAGTTTGGTGTGCCTAACCAGTTCATTTGGTTTGTGGCTATCGACTGGAAAGGAAATGGACCCATCCTTGCACAAACCAAAAGCAATATGTATGCGTTGAAAGAAGGACAAAGAATGTTGTAACCTGGACATCATCGAACGTTCACCATCCGCATGAGAAAGAGCTAGAGACTTCCAACTACTTGAGAATACAGTAGTCGTTGCCTCGAATAGAAAGCTTTCAACAGCGAACGCCATCATAATCGAATCAAGCAAAGTGCAGCAGCGACCCCCTCACCCGGCGACCCGATAAGAAGTCCATCTACGGGGCGCGCCTTCTCTTCTCTCTCTTCTCGGATTACTCGCCTCCAGATATAAACCACCCACTCCATCACATCGTCCTCTTGTCTCCAACTCCTGATACTGCGCAAAGCTCACAACTCTACATCTCAACAAGTACCGAAACAGATCATAATCGACCCTATAATCCGCACCAATCCTTTCTCCTCTATGGTGAGAGGCTATATGATCTAGCCGAGTCTCCCATGCTGAAGAATGTTCCCATTGCGAGGTGCAGAACGGACATTGGGATCGGGTTGGTGGCGAGTTTGAATGGAAGTGCGAGGTACAGTGAGTTCTCCAGGTCGATGCTGATGTGAATTCTTCCCGGCAGCCTAGGAAGGCAAAGGTACACTGGAGCATTCCTGTCTGAGGTCTCGGAACACCAAAGCCCCCAGATGTCGATGGGTTTGCCCTTGAGGATCCGAACGACTCGTCCGTATCGATGGTTCTAGTCGACATGGTGCGAAAGGATCGGTCGAGCGAAGGCACATTCTCGGACGCCGTGGAGCTATAACGATAACTGGACGCTCTTGTACCTGCGACCGAGCCGCGATCAGAAGAAGAGATGCTGCCATCGTTGTGTCTTGTGCTCGCCCTATGTTCGATGGACGACGCGTAGGGACGAATGATCATCTCTTCGAACCGGGATGGAGTATACTGTTCCCAGTGCGCCATCACAGGTTCATTGAGGCGAACGCGTGAGCGTCGCGACGTCGATTCGCCCACTGTCATCTAGGTTAGAGAATCTCTCGAATGCAGGGAGAATCATACCTACTCTTATTATGACCGGATCCCGGGAAAAAATCAAGAGCAAAGGACGAAGCTAATATTCTCAGTATACATGTATCACTCTTGCGGTGCGAAGTTTTGCAACGACATAAAGGATGGCAGACACGAGGCAGTTGGACACAGCACTATGCCAAAGGGTAACTTCCGCTACAACCATTCTCTTATCATGTTAGGAATCGTCGGAACAAGAAGAGGGTTCAGGTCCCCGGGTGTATCGTTCAGCTATTGCTGACAATCACAAGCCAGCCTTATCGCTGATCCAGATGCGCCTCTGCTGCCGCACACCCGCTCTGGGAATTTTGATGTCCTATAATATACGACCCTCGACTGGTTAGACCATAACATCTAGCTTGAGTGTGTGGACTTCTCGAGGAGAACGAGTCCCGACCTTTTCCCTGATCTGTCTCTGCTCTTTGGAATGAGAAAGAGGGGCTCACACTCGCGTGGGGCTCTGCATCCTCGGTATCAGAGCGAACGGACAGGGGTGCTCTACACGTGTGTACCGCCAAAGGCATTGGCGCATAGGAAAAGCACGCCACAATATCGCACGACACATCTGAACCCTCAGATGAATCACTGAAAAAAACCACAGGATTGAACGGTACAAAGACTATGGTTTTAGGAAAGGCAGCGTGATCCTCAGAGGCAAGAGAAAGGCTTGAATCAATTGGGAGAAAGAAAGATGAAGCTGGAAAAGAGGGGTGCAGGTTGAGTTCGGCTGGGATTTATGAAGACATGCATTACGCTTATGCATGGTGAGCTGTTGTGACATGTAGTCAGCACCACGACGGTTTTCGTCTACTGATTCTCTCACTCAGTGTCTGAAGTGGGGAAGGGCTTTCGAATAGTTTCCAATATAACAATGATATTGTGAGATGTGAACTACTCAGAGTCCAACGTTTGATGGTAATCATCCAGTTCTTGATGGGAGCAAAGCATTACCGCAAAGCAGTTACGGATAGAACCGCATAGCCTTCAAGGATTGGTCTAATCACGAGAGAATACCTTCCAAACCATGTCCTCTCTTGGTGACTCAAGTATGCAAGGAGACTCCTATATATCTGAGAAGACAGGGTCGGCGGCTTGACATGAATCATCAGGGTGAGGGTTTCTCAAGATATCATAGTGCTACTCCGTCGCTCAGCGACCACATAAGCTTCAAATGTGTAACTGTTTCGTCTATGGTTTGATTGGCTGCGCATATTCTATAAGTCTAGAGCTCTAGACGTACTCGTGACGTGATACGTATTGCCGCATGGCTACTACTACGCCATTCAGCGCAGAGGCCTGAGAAGAGGAAGGAACCGTCCAGAGAACAAAAGAGGAAGGAGCATTTCAGAGACCGAGAGAAGAAAGAAGGGTCAAAGGACCAGGGGAATAAGGAACGAAAAAGCGAGCAGAAGTGGAAGATATGTCATTGAGTGCAGAGATGGCAAGGGCGGTCTCCAGACTTGAACAGATCTTATAGGGCGGACGATGGAGCATTTTTACAGGAGATTAGGACTTAGCTGAATAGAACATAGATCTTACGACTATGCGTCCCCGATCTCCGACATCTTGCCTGCACAGTGCAGCCATATCAAGGACCTGAAAAACAGTGATCTCGGGCACAAGAATTAATAAACCACCATCGGGTGCACATGAATATTCAAAGTGCTTGACAATTGCTTTATGCATCAAATCTTCGACTACTACCTACTGGCAGCTTGGACTGATGTTGATGTCCGATGTCAACGTCTGCGTATGAGAACCCCCATTCTTTTTTTTCTTTCACTCGCGTAGTGAGACAGACCATCCAATCGCCGTGAGGAGTACATAAAGTGCTCGCTCACAACACAACGAGATAGTATATTCCGGGTACATTCCATATGCTCCCAAAGCTAGTACAGCCCACCTTGGAAGTGCTAAAGTGCTCTCAGCATGATCTCTGAGCAGAGACAAGAACGAAGGTCTTTGCACAGAGCAATCAGGCCATGTGCATTGGGTTCTGTGTTCTGCCTGAAACACGAATCCTCCCGCAAGACGATGCCATGTGCAGTCACGTATCCGCCAAGTGGCTGATGCTGGCTGGGCGCATACGCTCCCAACACCGACGTGCAAGCCAACGCGGATTATTGATTTGGGATGCCCAATCGAGTGCTGTTGAGGTTCGCTCTTCGCAAGATGGACATAAGACTCTCCTTGGTCAAAAAGCCCAGACGGATATACGAACGAAGAATCGATCATCAAGGCGGACATGGTAAAAGCACAAATGACCATGTCATTTTGTGGGATGCGAATGCGAAATGCTATCCAAGAACTCGGCCGAGATGCATTATGGCCAAGTACTCAGGTCAACGTTCGAACGAGAATTCTTGCGGCATTGCGAATCTCGTCACGTCGTATCGCATCGTGACCGAGAATGCGACCAAAGATTCCCGCGTGAAGCTTGGAAAAGGCATGGACGAGGGAAACTTTCATTCTCATCGGCCGTAATGCGGGTACAAGAGTCTTGTGTGCTCGTGTTGTTCAAAGTTTTGTACCTTGCGAAGATTGTTGACACCGCAGCCAAGCTTCTTGGAGGCTGACAGATGGAGAGTAACTTTTGCCAGGCTGGGAAGGGCGGGCTTGGAAAGACAGATGATTTTGCTGTTGCGAGTCAAAGAAAAAAGTAGCTGAGCAATAGTCTTGGTATTGAAGGCGGAGCAGAGTCCTTGGCTGCAAATCAGAGATGATGCGATCGTGGAGTGCCATGACTAGACGTACGAAGAGGAGAAAGAGCAATGCGACCGACGTTATTGCTTCAAGCTGTCTCAGTATAGACGTAACGCCAAACCAGAGCACAAGAAATTTTGAAGTGCAGGGCGTGAATAGACGAACTAGATTATAGGAGCCTTGGGTGCTTACGTAGGTTGAACGACGCCTAGAAGGCATGACTGCCGGCTTTCCGTGAGAAGACTATTTTGCTCGGTCGTGTTGCAATGAGTAACGGGCCAAGCACATGCTATGGGTCTTGGTATATTTGGTGCGACGAGTGTCGAGCGCAGGACAAAGGGGAGTCTGACCGAAGTTCTGCATGTTCAGGATATTGGCAGGCTTGGAAGAGCACGAATGCGTGTCGGGCAAGGAGCAGAGAGAACTGGGCGAGCACAGAGTGGTCAAACGTGCGGCTTGGCATTCGAGGGGTCGCACCTGCCGTGACAGCAGAAGCTGAAGAAGCGCTCCACCAGGACAGCAGAGGATACAGGCAGCAGCAACTGCCTCTCGTGGCGCCAGATTGGCATGATGGCAATGCCAGACATGGCAAAGCAACAGCGATGCAGAGGCATCGGCGACGACAGGCAGATCAAATGGGACTGCATCGGCCAAGGAAAAAGGCCAAGGCCCCAAGACTTGGCCCATTTGGCGGCTACTCGTTTCTGTTGGCATTTGGTCTCTGGCAAACATGTCAAAAGAAGCACGACGGCCGGCTATGCGAGACTGACATGAGCCCTCTGTCTGACCGCCGTCCACAACACCCCGTCGACCTTTGCGTGTCCACTGAGGCCGCCCCGTATCTGCATCTGTACTTGCCCCGGATATAAGCTGGACAATGGCCGATCGCTCCTCGTACCGGCACTCGAATGCCTCGGATTCCGACTCGCAACACACTTTCCATGTCGCCCAACATGCCCCCTCGATACTGCCCAAACCACCGGCTCCCGCGGTCGTCCGACACTCGTCGGGGGACCTGAACGAGAAGCGAGAGAATGGCAGCGACCAAGACCTCGAGAAGCAGGCCAACAGGTCGCCCCGCAGAAGTCCAGACATGGCCGAGCGATACAACCCGTACTTTGTTCATTCTCCGTACGATCAGTCAAGCATGTCTTCGGCTGAAGACGATCACCTGGTAGATCAGCGTCTGCATCTCGAGTCCAAGGCTATCAAGATATTGGTATGTCCATCTATCTATATTCCCATATCTTCTTGTGCTTACATCTTCCAGCTGTACCTGTCTGGTCCTTGTGTCTTGGTTTCTTTTCTCCTCTGTATCTGGTCTCTGGTCATTACCTTCTTCACCGTTCTGACCTATCCTCTACGACTCTTCTCAGCTTCTCGTCAACCCCTCTCAGACGAGCTTCGCTCTCTTCTCGCCCGCTCGAACCGTCTCCAACTCCGAGCAATCTACTCTTTTGACATTACTCAAGGAAAGAGTGTCTCGAGTCTACTACTGGTTCATGTTCTCTCGCCCTTGGTCGCCATGGTTGTGTCTCTCAGCGCCTGGGCGGTCGCAATCTACTGGGTATTCGCCGCCATGATTGGTGACCCTGACGGCACTGAAGGCGGAAATGATGGCAGAGCCACCGTTCTGGGTCTTCGAGCTTACTGGGAGATGTGGCTCTGCAAGGCCATGATCCAATAATCCTCTTTGATCTGGTCTCATGATCTGCGACATGCCTCACAATTCTCTCAGCTCGCTCGAACCAGCGGCTGTGTTCTTTCAATGTTTTGCCATCTAGGTTCACGGATGAGCTCTTTGTTTACTGTCTAGCAAGGTGTTGGGGGTGTTTTTTCCTTTTTACGGCCACGGCCTGGGAGTCAAACGATCACGATTATTCTCGACTTGCTTTTTTCAACTTGCTCTTTTTACCAGAATTATACCACTCAGCGCAGCAACGTCAAACAATTATTACTCACATAATCCCAAAATCACGCGCCTCATTTGAACTTTGTCCTTGGGTGATTCGACTCCGCGGATTTGATCGCGTGGACTGATCCTCCATGAACCATAACATCCACAGCATATCGCTTGCCTTGACCCAAGACCCTCAATTTCGATCGCATAGCCTTCCTTAGAATCCCCATCAAACTCACATCCACTTTCCGGTCCATATGTCGAGTCGACTCTCTTTCGCGAGCGCTGGTATAGACGCGTATGTTGACTACGACTTCTGGCATATCGCGATGCCTGATGGCGTTGGTTGACGATATATCAATCACCTACTCGAGGACCGAGCATCAAACCAATACCAGCACAGCTGGTTCATCTTCATTGGTCTAGTGGTCATGATTTCCGCTTGTCAAAAGTCACATTTCGTCAAGCGCGGGAGACCAGGGTTCGATTCCCTGATGGAGAGCACCAACTTTTGTTTTCTGTGGGCTCATGCTCTGACGGTAATGGCTCAAACTTGGGAGCTGCTCTGGCTCGAACTTTGATTTCATTTGTTTGCTGTTTTGCGGACAAAGGTGGGATGGTGTCTTCTTGTTCTCCTGCCCAATACTTTGTCTGTTTCAAAAAGCTTTTTGTCTACGGCAATCAACGTTCCTTTACATCTTCGGACTGCTGCTGGCTATGGGCAGTCAGCGGATGCCTCACCAGCTTTGGCAAGTATGGCAATGATCTTTGATCCAATTCACCATGTACAATTTGCGTCAAAACATGAGGCTCTTCTTCAGGCACCTGGACTTGTATATCTCAAGACACCGCTGATCTGGACTACTGATGCGGAAGAAATGTACAGAGGTCGGATATTGCGTGATGGGGTATGTTTGAAATGCTATGGACGAGGCTGGAGTCAAAGAACGATGCGTAGACCTCAATGAACCCTCAGTACATCAGAGTGATGATGTGGTCTCTCGCCTTCGCTGGAGAATACCTGATCCAAAAGGCCGTGAGCCGCTTGACCACCTCGTAGACTCGTTCAAGTCAGGGTGAAGCAAAATCTCGCCTAGGCGCAGTCCTGGAGACAAACTGATGAGCTCAATTCTTTTCGTCGGTCTTAGGGCTTGTCTTGTGGCTAGTCTTGTTCTTGAAGGAAGTGTTATCAGGTTGCTTGACTTTGGAGTCTTNTGCCGACACCACATGCTGCTTGATGTTAGTCTTGTACCATTGCGATCGACATGTCGACTTACTCAATTTCCATTCCCCAATACTCTCATGCTCATGGAAATCGCATAAGGCTGCCTCGCAACATGGACAATCGGCACATGCTTCTCTCTTGACCACGCACGTTCTGGCAGCTGCTCTCTTGATCCAGGCCATGAGGAATCCGTTGGGCAGCACATCCTCTGGAGCTCGATAGTCGGGCATCCAATGGTGAGTGTACAGATCCAAGAGCCAGCGGTATGAAGGTGAGAATGGAGGCAGTGACTCGAGTGCGATTGTAGCATCCTCGAAGAGTGGTGGTTGGCTGTGAGTCCGCCAGGTTCTTATGACTGTCATGATGTGTCGACGGAGGGCGAGCATATCAGTTTTGTCGGCAAAGACATACAGGTTGAACAGAAGATCCCATCTGAGCTTGCTAGTAGTACGTTGACCAGTATAAAGCCAGCCGATGAGCAAGTAGCAGCACTCGGAATCCAGCTCTAGGACGAGCGACTTGTTGTGAACTGCGGCCTGGAATGTCTTACTGCCGTTCTCTGACTCTGTTGTATCTGTCACTCCTTCGTCTGGTTCGTTGTTGGTCGGCGTGAGTTGAATCATCTCCGTAGCACGTCCGATGATCTTACTGGTAGTCTGTTAGTTCCCTCACCATAGTGCGATGTCAATGGTGAACATACGCCACCTGGAAGGCATTCCATCTCTTTGCGCACTCGGCGACGGAGCGTGGCGCCATGATGACTCGTGCGAAGAAACACCTTGATCAATGAAAGTGTATGTGCTGTAGAAGAAGGAAGGAAACACAGTCTGTGTGTGAAAAATGTGTTCGTATGGAGTCAAAGTCTTGCTGTGGAACTCGTCCTCTCTCACCGCCGCTCACTGCCTTCCACGCAAAAACATGTGAATGCACTTCACTTGCGAGTGTATCTCTATTTGATCACTATCACGATCAGGACTGTGACAACGCTCTCGATCAACACACACAATCTCTGAGTATCACTATTAGTGCGGATACTGAGCTATGTATCACGATTTACAAGAGAGTGAAGTCAAGATCGAGAATGAGAGTATACTGGAATGATTGATCATGCGGTAGTCTGACGCCTCCTGAAGAAACAGCCAGAGACGAAACTGGATGTGACTAGATCTACATAAGAACTCCCAGTTATTGGGAAGGAACACTGATGGCCCTCACCAGCTCTTAAATTAGAAATCTCCTCGCAGTGCTTTGTGCATGGTCAAGTGAGGAAAGCGTGCTATCCAATACTTCCATGGTCAAGTTGTCCGTCACCAGCCTCAATCATCAGCTCTAAAAGCCGTCCTCAGGCTCGGGATACCAACTATCACCACAGCCTGTCTTGGTCAGGACTTGGTCTCAGAAAATCGTATGCGTGAAGTCCAATTTACTTGAAAAACGTTCCTCAGCGTTGCGGTGCTCATGATGGTTGCAGGCTTTAGCACAGCAATGGCAACTCACCAGAGGCACTTTGCGGTGTGGTGCAAGTCTCCTCTTGAGTTCACGAGCAAAGTCGACAGGTACACCTTCCGAGACGGCATCGATGTACTCAAGAGATCGGTCAACGGATCGGTCAACGGATCGGCCGTAATGAACCATTCTGTCAAGCAGATAACGAGTAAGAGACGAATTGCTCGGCAACGAGTTCAACAAGTCTGCTGTGCTGGGATCTCTGATTGAGGGATGGAATCTGGATTCGACGATTTGTGTCATGATCGTTCTGCGCAGGGTTAAGTTCATGGTTTGATCGGCTAGAATGTAGAGTTGACAAAGACTCTAGGGGTCGTCTTGTGGTAAGAAACTGGTGTACAACCATTGAACGAACAACTTGCAGCAGTCTGGATCCATGTCTAGCACCACGGTGTTGTGAGTAGCCTCCTTGAATAGTCCCCCTAAGAGGGCGCGGTAGTATGGTGCGAAGAAGCAGAAAAGGTCGCGGTGCACTTCGTTTCCAGGAGGTCTCTCATCAGCTTGATCGTCGTCTTTGGAGATGACCTCAACAAAGTCATCAGATGTAGCAATGGTACNCACTAGATGAAGTGACACGTCAGCTTCGAGGACATGAGTTGTATGGATAAATCCTTACCGAACCTCGGACCGTGTCCACACGCCCTCAATGCGTGGTGCTGAGCCAGGGGGAACAGCCCCAGCCTGCTTGCGGCATGCGATCTGGTCGCTCAATTCAGTGTTCAGCTTGCGCAGATTCTCCCTCGCAGCATCAATCTCGATGCGCTTCTCGCGTCGTTTTGTCATGGCGCTATAGATGAATTGGTGAATGAATGGGAAGAGAGGATCAGGAAGTCATAACAACGATTCGGACGGAGCGACAGCGAGGTTCGGTAAAATAGGTTGTGAGAGTGGAGACGCGACAATACTGCAATACGGTTTCCAAGATGTGAGATGATGATGGTCGAGGGACGTTTGAGATGACCACTCCATTCTACAGTGTCGATGAACTTGATCAAACAATCTAGCAAGTTCGTTGTTTGTCAGATCTCAGCTGTCCGTGACCTGTCTAACTTCAACTGCTGTGGGTTACGGTGATGTCTGTTAAATCGTGGTTGGCGATAGGGTAACGTTGTTCAAACTCTTCATTATCTGCACACAATATGTGCAACCTGTCTGATGACCGTGAATTCCAACCATTGTCAAAGTCATAAGAGTCTATGCTGACACACCATCTATGTACCTTCGACCTCGATAACGCCCACGCGTGAGGGACTATAGCCCAGAGCGCCAGTGTTTATATTCACAACCATTCTAGCTTAACACTTCGCGCGAAGTTCTGCTACGGTGACGATTCGCTGATTTTCGGGGTGATCTAGGATCTATCGATCTTGCCGAAGGGTGTCGACGATGACTNGAGGGGGCGACTAGAATGCGTATGAGTACGACTGTGTCTATGCTTGGAATGTTGACGATGTGATCTGACCTGAGTTTGACCACTTTCCATGGCATAGAGTTGAGGCTCGCCCCTGCTTGGGAGACGTCCATTGCCGAGAAGTTTGCTGGGGTGCAAGATAAGGAAGGCAGCGGTGACCAAGAGCATAAAGACAGCATCGAAGATGTACAGCATCCATTCATGAGTAATGATGTATCCGTCGTTTCCTTGTGCATACTCAATCACACGGATGAGATTACGGATAAGGATAATAGCGCTACAGAAGTACAAGTTGTGCATGTGCTTGCGCCAGTTCAGGTTTGAGTCGACAGAAGCACCGGTAGGAAGCTTGTTAACGCGAATGTGGAAGAGGCCGGCCACAATTACGAAGAAGCCGAAGATGACAATTTGTATGATGAGACCAGCGATGACAAGGTTCTTACCGAGATTGAATGCGTCGAGATCGCCTCTAGCCTGCTGGCCAGCGCCGGAAGACTGCACAAGAAAAGAGAAGACATCACCAATGACGAAGACTTTGGTAAGCCATTTGGTGCGAATGATGGAGTACTCTTCAGCATCAAGAAGACGGATAACACGGCCGAGGACCATGTAGATCGAAGCAGCGTAGAGTGCAGGAGCGACCAGAATCAGAAGACTCTGCATGATGAAGGGTCCAAGTGCTTCCTTGTCGCTGTGTGAAAGAGCACGGCCGACATATCCTATGCACTCAACNNTATAAGGCGTTAGTTCATAAACGGGTCCGAAAAGTCGGTATCGATACTCACAGAGCACACCGATGGCGAAGGCGATGAAGTAGCGAGCACGCAGTCTGGCGATGTAGTAGACATGACCGATGAAGCCAAGTGCGAAGAGCACGACGAATATGATTGCAGCTGCGATGGATGGGGTGTAGTGATACAGGACGAATTTGATCTCTCCCTTCTCTGAGTCGGACATCTTGTATGATTTGGCGGAATTGGATTCTTGCAAGTAGGCGAGGGTTGACTAGGGTGGGCTGAAGACGGTGTCTCTGGAGGGGAAGGACGAGAGAGATGAGATGAGGAGATAGGAAAAGAGAGAACCAGAGATCAAGATTATATGCTGCATCTTACACGTCTGCCTCACATTCATGGCACTGCCTCTCCAATACGTACTAAGTCGCAATCAAAAATGTTGTCGACCGTATAGCAATTACGGTCGTATTCACCGTATTGCGTAGGAAGGCCTCGAGCAAACGCGAAGGGTGGCCTCTCATTGGTCCTTGTGCCAGCATATGCCCTAAGATTGTTGCCAAGTCTTCCTTGTATACGGTGCATCCGGTCCTCTTATCACGACTATGTTGTTGGGCCGAAACTTGGTGGTGGAGAGCATGAACGGAGGTTTGAAGTTCCGCTTCGACATCTGCGTCCATCATCCCTCATCCTTGTCCGCACGCACGGCTATGGATTTGCACAATGGTCTGAAGGATCTCAATGCTCCAGCCTAGCCACAAAGCTCTAGTAATTCGGTGGACGGTCAATTCCCATGTGTATTCTAAACCTTTCGGCCTCGCTGCCTCAAGGCGCATATCGAAATCCCGCAACTCATGATGCCCACACAAACGCGTACTCTGAGAGCCATCTTTCCGAACCTCGTACACGAAACAGGTATGTCTTGGTTTGCCGCTAAGTTAGCCTTATCATATGTTCTCACGTGCCATCTCTTTTACATGTTCAACACCTCACTGGAACAAGCATTGTTTCACCACTTATTCCAATGGTTCCTACACGGCCCTGCACCACTCTACAAGACCTACGGCGCTTCCACTCTTAAGTACATTTACAATCCTTCTTGAAGTCTCGATTACACATTCGATCGGGACCAGGCTGAAGTACCTTTTTGTGGACATGCATTCGAATTTCTTGCGGCAGGGGCACCTGACTTGGACTAGCTTGAAATGGCTAGCGGGGCTCGAGAGAGCGAGAGCCGCAATACACACCGCTCGAACCCGTTTGTCGAAAACACAACTTCGACTCGATGACTTGAAAAGTTTGCTTCGTGGTCGGTTCATGTATCGAATCTGGCATATCGTCATCTATGGATATAAGTCGCGGGTATGATCGCGTAGAGAAGGTCGTAGGAGCTGAGGTGTCCTCCAAACAGAAGGACTCAACATTCCGTAACAAATCTGGGTTTTACGGTTCTGGGTCTCAAGATATGCACCAAGATCTTAGCTGCGGAGATTGATTCACTACGAAACATCTGGGAGCGAAAAGTCTCGTATCTGGCCGAGGTGTCGACATCAGGAGATGTTCTTGTTCGAGAGGGCTTCTGGGGACGACCCGAAAGAGCTAGGGTTGATCTGGGGATGGAGCCCGCCTCGAGGTTATGCGAACGATGGTTGGTGGAACAATCTCAATCGCTAGCTCGACCCCACATTCCCAGCAACCATCGATGGTATGATCGTCCTGCTCTGGGACCTGACTGCTGCGGGCTTCTTACCGGTGGATCACAGCAGGCTAGGATTGCATGTGGAGTTGCTATAAAGTCATGTTGACTTCTTTACCACCCTCCTGTCATGTACTTCTGCCCATCTCATGATCAACCATGGACAAACGCGACGACACAGCTAAGGAGGAGGAGGTAGAGTACATCGACTACAAGACACCTCAGGAACCAATTACTGGCGAGCTCGACGTCGACCAAACAGATCTTTACATAGAGGCTCTACGACGCTATCCCAATGACGAATCGATCGACCAAGCCGATGAGAAGAGACTGAAGCGCAAGCTAGACACACGTATACTGCCGCTGCTAGGTATATGTTACTTCTTCTACGTAAGTTGAGATTGGACATCGACCTTGGAACATCAACAAGAACTGACTCGATACAATACANNGTATGTCGACAAAACGACCTTATCCTACGCTGCGATCTTCGGCATCAAAACCGACCTGAAGCTGACTGGCGAGGAATACTCATGGTTGTCGAGTATATTCTACTTTGGCTGGCTAGTCTGGGCCATACCTTCCAATCTCATTATGCAAAGATGCCGCCCTGGATGGTACTTGTCCTTCAACATCTTCATGTGGGGAGCATTGCTCATGTGTCAGGCTGCTGCGAACAACTTCCCAGCTTTGGCAGCATTGCGCATCTTATCTGGCGCCTTTGAGGCGATCGCCGATCCGGCTTTCATGCTCATTACGTCCATGTACTATACTCGTGAGGAGCAGCCCTCTCGAATCGCAGCATGGTATGTGTGGAACGGTGTGGGTGTTGCCGGTGGCGGTTTGATTGGGTAAGTCAAATCTTTGCGAGCGAGTCAGACAGGTTTCAACTCCTAACACTTTTGCAGATACGGAATTGGCAACATCAATAGTGCCCTCGCCTCCTGGCGCTATGAATTCTTGGTCGTCGGCGCCTTCTGCTCAGCATGGGCAATTGTTCTCTGTCTGCTTCTCCCCAACTCACCTACGACCTTCAAAGGCTTTTCCCGTGATGAGAAGCTAATCATGATCGCACGCATGCGCCGCAACCAGACTGGTGTTGAACAGAAGCGTATCAACTGGGATCAGATCAAGGAGGCGTACCTCGACTACAAGACATGGCTATTCACTCTGCTTGGGTTTACTGCCAACATACCTAACGGTGGGATTTCTAATTTTAGTACACTGGTCATCAAGGGTCTAGGGTTCAACACTCTGCACACAGCACTGCTTGGTATCCCGCAGGGAGCTCTGGTAGTCTTCTGGATTGGTCTTGGAGCCATGGCAAACAGATATCTGCCTAAGAACAGTCGTACTATCGTGTGTGCGCTCTTCATGCTACCTACCATTGCCGGTGCCCTTGGCTTCTTATTGGCACCCGATACTGCTTATGTTGGGCGATTGATCTGCTTGTGAGTTGAGATATCTCCGATTGATGACCGTTTATCCAAGCTGACACATGCACAGNNCTACTTGACGGGCTCGTATCAGGCCTCATTCGTACTGTCTCTATCATTGGTCACCAGTAATACCGGCGGTCAGTCGAAGAAGATGATAGTATCTGGAATGATCTGGTTCGGCGCATGTGTTGGAAACATCGCTAGCCCGTTCTTCTACAGACAAGAGCAGGCACCTTCATACCCTCTGGGTATCGGCTCCCTGTTGGCGGCAAACTGTATCGAAGTCTTGCTATTTGGAGCGCTGAGATATGCTTTCATCTGGGAGAACAAGCGCAAGGAGAAGATCAGACTCCGCATGTGCGAGAGTGGTGAAGCTGCTGAGCTGAATGACACGGCCTTCAGCAATTTGACGGACAAGCAGAATCCTAACTTCGAGTATGTGTATTGAAGAGCACTTTCAGCATAGATATATAGATATGTCTACACTTGTCATCAACTTCAGCATCTGGAACTTGTTGGACAGAACTGATTAAAACAGCACCTGAACAGGCAAGGCCTTGACCCGATCGCTCGAGATACCTCTATCTGCACGTCGACCTTAATCATAGGTCGACATCATGTATTCAGTCAGTGTTGCAAAAGAGGAAGGATGAACAATTTGATGTTGTCGTTGGCTCGCGATAGCGGGTATGGAGCTTGGACCGGATCCCTTATCGCTCGCTGCCCCACCTGTTCAGGACCCTCCCACAAAGACCCCTCGACATCAAGCTCTCCAAACTTTTGTTCTGTAACAACTGTTTTCCTCACAAAGTTCTGTTATCAATCCTATTGCGCCATGTCTCACTCACACGACGGAGCTCACTCCCACTCCCACGAAGCCGTTGACCATGGCCACACCCATGAGATCCTCGATGGTCCTGGCTCCTTCTTGGGCCGCGAGATGCCCATCGTGGAAGGTCGCGACTTCCGCGAACGAGCCTTCACAGTCGGCATCGGAGGGCCTGTAGGCTCAGGAAAGACCGCTCTGATGCTGGCCCTCTGCCTCGCCCTACGCGAGAAGTACAACATCGCCGCTGTCACCAACGACATCTTCACCCGCGAGGACTGCGAGTTTTTGACCAGACACAAAGCACTGCCTGCCGAGCGCATTCGCGCCATTGAAACAGGTGGTTGCCCTCATGCTGCTGTCCGCGAGGACATCTCGGCAAATCTGCAAGCTTTGACAGAACTGCATCAAGAATTCAACACGCAGTTGTTGCTTATCGAATCTGGTGGTGACAACCTCGCTGCAAACTACAGTCGCGAACTTGCGGATTTTATCATCTATGTTATTGATGTTTCGGGCGGTGACAAGATTCCGCGCAAGGGCGGTCCGGGAATCACGCAGTCTGATTTGCTTGTCGTCAACAAGACCGATCTGGCTGAGCTGATTGGTGCTGATCTTGGAGTCATGGACAGAGATTCGAGGAAGATTAGGTATGAGCTTCTGAGCACACTTTGTATGAACGTTCATTAACAGACAATANNTAGAGAGGGTGGTCCCACTATCTTCGCACAGGTCAAGAATGGCAAGGGTGTAGATCACATTGTTGATCTGATACTGAGTGCTTGGAGAAGCAGTGGCGCAAGTCAGGCTAACCCTCAATAGTTGAGAGGGTTTAGGTTGCCACAGACTGGCGATTGCCGCTACAAGTGAGTCCAGACACCACAATATGATAGAACAACAAGCGGGCACAGGGCGAGACATCTCGAAAGCAGACAAGGCAGAAGATACTACGGAAATATCGGAGGAAGGACAATCGAACAGCATCACCCGCGTCATGTTCGACTATCCAACGGGAGAAGATGCAATCCTTCAGTACGGATTTTGCATTCCAGAAAGCAATGCAAATTGAAGGTTCACAGAAGACAAAAAGTCCGACCAGTCGAACACATGGTGTTTCACTCCCATGAGAACTTATCTCCCTATTCTCTTTGCCTCTATCTTCTCTCCCAGAGTTGCTGAGCAAAGACCTTCGAGACTCTATATACAGCATTCAAACAGTCCCCAAACTACAGATTCCCGAAAATCTTCTTACGACAGCTTTCATCCAACACGCCCTCTTGCGCTTTGTGAACTCCGGCATTATGCACATTATCCACCTCTCCCTTCAAAGCGACAGAAGCTCAGCATATCTTATGGAATCTTCCATCAGAGTCCTCGGGAGGCCGAAATACAGAGTGTGTCCGGTCAACGGTTGCTTCGATCTATAGCTCACCATGACACACCATTACTTATTGTTTCGGACCAGAATTTGGTTTCTGGTCACCACGCTTGCACGGGGCAAGCTAAGTAGGCGAAAAGAGATCATGGAAGGAACATACAATCAAGGTAGATGTTATGAGTTGAATGACTCCTTATATGTGGCGCTATACTACTGCAACTCCATAAGCGCCGGCGCTTATGCTATACGAATTTATTGCGAACCATGGCCATCTCAAACACAATGAAAATTTCCAGTAGGCTTGATGTTGCAAGAGTTGTTAGTTCCACCTGTGATGTGAACATTGTTGAAGGTAAAGTCCAAGCAACTACCATCTCCACAAAGGATGTAGTAATCTCTAGCCTTAGCCTGAGCAGTGCCGAAGATATTGGACATGGTAATATTCTTTATGATGACACCGTTCGTAGGGCTCCCAGTCGGGCCTCCATTGAGGTAGTCTTGCTGAATATCAATACCGTAGATATCGACATTTGAGACTTGGATGTTGCGGTACTCGATGCTNNGGACATGATCAGACTTCTTGAAAAGAAGGATGGCAGTGCGCAGGACTTACTTGGCAATATAGCCAGTGGTTCCGGAGTTGGACTTTATTCTTGCACCGTTCTGGCTGTTCAGCACTTTGCTGTTTTCGAAAAGAATATTGGTAACGTTGTTGTTGCTCTTGCCACCGACGCTTCCAATTGACAGACCATGGCCGCCATCACAGTACATGTTTGAAACGGTAATGTTATTACCGCTGGTGACAGCAACACAGTCGTCTTGGTTCAATACTGTCGAATCTCTCAAGATCATGCCATTGGTGCCCGAGATGTCGAATCCATCTGTGTTGTGAGCAGCAGCGAGTCCATTTGATCTGCTGTTGGGAGCTTCGCCGGCTGTGTTGTTTAGAAGGATGTTCTCCACAACAAGTCCATCACTTCCACTGATATAGAAGCAATGAACAGGATAGTTCTGGATGACAAGGTTCTTGACCACAGACTTGCCGATGGCCTTGTTGACAGTGATGAAGTGGTTTGGCTTGGCGACACCTCCGTTTGAACCAAGACCATCCCACCAGGCCTGGCCATTGCCGTCGATTATGGCACCCTTCTCAGCTGTGATGGTGACATCGGTACCAGCGACCTTGATCATATCGTAGTTTGCGTCTGCGTAGGCAAAAGTCGTCTTTCCAGCAAAGGTCACTGTGGATCCGGGTTGTATCTTGGTCAAGTCGAGGGTGGTGTTGCCAGGTACAGCAATACTGTCGAGCACGATGTTGGTGCAAGAAGATACGGCAGCGGCGACGCCAGAGTAAGAGGTAACATGACAGGGGTCGGCAGCTGTAGTGTGAGTCGAAGCCGGAGCAGCCGCAGCTCCAGCGACCAGGCCAGACAATGACAGAGATTGGAGTGCTTGCAAAGGTGAGTAGGATAGATAGAATGTGTTTGAATATACTCACCGATTGATCTCATGTTGACGTGGAAACAGAAGGAAAGAGGAAAGGGGAGAGAGAGAGAGAGAGAGAGAGAGAGAGAGAGAGAGAGAGAGAGAGAGAGAGAGAGAGAGAGAGAGAGAGAGAGAGAGAGATTAGGTAAGGTACTGGGCGAGGACATGAGATGAGTACTTATACTTGCATTTACTCATTACACCAAAGAGGGGACACTCAGATTGTTCTCTCGGTTGATCTTCAACAAGCATGCTCAGGCGTCCAGACCAAGACGAGACAAGCGAGAGCCATCATCAAGGAGGTGGCTTGATTCGCCTATGGTGACTCCGCAAGCAAAGGCGACACGTTTCGGAAGAATTGCTTGATATTGCAGATCATCCTGTAGGATCTGAATTCTTCCGCCATACAAAGTTTTGGTGTGACATGAAAGTCCAACACAAGGGCTGCAAGAGAGAGGCTCCGGATCTGCAAAGCGGCACACTGCGGACCGCAAATGCGGAGTGTGTAAGGCGGCGAGCTGCATGATGGTCCCGAGACAGAACAAGAGATGGCTTTGCAGAAGGCGATCGCGAAACCGAAGACTTTCGTCCGAGTTGTACTGACGCAGGACTGATACATACTCGTAGCGACCATGAAGCGCAGAGGGCAATCGGTGTACTCTAGACTCGAAGGTATATCATGTATTCGTTGACACTCGATGAGCAGAGAGATCACAGCGAACGTCGAGTCAAAGAGATGGCTGCGACGCAGACGGGCCGGCCCTCATGTACTGTATGTTTGGGGCTCAGTGGAGGCCAGATGTTGCTGCTGCATGGTCACGTTGCGGATGTATCAAGCCACGATGGTTGAGTCGGTACCTGACAAAGCAAGTGACGAGATGGCAGGTACATGGATGAAGAAGGAAGGCGAACCTCCCAGCACACTTTCACTCTAGGCAGGCACGCAAGAAGAGGCAAAAACACGGTGAACTGGTGAACGTAGATGAAGGTAGGTAGCAGCAGGCAGGAGGCAGGAGCGGACAAATACACGTGCGTGCCAGGGAAGCAACGATCAGGTGGCCCGTGCAGAGCATGGTCAATCACATGCAAAGAGCTGCATCATTCACCCTCGACCGACATGAATGCGCTCTCTACCACAACCACGACCACCATCAAACCCTCTCAGGATAGCGACAGAGTAGCATCAGTATCTTCCCACTTGCTCGTCACTCGACCCACTCATCCTGCCATTGCTTGCGACATCACGCCTCGATCCCGACTCCGCTCAGCACGACTCAGCCTCGAGCCATCTCTACCCGCAAAAGATACTCGATGAGCCAACCCGGGTTCCCTTGGTCATACTAGGATGATGCCCTTCCCAGCCCAGGTGCTCCCGAACAGATCAGACGCGACAGCTTGCAGCCGCAACAGTCGGCCGAGCCTGCCACACTCCCACCCGTACCTGCCGTCCCTGACATGATGGCTTCCGACAACCGTTCGTCTTGGTCCACTACTCCCTTTGGATGTGAGCATTAGCTCATCACACTTGAACTGCAGCGCTGACACGCTCACAGACGAGTTCCCCTACCAACCCGAGAACCTCCCTTCAGGCCCGCCGCTGCTCGATCAAGACGAGTCCACCACTCTCCAGAACTTCTTCAGCGATCCAGATCACTATGGAGGCCCAGACAACCTGCCCGACGCCTTCTTGGCCAATATGAACACCCTGCCCGAGACAAGGCTTCAGCAGTACGACCAACTCAACGACTCTCAATGGATGTACCCTCTGGACAATCAGTCGTTCCCTGCATCGTATCCAAACCAAGAGCAAAGCTTCCAATTCCAGAACTCCAACTACAACCAGAGAACCTTCCAGGCACCCAAAGACCCCAAGGACCTGCTCGCCCTTGTGGGCATTCCAGAGGCAAATGCGTCTGCAGATGTGCTTCATGCTGCCTCGACCTTGTTCTCATATCGAGCAAACCCCAATCAAGGTCTTGGTTCTGTAAACTTCCCTCAGTCTGCAACTCCACAGCAGCCCGTGGTGCAGAGCACAAGCCGCCATGCTTCGTTTCCCTTCTCGGTCCCCGCGACGACTAGCTCCTCGGCGGCCCAGTANCCCCCGGCCAATGGTCACTTTCGTGCATCGTTTGACAATCCGACAACGAACCCTCACTCACATCCCCACTCCCACTCTTCCTCCTCTCATCAGTCCGCCACTCCCATGTTCCACTTTGGCTCGGACAATAACTTCCGCCAAACTGGTTACGCTGCCCCCTATCAAGATCTCGAAGCCAGCAACATCCAGCACGTTGAATTCGCGCGCAACATGGTCCACTCATCCAACGACGCCTTGTCTTCTGTGGAGAACTCGGTCCCTCATACCCCTGACCTGAGCAGAGGCCTCCATAGCTACTACCCTGGTAGTATGCAGGCTCTTACCAATCTTGCTGATCAGACTTCTACCGGAGAGTCTGACCAGCCCAAGAACAACAAGCGTCGCAAGTCCAAGCGCGCAGACGACCATGACTTTGACGCATCCATCACCTCTCCTGCCTTCCGCATCAACAATTCCAGTCCCGACGGCGACAACACCATTGCCGACTCGGACGACAACGATCGCGAAGACAACATGTCCAAGCCATCCATCAAGCGTCGCAGAGCTTCGTCTGGTGCAAACAGCAAGCTCGGCAGCATTGCTCGCAAGAATCTCACCGAGGATCAGAAGCGCAGCAACCACATTCGCTCTGAGCAGAAGCGTCGCAACATCATCAAGCAGGGCTACGAAGATCTCAACGAACTCGTGCCTAACCTCAAGACTGGCGGTTTCAGCAAGAGCGCCGTCCTCACCGAGACTACTCGCTTCCTTGAAGAGATTCACCTGGGCAACAACAGCATGGAGACTTATTTGCGTAACCTGGCTGCTGAGAAGGGCGTGGCCTTTGAGCTATAATCTTGAGCGGGCGTTTGTGGAGTTTTTCTTTACCTCTTCTCTGGCGTCCGTGGGCGGCAATGAGCATCTTTGCATTTCGAGAGCATGGCCCCATCTGTTTTTCTTCTTTCTCCTTTGTCCTGGGCAGGAAAGTCTGACCCTCATCATCTGTTTTTTTCTTTTCACTGTGTTTTTCTTCTGCAAATGCGAATCTGATGATTGATGCTCAAATTGATGGAGGGGACAAAGGATCGATTAGCAGCATAACATTCATGGGGGCAAGAGCAGATTTATCTTTGTGTTTCTTTGATTTTTTGTTCTTACCCATACAATGCCAAGCTGTGGAAATGAATTCACAAGGGTTTTCACAGTCGTCTTTTCCCCTTTTCATGTCTTTTTGCCATATATCAAGTTGCAGGTCAAGCTTGCTGTATCAGTGTATCTCAGCAAGCAAATTGACGTATTGGACGATGTGTTTGTGATGGTTTTGTGTGTAAGGAGAGAGATGCTTATAGACAAGTGTTTTTCTCATGAGCATGCTTTGAGATATCAAAATAGTGCATAGTATGCTTTGAGATATCAGACTAGTACATAGTATGAGGCGTACTCAAGATACTGAGGTGCTCAGATTGCTTGAGCATTTCTCTTTGTGGCAACAGACAGTCATCATGCTTTATTGTTACATTGCAATGCTCGCGTTCAAGTCTACAGAGCAAGCATGTAAGTTTTGTCTGGAAGTGTTAATACACACATGGATTGGTCACATTTGAGACATTCAAGTGGTCACTTCTTCAAGTTATTGGGTACGGTATAGACAGATTTGGTTTTCTGGTGTTTATATCATTTTTTCTTTTTGGTAGGATTATGGTGATGCAAAGAAGAGGAAGAGGGAGTTCCGGGCTCTTTGTTCTTCCTCGTTGCTGATTTCCTATCATTTCTTGCGCTGCTTTGGCAACAAGATCACTCATTTCATACCCAAACTGTTCAATTCAAGACACTCCCCTTCTTCTCATGCATTTTCTCCTTGCCCCATCCCCAACGCTTTTCTTCTATCTCGCACCAGCGGTGACGACAGTAGTACTCGTAGTCGTGCTGCGACTTTCGCTCTCGCTCGTCGTACTCATCAAAGTCATGGTGGTGATGGAAGGCAATTGGAAAGGCGTCAATGTACTCGTAATGGTAACCGTCGGAGCAGATTTGGTAACCGTGACGGGAGGGATAGTCGTAGGCGAAGGGAGGATAGTAGTTGTCGAGGACACCGTGGTTGTGGAGGCAGGAAGTATGCTAGGCGAGAGCGTGACGGTGCTGAGAAGGGTTGTAGTCGAGATGGATGTGGAGATTGAGGTGGTTGTGGTGGGCTGCAAGAGCTGCTGTTGAGGGAACGGCATGGGTTGAGCGATGGGTAGGGGCAGAGTGTTCCAGAGAGCGACAACCGTGTAGACGAAGAGGACGCTGGATTCAAAGAGCAGGACCAGGATCAGGGAGGATGAAGAGGACTGTAGGGATGTAGATGCCGCCTCTGCGCTCTGGGTAGCTGGTGAAGACTTGAGGAGCTGCAGGCGGTGGTGGTGGAGGAGCTTGAGACTCTAGGTCTGCAGCTGGCAATGGTGGTGGGTAGAGAGCCGAGTCGCGACTGGACTCGAGATCTTTGTTGAGGTGTTTCTCGAAGGTCTGTTTGAAGGGCATCTTGTTCGTGTTTTGAGTTTCGTAGAGGCTTCAAGTTTGAAGGAGTGTCGAAAGATTGGAGATATTGAAGGTCGATTAAGAGGTAGAAGTACGTCCAGCGTATAGTGTGTGTTTTCCGAGGTTGTCTAAGAGCAGGAAACTGAAGAAGTGCGAAGAAGCAGAACTTGAAAGAGTGTTGGAAGAAAGACAAAGCACGCTCGACAATGAACAAATCTATTGCAGCACTGAATGAATGTGATTGTATCGACGACAACAAAAAGCCATGAATGGATGTCAAAGAACAGAAAGCAGGGATGTCAAAGTCTTATTGTCTGTAGAAGGACCTACACGCTTCTATTGTCTCGAGAAGGCCAATCGAGGAAGCTCATGGCGAAGGCGGCTGTTGTGCCTCAATGGGTGGCTATGGAAGCAGATCAGTTGTCTTTGTGTCATGTCACGTCGAAAGCCTCGAGGGGAGAAAGCTGGTGATGAGGTTTCGCTAAGCGCCGAGATGGTTTTGTTGGTTGTCTCGAAGCGTCGAAATCATGTTGGTGCATCGAAGCGCTCGATTGGCAGCCATGATGCACTCTTGTTGGTACGCCAGCATTCGCGACATGGCAGACGTAGTCCTTGCAGCCAACGTCTACACAACTCTTTGTGACTCAATGCATGAGCTTCTTATCTTCCTTCCGGAAGGAGTTGAACGAAGCATGTGATGAATTGATTATTCTCAGCGACAGGGCGGTAGGATGAGAAAACAAACGAGACTACCTTGATGCTGGTCGCTCAATTCACAGTCATCACGAAGAGGCTCTGTTTTGTGAGTCACTTCATTGTGCTGTCGGAAAGGTGCTGCCGTATGAGCCGATGGTGAGCTTCAGTCCATAATTGCAGATCGAGAAGCAGAGACAGGACATTCATAGCCGAGGACTGATGGCAAGCAAGTATACTCAAGCACAATTGTTCTCAGAGCGACTGCATCGTCCATAAAATAAGGTAAACCTAGAACAAGAATGAGAGTTCTGGGTAGAAAAGATGGTCGACAGACGGCGAACAAGACGAACGAGACGAACGATGGAGGGGCAAGTGTCGGCGAAGCACGGACCCTAGGCCGCCACTCCCGAAGTGGTGCTGAATGCCGTGGGTCGCGCTTTCTGTTTGACTCACCACAACTTTCTTGACCACGTCAATTATTGCATCTGCCCACACTCTTGACTTGTATTTAAAGTCAATTCCTCGAGTGTTTCCCACAGGCACATCTGCCTTCTATACCTATCACTTCCTCTCACTCCACACAACCACCCATCATGGAGCACATCAAGAGAACATTTGCAAAGGCCAAGGAGGAGAACAGAGTCGGTTCAGACAATGCGCACACGATCCTCGCAGTCGACTGACATGCCTACAGNCCTGCCTTGGTCACCTATGTGACTGCCGGCTTCCCTACCCCCGAGGAGACGCCCGACATCATGCTGGCCATGGAGGCTGGCGGTGCCGACATCATCGAACTCGGCATGCCCTTCACCGACCCCATCGCAGACGGCCCTACCATTCAAAAAGCAAACACACAAGCCCTGAAGAACGGCGTCAACATTGTCTCGACCATTCAGATGGTCAGAGATGCAAGGAAAAGAGGTCTTCGCACCCCCGTCATGCTCATGGGCTACTACAACCCCGTACTCAGCTACGGCGAGGACAAGATCCTGAAGGACTGCAAGGCTGCCGGTGTCAATGGTTTCATCATGGTCGACCTGCCGCCAGAGGAGGCTGTCCGTTTCCGCAACCACTGCACTAAGACCGGTCTCTCATACATTCCCCTCATCGCTCCCGCTACATCAGAGAACCGCATGAAGCTGCTGTGCAAGATTGCCGACTCTTTCATCTACGTCGTGTCGCGCATGGGTGTCACTGGTGCTACCAGCTCGGTCAACACTGCTCTGCCCGAGCTGCTCGACCGCGTTCACAAATACTCTGGTGGTGTTGCTGCTGCTGTTGGCTTCGGTGTCAGCACCAGAGAGCACTACTTGAGCATTGGCAGCATGGCCGAGGGTGTTGTTATTGGCAGTCAAATCATCCAGACTCTTGCCGACGCTCCTGCTGGCCAGGGCGCCCAGGCTGTTGAGGACTACCTGGATGGCATTACCCAGCGCAGAGACATCATTAAGTCGCAACCGCGCGAGGAGGCCAGTCTTGAGAACACCGAAAGGGAGGACCTTCCTGAGGAGATCCACGTCGATGGTGTCGTAAAGGACAAGGATACCCCTGACGGCCCTGGTCTGGCTGACCAGATCGAGGCACTCAACACCGACGGACCCATGGACTCAAATGCCATCCCCGCACGATTTGGAGAGTTCGGCGGTCAGTACGTTCCCGAGTCGCTGATGGACTGCTTGCGCGAGCTGGAGGACGGGTTCCAGGCTGCCATCAACGACGACAAGTTCTGGGAGGAGTACCGCTCATACTACGAATGGATGGGTCGCCCTGGTCACTTGCACTTGGCTGAGCGTCTTACTGAGCACGCTGGTGGTGCAAACATCTGGTTGAAGCGTGAGGACCTGAACCACACCGGTTCGCACAAGATCAACAACGCTCTTGGTCAAGTCCTTCTGGCTCGCCGTTTGGGCAAGACCGAGATCATTGCCGAGACCGGTGCTGGTCAGCACGGTGTCGCCACTGCTACTGTCTGTGCCAAGTTCGGCATGAAATGTACCGTCTACATGGGAGCCGAAGATGTTCGTCGCCAGGCCTTGAACGTCTTCCGCATCAAGCTCCTTGGTGCCCAAGTCATCGCTGTCGAGGCCGGTAGCCGCACTCTCCGTGACGCCGTCAACGAGGCTATGCGTGCTTGGGTCGTCAAGCTTGACACCACCCACTACATCATTGGCTCAGCCATTGGTCCTCATCCCTTCCCCACTATCGTCCGCACATTCCAGTCCATCATTGGCCGTGAGACCAAGGAGCAAATGATGGCCTTGAAGGGCAAGCTTCCCGATGCCGTCGTCGCATGTGTAGGCGGTGGATCGAACGCAGTAGGCATGTTCCACCCCTTCTCCAACGACCCCAGCGTCAAGCTTCTCGGTGTTGAAGCCGGTGGTGACGGTATCGACACTGACCGTCACTCTGCCACTCTTTCTGGCGGCACCCACGGTGTCCTCCACGGTGTACGCACTTACATCCTGCAAGACAAGCACGGCCAGATCTCAGACACACACTCCGTCTCGGCCGGTCTCGATTACCCTGGTGTTGGCCCTGAGCTTGCTAACTGGAAGGATACCGACCGTGCCAAGTTCATTGCCGCCACTGACGCCGAAGCCTTTATCGGATTCCGTCTGCTATCTCAACTCGAGGGTATTATCCCCGCTCTCGAGACCTCGCACGCCATCTTCGGTGCCATGGAGTTGGCAAAGACGATGAAGAAGGACGAGGATATCGTCATCTGTCTTTCTGGTCGTGGTGACAAGGATGTGCAGAGCGTGGCCGAGGAGCTTCCCAAGATCGGTCCCAAGATTGGCTGGGACTTGAGATTCTAGATGTGTTGATGTCCATATCTCATATTATAATGTTCTGGGACGAAAATGAAGGCGTCAAAAACTACTTAGCGATCTGATAGAAATCAAGATTTTGAATTACGAAATATACTCTGGAGTCCTGTGTCTCTATTCTGTTCATCTAAGCCCAGCTCGTGTGTTGAAAAGGCAAGTTCATTCTCTACACAAAAGACGAGATATCAAAGAGCTTCGTGTATGATGCAACAAGAAGCAAGGCCATGTACGGTGTGTTTGTGTTTTGTGTATTTGGAGGAAGAAAAGAGTGGGTTCTTGCGGTTATATACAAAAAAAAAGCAGTAGACACCCCTTTTGCTCTTGCCCAAACACACACGATTGAGATGAATGAGAATGGGAATGATAAGAGTGGGAGGATACTGCCACTGAGAATGAAAAAGAATGATAGGCGATAAGAGCATGAAGCGAGACTGATCTGTCCATAGCCATCCTACTCGCCTCGTATCAAAGCGCAAAGCCTGCTTTGCTCGCTCATGTGTTGCAATAAGGTAGGGGTTTGTTGCATGCCAAAGATAAAGAGACAGGTAAAAGTGTTTACTTCTGCCCGTCATCAGTACTCGCCAGCATGTTCTGAATATCCCTCAATTTCTGCTTGAGAGCATCGTGTTCGCCATTCATCTATCGCAATATCAGTAATCAATTTCACACCAATACTGTGCTTCCAGGAGAGGCCAGAGGGAAAAAACAACTCACCTGCGCATACATCATCTTCGTCCCCACCAACTCTTGCTCCATCTCTTGCAATCTTTCCTCTAGTCCACGGTTGTCATCCTGCACTTCAATGTTTCTTGCCATGATCTTGTCCATTTCACCCTTCAGGCGGTCTTCAACCTCTTGCGGTTGTTTGTCAACCATTTTCCTCAACTCCTCGACCTGCATCTTCAAACTTTCGTTTTCGTCTAGGAGCGAGTCATTTTCTACTTTTGTGCGCACCAGAGAGGATGCTAGATCCACGTGCTCGGCATCGGACTGCTGGGTGCGCAGTTCCAGTTTCCGCACGCGTGTGCTGAGGTTTGCGTTTTCGTTCTTGAGTGACTCCAGTTCGATTTCGCGGTCCTTTTCTGCGCGAGTCTTCTCTTCAAATTCAGAGGTATAGGCTGCAAGGGTCTCGGGAGTGATGACAACCGCACAGGCATCACGGACTAGTTCATCGGCGCGGTAGACCTCTTTGTCCGTTGCACCAGAGGTGGAGCCGAAGAATCCTGTGATTGGAGGTTAGCATATTTCTTATATGTGGGATGAGAATTGCAGTAGCTGTCGCATTGCAGAGTGCTGCTTGGAAACACAGAATCTCCTTTGAGAGCTTGAGTGATCGAAGGCTTTCGATGGACGTCTGCTCGATCTAAGATAGTACTCTGCAATGCGATAGAGGCTCTATCCTATGACAGGTTTCGGGACAAATCACGTACCAGATTCGAGGATTGAGGTTGCGGAAGGGGACTTGTCAATGTAAACGTCGAAGAGACGTTCTTTGAGATGGGTGGATAGTTGAACCATATCCTTCATCTCGAGCAGGGTCTGCGCGTTCCGTTGCATGAGTGCGATACCGAATTTGAGGATAGCGCCCAGGCCTTCGCTGAGGACGAGATCGTAGACGCGAAGGACGAGTTGAAGAGGGAAGCGGTAGGCGAAAAGTGTGAGGAACCATTGTGTGGCATATAAGTTTGGAGGAACTCCACGTCGATGTAGGTGACAGTAGAGTGCCGGTTCGTAGTCTTCTAGCAGGCGCTCAAACAGGTAGAGGTGTAGATGCAGACCGGTCATTTCAGCAGTGAAGAGAGAGCGAAGGTTGTACCTTGACATGAGTCGGACGAACAAGGTGAAGGCTTCCTCTTCCGGCATATTGAAGAGTAGGGGCATAGCAATGAAGTTCATGCCCTGAGCGTAACCCACCGGTTCATCGTAGAGAGCATAAGCTTTGCAGATACCGTACAGGCCGTCTTGGAGACCTGCGCTGGCAATGTATTTGGAGTAGGCTGTTCGTGCGCCGAGATCACGTCTGATGGTTTTCTCAAGCTTCTGCAAAGCAGCAGTCTCATCCTTTGACCTGCGTTTTCTCTCAGGTGACGTGGACGCATCGGTGCCGTTCATTTGAGGAGAGACGGACGCAGAAACATCCGAGTGCACGGAAGAAGCAGAAGAGGTGATTGACTCTTTCTCACCAGTGCCGCTGATACGACGGACAGCAGATGGCTGAGTAACCTCCTTGTCGGTGCCTCTAGCAACCAACTCTCGGTATACCTGCTCTAGCTCATCATTCTTGCTCTCTGCCATGACTTGCCAGACCACGCCACGAATGGGCTGAGGAATGCCATTGGCAATTGCGCGATTGAGTTCGTCCCCACTTGTACGTGCGACGGCGGATGGGCCTTCTTCAACAACAGACTGCCAGAGATCCCAATTGACCTCGACCTGTTCGACTGATGGACCAGCAGCATCTCCTGCGACGGTACCAGGAGGGAGCTTTGTAGTGGGTGATGAAATGGCGGAGAAGGAATTTGCTCGAGGTGTGAAGGGAGGGCTTAGTTGACCTCCTTCTTCCTTGGTGGGACCTTGCAAACTGCCGGCGCGACCATGGCGACCCTGAGGTAGAGCCAGACTGTCGTCGGTCGAGATGGCGGATTCACCTTGAAGTCGCAGAATGTGAAACCGGTCTTTCAAGGTTGGTTGATGAGAAGCATCGTCGGTCGAGTCAGGGTTTGTGGTTAGGCTCTGCAGAGATGAAGCTGTGTTTCGTCGCGGACTCGTGGGGCGAGAGGGAGATGTAGCTTTTCGAGCCCGTGAGAACCAAGCAAATGGACTCGAGACTTTCCGTGTGGTCGGCGGCTTCTCCACTGTAGGCGAGGCCATAACTGTCTGCGATTTTTGCATGGGTGGTGGTGGTGGAGGAGGGTAGTTGAGAGTTGGGAGGTCGCCAGAGAGCCCTTTTACAGGTTCATTCTGAGTTTCTTTCTCGGGCACGGCAGGAGGTAGCTCGGGTACGGATTCGAGAGTGTTTTGGCGAGACTTTTGGGTCCGAGGCATGTCGTCTTGGTCGTTGTCGGGCGTGGGTTGGGTAACGATGTCGATGCTGCTTCGCTTGTCCTGGGCTCCTGCGGCCGTCGCGGCTTCCTCGTTTAGCGATTTGGCTGTCGAGGGTCGACTTTGGGCCTGATCCGAGGTCGCTTGTTCCGATGAGGTTGCCGGTCGAGGTTCTTCGTCTGCTGTGGTCTCTACTACAACCTCTTTCTCAGCATCACCACCTTCGGCGAGCACGTGTCCGATGTCGTCTGCGTCAAAGGCTCCTGGCGCAATCGAGGTGGAAAGGCTGGGCGCTGTGTCGTCCGAGTGCACCTTGTCTGTGGCTATGCGAGATTCATCGTGGGTGTTGTCTCCCTGATGCGAGATTGGTTGGGCTGTTGAGTCTTGAGCAGCGGCAGTGGGTGTCGTGTCGGTAGCATCTTCGAATGTGTCCTGAGGGCCGTCAGTCATTCCGAGATGCTAAGGCCAAAAGCAGGCAACAAAGAGAGTCGGCTTGGGGGGGCTAAGCGAGGAACTTACGGCATCCCTTTCGTCCTCGTGGTTGGTATTGCTGGCATGCGACGCTGCCTGCAGTGTGTCGTCGTTGTGCGTTGGCTCGGTCTCGGACATGTCTCTGCTGCTGTTGTATGTATCTGATCACAAAAAGGATGCAAGCAGTGGATCAAAGTGATTCGCGTCGTATAAAGTGGTTGGTCCAGGCTTTGTTTGTCCGGTGGACGTCTGGATGGCTGGTGTGATTTAGATTGGCTTGCGTTCCTGAAGTCTTGGACGAGAGTTGCAATCTGATCAAGTGACAGCTCGGAGCTCTTCCTTGCTATCCCTTTATCGCTGCCGGTCTAACGCTCTTCCAACTCCTGAATGAAAATGTTCTGACAGTTCGCAGCAACCGCCGTTGGAGCCATCAAGCATGCTAAACAAACCCGCCCCGCAGTCGAGTGGACCCTGCTGTGCATGTCATACAGAACGTCAGATCTCCACAGACCAACAATCTTGCCGAAACTTGGTGCCTTTTTCGAAGATACGTTCTACATACTCTCCCCCTGTCTAGCACACCATCTCCGTTGACTTGGTCAAACTTGACAGCCGCATGCCACCAGTACAATGTCCATGTCCAAAACCTACACTTTGAATAACGCTGCTCTACGGTTCACGAGTCCATGCGAGTTGCTTGTCGAGACTCGAGAATATGCTATGCTTATCGCTTCTCCCACACCTTCAACCCCGCGACCCACGTTTGAAGCACTTCTCCTTCATCATTCAACACGACAAAGTCTGCCCTCCGTCCTGCTTCCAGCTTGCCTCTGCTTTTGTCTCCCATCAGGTCTGCCACATTTTCAGTCACGCATCTCACTGCCTCTGCCACACTACATCCACTCCATTTCATCATGTTTTGAATGCATTCCTGCAAGCTGGCACACCCGCCCACTAGCGTCTCTGTCCCATCGATTGTCACCCTCGATCCCGTCTTGCGTTGTTTGTATGGGATCTGTGCGTGTCCAGGGTAGACACCATCCTCCAGTCCGGCGAGCTCAATGCTGTCAGTGATGAAGATACACTTTTCCGGATTTGCTTTAAAGAGCATCGTAGCTACGCTGGGATGAAGATGGTTGCCGTCTGGGATGATTGTGAAGTATGGGCTCTTTTGACTATCTGTATTGGCAGTTGTGACGAGTCCAGCAAGTCCAGGCTCGCGATGGTGAAGTGGTGTCATGGCGTTCAAAGTATGCGTCAACAATGTCGCTCCAGCTTTGACTCCCTCAATGCCTTGTTCGTAGGTGGCTGCACTATGGCCAAGCGACACTTTGATGCCTTTGGATGTAAGACTTTTGATAAGCTCTGATGATTTATGGAGCTCAGGTGCCAGAGTCACAAACTTCAGCGTCTCGGCAGATCTCGCTGATACTCCATACACTTCTTCCGCTGATCGATTGCCATCAAAGAAGTGGTCCGAGTTATGGGCACCTTTCTTGGATGGTGCTAAGTAGGGTCCTTCTGCGTGTGCTCCTAGTAGCGAGGCGCTATTATCGATTGTCCTAGGCTTCAAAGACGGCAGAATCTATAAACACCAAAATGCTGTCAGTGGCATGATCTGCTTTATCGCCAATGATGGAGAGCCACGCTGTTATAAGCATCCCTTCTTCGACACATTGCCTCGCCAACACAGGCGATACGAAAGAGTGACGGAGATATAGAGCAACACGGGAAATGTATGAGGAAGAGGTCAAACCTACTTNNTCTTGTATTCTTCAGAAGACACAGTCGGTACTGTCGCCCAAAAACCAGTAACACCTCGTGTAACGAGGAACTTGGCAGCCTTATCAATTTGACCAGCATATTCCTCCTCGTTGTCGAAGTGTGTGAAATGAAATCCAAGTAAACCATTAGTGTGCAACTCCAACAGCCCTGGAGCAATAATGCCTTCTTCCAGGTCTACTGCATCACCACCGATATATCCGGTTCGAGGGAGAATAAGACCAGTATCATCAGAAACAATCAACTGATCTTCCACCAACTTGCCGCCGATGCACAGACGGCAGTTCAGGAACGAAGTGAACCAGCCAGACATGGTTGTCGAAACAAGGAAACGAGAAGCAGGGGAAAGTGACCCTGCTGCCAAACTGGCAGATGGTCGTCTTTTGGAGCGTCGATCGGGACCCCTCGCCGGGTGGTCTATTGGTCAATGCTCTATCCTCCTCCGCGATCTGTCGTTATCGCAGCCGCTTTTGAGGTTTTTCGGCATTTGTCTCGAGTGTGCAGTATCGCAGGCACATCACCCCGTAGCGGTGGTGATATGTTGGTAGAGTGGCCGTAGTCGAGCATCTTCTTGTTAGACACATAGGCCAAGTGTCTACGCAACAGTCGAGCAGGTATAGGCGAAAAGTTGCAACGTTCGCTGCAGCCACACGAGACAATCAAGCCACGAGGATGACGTAGCGAAGTGCGCGCGAACGCGCCATCCTCTACCGTCCACTCGATGGCATTCCAAGTTTTGTTGCGTCAATCGCAGCTAGCCAAGGCAAGGCTGTGTAGTATGTGCACAAGACAATAATACCTTAGTCTAGCTCTCTCTTCTTCCTTTCTCCACACCATCCCCAAGTCACATTCCGGTCCGCACTCGTTAGCCATGGCGGATGCTCAACAACAGCATGCCCCTGGTGGCCACTACTCGGGGTCGAACAAGATCCCGACCATCAACCAGTTCATCGAAAGACTAGATCGCGACAAGGCCACTCGCGACAAGCAGATCGAGGAGCAAAAGCAAGCTCAGGTATCTCAAAAGAATGGCGACGCAGTCCCTCACCAGCAGTCATCGGGCCTGCACGCGAAGGAAAACCAGCAAAAGGTGACAGACCCGACCACCGGCAAGGAGGTAGTCATCGAAGATGTCAACCAGGAAATGGTGGATGCAGCTAAGAACCCCATGGTACGAGACGATGATGGTGACAGCTGAAGAGAAAGTAATCTGACACGTGAGCAGCTCTCTGTACCAAATGCGAACCTGGGCAAGCCTACAGTACGTTGCGCATTCACGCTTCAGTATGCATAATGACTAACATGATGTAGNACTGTCAAGACAGACCCGTCGCAGTCGATGGCCGAGTACAAACACAACCAAGATGTCACCGCGCCTCCGGATCCCGTCGCTGAAGGTAGTACTTCAGACGTGCCCATCCATGGCGAGAAGACCAACATTCTGTTCCACCCTACACCTTCTGTCAGCTACGAGCCCTTCTTCGCTGCCATGGAGAAGAGAGCCACCGGTCTCTGCATCGGTGTCTTCCTTGGAATCGTCTTTGTCGGAAACATCTTTGGCGGTCGCCTTCTCGGCCTCATCCCTCTGGCCATGTGTGTGGCGTCCGGTGTCTTCCTCTGGGCCAAAGAGGTCATCCGCAGTGGCAGAGAAGTCGAGTGGGACACCGAGAAGATCAGAGGTAGAACAGCTACCGCCAACCTCCTCCCTGAATCCGTTGAATGGATGAACACCCTGCTTGGAATCGTCTGGGGTCTCGTCAATCCGGATATGTTCCAGAGTGTCGCCGATACCCTCGAGGACGTCATGCAAGCATCCGTTCCTGGTATCATCGAGAACGTCCGCGTCGCAGAGATCAACCAAGGCAGCAACCCTATCCGCATCCTCAGTCTACGCGCTCTCCCCGATGAGCACATGAAAGAGATGAAGCAAGCGATCCATGAGGAAAACAAGAAGACAAAGGACCCTCAAGAAGCCGCTGCCGACGAGGAGGGTGGCGACTACTACAACCTCGAAGTCTCTTTCGCATACCATGCCGCTCCCTCTGGCAAGAGAGCTTCGGACAGAGCCAGAAACATGCACATGCAACTGGTCTTCTACCTTGGTATCAAGGGTCTGTTTGGTGTACCTCTTCCCATCTTTGTTGAGCTGCAAGAGCTAGTCGGTACCGTCAGATTGCGCATGGCCATGACTCCAGAACCTCCTTTCCTCAAGACACTGACTTTCACGCTCATGGGCGTGCCTCACGTGCAAGCAGGATGTATTCCCATGATCGAGAAGGGTGTCAACATTCTCAACCTCCCTCTGATCTCCAACTTTGTCAACTACGCTATCGGCGCGGCTGCTAGCATGTACGTCGCTCCCAAGTCTATGTCTCTTGACATGAGAGCTATGCTCCAGGGCGACGACATCACCAAAGATGTCCAAGCTCTCGGTGTCATGTGGATCCGTATCCATCGTGCTGTTGGTCTCAGTAAGCAGGACAAGCGTGGCAGCAAATACGGAGGTAGTGATCCATACATCACCCTTTCTTTCTCCAAGTATGGAAAGCCCATGTACTGCACACGTGTCATTACTGATGACTTGAACCCGATTTGGGAAGAAACTGCTGCGTAAGTGTATCCTTACGATCATTGAGAACTGAATTGACATGTGTCTAGCCTTCTTGTCACCCCCGAGCTCATCAAGGCCGATGAAAACCTGAGTGTCGAGCTGTGGGACTCTGATCGCCACACCGCTGACGACATCGTCGGAAAGGTCGAGTTGTCCATGCAGAAGATGATCCAACACCCTGGCAAGATGTACCCCCAGGTTTCTAAGCTTGCTGGTATGGACTCTGACAGCGAAATGCCTGGAGAACTTCACTGGGAGGTTGGCTTCTTTGGCAAGCCTCAGTTCAGACCTGCTCTACGCACTGATGGCAAGAACCACGCACTTCCCCAGAACCTTCGCGACAAGCCCGAACTTCAGGACGACAAAGGCGTAGCCAACACCGAAACTGATGACGCTGTCCAGCACACACCTCCGGATCCTCTCTGGCCCAGCGGTGTCTGCAGTATCGTCGTCCATCAGATTGTTAACCTCGAACTTGATAACATCAAGGGCACGGAAGGCAGTCGCAAGGGCAGAGAATACGAACCTGCTAAGCCCAGTGGTGAAGGTACTGATGAAGAGGGCGATCAGCTTCCTACCAGTTACTGTACTATCCTCTACAACGACGAGCTGGTCTACAGGACTCGCGCCAAGGCAGTCAGCAGTCAGCCTATCTTCAATGCCGGTACTGAACGCTTCGTTCGCGACTGGAGATCCGCCGTCATCACTGTTACCGTGCGTGACTCCCGCAACCGCGAACACGACCCCATCCTTGGAGTTGTGCCTCTCAAGTTGTCCGATGTCATGGAGACAAGCTCCCAAGTCACTAGATGGTACCCTCTCGATGGTGGTATCGGCTTCGGTCGCATTCGTATCTCGCTTTTGTTCCGCAGCATCGAAACTCGTCTTCCTCCTAACATGCTTGGCTGGGATGTTGGTACCTTCCAGTTCCTTTCTGACAGAATTACCGCGACTGGCTACTCTCATCATGCTAAGCTTAAGATGCGCACTGGTGGTTCTATCGGAAAGCTACCTCGCACACAATGCCACAAGACTGACAACGGTCTTGAATGGGAAGTGCAACACAACGAGAAGAAAGACCCCATCCGTCTCCCCGTCAAGTACCGCTACCGCAGTCCTATCGTCTTCGAATTCCACCTATCTGGCAAGCGCAAGGCGGACGCCCATGCTGTTCTCTGGCTGCAACATTTAGTCGACAACGAGTCTACCGAGATCGACATTCCCATCTGGCGCACCTCGGCTCCTGCAAGATTGACCCAAAACTACATCACAGAGGACAACGCAACCAAGGCTATGCCTGGACTGGACGATCTCGAAGAGGTTGGCCGTCTCAAGTTCACTGGTCGCTTCAAGGCTGGCATGGATGAAAGCCACGAGCAATTCGTTGCTGACAACGAGTCTCGTGAGACTTACGAGACCTGGGAGGCATGTCTTGCTGAGGGTGTTCGCACGAGATTAGTCGAGAAGGAGATGCCTGATCGCGTGCAAGCGCTGCACGAGAAGTCACTCACAGAAGGTCGTGACATCCTTAAGGAGGAAGAACCTGATGAGAAGCAAAAATGGCTCAGCAAGCAAGGCACTGACTGGAGTGGCGCGTTTGGCGAAGACCCCAAGGCCTACGTGGACTCTCAAGGCAGAAAGCGCCGCGAGCCTGGTGCTGAGCCCCCTCTTCATGACCCTCACAACCCTAGCTCCGACGATGACAGTGATTCGGGTGACGATTCCTCGAACGATCTCGGCATCATGGACGCCGATAACTCAGAGAACCGTGGTGGCGAGAGAGCAGGCAGAAAATCGTTTGCCAGTACCACTGGCGGCAGAAGCTCGTACGATTCATATGCAGGCACAAACTCAACATTCTCGGACCCCAACACGGGAGGCAGCCCCAAGAGTGTCAATGCACAAAACAAGCGCACCGAAGAGCGCAAGCAGCGTGGCCTGATGCAGTGGAAGCCAGCTCGCAACCTCAAGTTCGCCAAGGATGAAGGCAAGATTGGATTGAGGAAGATCAAGAACAAGTTGACTGGCGGTCTCAACGGTAGACAACCCGGTGTCGAGACCGAGACTGGAACGTAGATGTGTTTGCTTGAGCGAGCATATGTCTCCTTTTCCTCTTCTTCTTGTAGTCTTATAGTCACGTTAATTCCCCCTACCTAGTTGTTATTACGCAAAAAATGATGCAGACGAATTTCATTTCTATATCAGCGTGCGACCTCGTGTGCAGTTTTCCTTTGCTTCCATCATACCGTACTTAGGTAACTATTGGGAAAGGCTTTGCAGCTATTGCCTCGGGATCGTTGTTTGCTGATCTGGAAGATGCCCCAATCTAGAAGGCGAGGAAAGTGCAGGACACATCCCGTGCGGTGGAAATATTGTCCACACAGAGCGTGGTGATACAATGCGACGTCTGACACAATGGCCATAATTGTGGTATCTAGCTCCAAAGCCATAGAACAGTCAAATGGAACGGACAATCCCTAATAAAGGTCGATATAACCTCAGTCTAACTTTCAGAGCAGTGATAACATCTTACAGAGTGGGTTTGACATTGTCATCGATGTCGCCGAACCAACCGAAAAGTCATGACAGGGTCGTAGGCTTAGCAACCGGCATGAGTAAGTCTCGGAAGATGGAAGTCTCAATGCTTGGCAAATGACCCTTCAAGACCGTGCGGCGGTTATCGATAAGAAAGTCGGTCGAGAATCAGAAAGTTCTCTTTGGGCAAGAGGATTGAGGCTTCTGCTTGTACACACATCATGTCGACCATGTCGTTGAACGAGAGGCTCGACAAGATCCGGTCGCAGCCCAAGCTGTCGGGCATGCAGCAGGTGAGTATTCTCATGCTTCTCTGCAGACACAGCATCTGACAAGGACTCCAGACGGCTGTCGTGCTCGGCGCAGTCGAAGATACTCTGCGCGCACAGAATGCCGAACAAACACCCACGGCCTACTTTGCCGCCCTTCTGTCGCTGTTGGCGCAGTTCGATATGGCCAACAAGGAAGTCGCCTACGCTGTCGTATACCTCCTCGACCTTGTCACNCCCCACGTTCCCGCACCGCTGTTGCGCTCCAAGTTCAGCCAGATCCTAGGCAGTCTCGCCCCCGCCCTCACACACCCGGAAGCAGAGGCCCCATTGTTGCGTTCGAGCATCGGATGTCTGGAATCGCTGCTGGTCGCACAAGACGCCCAAGCCTGGGCCCTTCCCGCCTCATCGCTCAGTCCTCGTCGTGCAGTTGCTGGTCTGCTTGGTCTTGCCGCCGACCACCGTCCCAAGGTCCGCAAGCGAGCTCAGGATGCTCTCACAACCGTTCTCAAGAACCCTCCGCCTAGCCCTTCGCTCGACCACCCGGCTTCCGACATGGCTGCCGAGACGTCGATGCGCTTGCTCCAGGACGCTGCCGAGAAGTCTGCAAAAGCCAAGAAGGCAAAGAAGGGAGCAAAGGAACAAGAGAATGACCCTGCTTTGATGCACGCGCTACAGCTCGTCAAGGTCATTGCCACTGCTGCAAACGGCTGGCCCTCGCGCAAGATTGACTCGCTGTGCGAGCTTTTGCTCGCCATCTCAAAGTCCAGCCACGAGTTTCTCGTCATGTCGGCTTTCGAGGTCTTCGAGATCATCTTTGCTGGTTTGGCCAACGAGGTTTCTGCCGCAAAGCTTCCCCGTTTGTTAGAGGTCATTGGCGAGCTCCAGCCTTCTCAGAACGACTCGCAGCTCCTGCCTCCCTGGATCGCCGTCATCTCGAGAGGATACGATGTCGCCGCTCAACTCAACCCTGAGGAGACCTTCGCAAAACTCCCCACGCTGTTCACCCAGGTCTCCAGCTTCCTCACCTCCTCCTCTCACAACATTCGCATCTCTGCCTCGGAGTGTCTGATCTCATTCCTCAATACCTGCGTTCCTGACTCTGTTCTTCTTGAGCCTTCAATTTACGACGAGAAGGTCTTTGAGAATCTCGGAAACCAGGTCAACGACCTTCTCAGCATCAAGTATCAATCTGCCTGGATGGAGGTCTTTTCCGTCATTGGCGCCATGTTCGACACATTGAAGTGGCGCTCCCAGGGCATTCTGAACACTGCTGTCAAGACTGTCGGAGATCTTCGTGGAAACGATTCGTTCTCTGGAAAGAAAGAGGCGGATGCTGTTCTCGGAAAGGCCATCACCGCGATGGGTCCTGACAATGTGCTTGGGATTCTACCNCTAAACTTGACCAAGCCTGTACCTGGACAACCCGGACGTGCCTGGATGCTCCCTATTCTCCGTGACTCTGTCAGAAATACTCGCCTTGCTCACTTCCGTGCCGAGCTTGTCCCCCTCAGTGAGGCCATGTTCCAGCGTGTGTTGAACCACGGCGCTGCTGAGAAGACCATGGAGATCAAGATTTTCGAGACCATCGTTCAACAAATCTGGGCCACTCTTCCTGGATACTGTGATCTTCCCTTGGATGTAACCGAGGCTTTCGACCAGACTTTTGCCGAGATGGTCGCCAACCTCCTCTACTCACAACCCCAGCTTCGTACAGAACTCTGCAGAGCTCTCCAGAACATGGTAGAGTCCAACCAGACTGTTGTTTCGATTGAGGGAGAGGAGGATCTTGTTATGCAAGGTAGAGTTTCCAAGGCTGATGCACAAAAGAACATCCAACATCTTTCTGGTCTTGCTGGAAACATTCTTGCTGTCCTGTTCAACGTCTACAGTGAGACTCTGCCCCAGTACCGTGGTATCATCCTGCAAGCCATCAACGCCTACCTCAGCATTACCCCCGAGGCAGAACTGATGGAGACTTTTACCCGTGTCGCTTCTATGCTTGAGTCATCTCTGGGTGAAAGCGGACCCCAAACACAAGCCGATAAGCAGAAGGAGACCAAGGGTCCCAACAAGATGCCTCCCATGTCTCACACTCTCATGGATCTGATCATCACGATTTCCATCTACCTTCCCCGAGACAGTTTTGCCGGACTCTTCAACATGGCTGCCATCATCGTCAACAACGACTCCGACCCGCAACTACAAAAGAAGGCCTACAAGCTCATTCCCCGTCTTGCCGAGTCAGAATCTGGTCGTGCAGCTATCCTTGAGCGCAACTCTGACTTGCAACAACTCCTTCTCCAGGCTGGTACCAAGGCCGCTGCACCTTCTCGTCGCGATCGCCTGACTGCCATCTCTCAAATCATTCCCGCTCTGCCCAAGGAAGACCTCCACTTCATCCCCTCTATCCTGTCCGAAGTCGTCATTAGCGCAAAGGAAGTCAACGAAAAGGCACGCACTGCTGCTTTCGACCTTCTCGTCCAGATGGGTGAGAAGATGGCCGAAGGTGGTACCGTAGTCAACGCGAAGGTTCCTCATATGCCCGACGATGCCGCTCCCGTAGAAGCCAGTCTCGAAGAATACTTCACCATGGTTTCTGCCGGTCTCGCCGGTTCCACTCCTCACATGATTTCCGCCTCCATCACCGCTCTCGCTCGCCTCCTCTACGACTTCCGCAACACCCTTTCCGAGCCCGTCATCCTCGATCTCGTTCAGACAATGGATCTCTTCCTCACATCCGCCAACCGCGAAATCGTGCGCTCATGTCTTGGTTTCGTCAAGGTGTGTGTGCTCTCCCTGCCGACAGATCTTATGCGTCCCCGTCTGGCAACGCTCATCCCCAACCTTATGGTCTGGAGTCACGAACACAAAGCCCACTTCAAACTCAAGGTCAAGCACATTTTCGAACGCATGATCAAGCGTTTCGGTGTGGAAATCGTCGAGAAGCACTGCCCCGAAGAAGACAAGAAACTCATTGCCAACATTCGCAAATCGCGCGACCGCGCAAAGAGGAAGAAGGAAGCCGGCAAAGACGACCCGGATGCCGAAAACGAGGACGCAACCGGCACCCGCAAGGGCAAGTTCGAATCAGAGTACGACGAGCAAGTTTACGGCAGCGACGAAGAAGATTCTGGCTCCGACATTTCCGACGACGAAGTGCTGGGTCGCTCGGCAGCAAAGGGCCGTAAGGCAAAGGCACAAGGCGGTAACACCTTCATCGTCGAAGANCGAAGACGAGCCCTCGATCTCCTCGACCGCAAAGCCCTCGCCAACATCTCGTCCACCGTCCCCTCGAAATCGCGCTCCGCACCCGCAACCCGCAAACCCGCAAAGATGGACCTGGACGGCAAACTCGTCTTCAACGACGCCGACTCGGACGACGAAGTCATGGAATTCGACGATGCAGGCAATTCTGCAAGTCTCGAAGACGGCATCAACGCCTACGTGGAAGCCATCAAAGGCCGCGACGCAGCCGTCCGCGGTAGAGGCGGCAAGCTCAAGTTCAAGAACCGCGGCAACAAAGACGCCGCCGACGACGACGGCGACGAAATGGAAATCGACGCCAAAGAATTCGCCGACGCGCGCGCAAAACCCCAACGAAGAAGTCTGGGCGGCGGCGAGCGTGGATTCTCCGGTCCTCGCGGCGGCGGCGGCAGAGGCGGCAGCAGAGGTGGCAGCAGAGGTGGATTCTCGCGTGGCGGCGGCGGCAGGGGAGACTCTCGCGGCGGCTCTGGATTCCGCGGCGGACGTGGCGGTAGCGGCAGAGGCGGATTCGGTGATCGCGGAGGCAGGGGTGGTTCTTCTCGTGGCGGTGGCTCTCGCGGCTCCTTTGGCGATCGTAGAGGCGGCGGCCATGGTGGTGTCAACAAGGGTCGTTTTGCACCCAAAGGCCAGGGCCAGAGAGATGAGAACCGCAACCGAGCCAGCAGAGCTTAGACTCAGGGTCGTGGTTGTTGTTTAGCATAAAAGTCATGGATGAAGATATGGGTGTATAGGAGTTTTCTTTGTTTTTTGTAGTTTGTTTCGATATCATATTATTCACATAAGAAATCGTATAGCGCCCTTTTGCGTTTGACACCTCTGAGTTTCGTGGCTTGTTGTTCGTTGTCAAAAGTGTAGATAGAATGTGTAGGTAGGAGATGACCAGCGACAGTAGCAACGTAAGTTGGCACTCCTCGAAGAAGTCTTGACGTAGATACTGTATCAGATTGTATACATGTCTCCAACGATTCAACGCCATGTTAAAAACCAAAACAACATTCATAGCCCTTCGATGTTGTGTAAATCTTGATCAATCAAAGACCCTCTCGAGAAGGCCTGAATGACAATGCTGCAGACGAGAGTTATGCCGCTGGTTCGAGACGGCGATAGGCTTGATTGTTCTCTGATCTATGTTGGCAGTTGGGAAGGAATGTCTTTCTAGTTTTTGTCAATGTGTGTGTTTCGTAGACACCGAGTCTGGACGGGAGGAAAGACCTGTGTTGTTGAAATCTATGAACCGGCTTTAGGTGACAGGAGAAGATTTTAGACCAACAACATTGCATCATTGGACATGTATAGTCGTAGATACCGAAGCCTTATCCAATGTTTCTGCCTTCATCTCTACCAGCAAAAGGCAAGGCTGGAAGCGACTCAGAGATCACAGGGCTGTTCGCCTTAGCTATCTTTCTTTCCACTTTACATTTCCTTCCTCGCGAGAAAAGCATTCACATATCCGAACGGCCAAGTATGCAACCTTCTCACCCCTACAAACCTCCACTGCCCGCACTGCGCCACTACAACCCTCTCTGCCACCACACCCATCCTCTTCTCTTCCACAACCCTAGCTTTCTCGCCCAGAGCCTTTTCCGCAAACCTCAATGTTTCTGCAAAAGTGCGAGTGCGCATGCAACTCACCAACCCATCCCAGGCTTGCACAAATGGCAAAACAGGTAAGATATAAGTAAACAGCAAATGCAAAAACTGCATTGGAAACCAAAACAGCGTGGCAAGGAACAGTAGCAAAGGTTCCCCTAACATCAAGACCAAACACCCCAGACTTCGGTCCTGGAGTTCGAGAATGCAGAGCCCATCTGCTGTGCTCAACGTACTGTTCATAATCTTTTGCGCAGATTCGTCGTCAAAATGGTGAAAAGAGAGACTGTAGAGGTGAATGGATTTGTGATCGCCTGTGGAGCCCTTGGAAGAGGAGGTTTTGGAAATGACCAAGGGAGGAGCTTTGAATGTGTTTGTGGCGTCTACAGGTTGGGGGATGAAACTGAGATTGGCGCTGTGGGTTGCTAGAGGCATCCAGGCGTCGAGATTTGGGTGGAAGTCTGAGAGGCGGAAAGGGATGGGGCTTTGGCCTGCGTTGGCTCTGGAAGTATTGACGGATCTTTCTATCAGTGGTGTCGGACCTATGGTGTTTTGATGTGTCAGAATTGTGGACTTCTTTTGCCGCGGCTTTAACAGTGGTAGTATTCGCAAAGTGCTACTCGTTCAAGTTGATCACAAGTTCAAGCTGTGAGCCTTCACCACCATCTCCGGAGCAGAAATGCGTACAAGGAACCATGACAACATGATCTCAAGACATTGTATCTCATTCCAGCTCTCACAATTCGCTCACAGCAACACTAAGTCACTTGTCAAGTGTGTTTGCTTACCTCCTGCTCCAGAGCNAAAGTCGATGACAAAGTACTGCTCCGAGTCAATGTCCGGAAAGTCATCGAGAAAGGTGTGAATGAGTCTGGCGGCCAATTCTGCCGGAGCAGTCTTTTGAATAAAGGGAAGCTTCCGCGTCCACTGGGCGGTAAGCATATCCTGACAGCAGTGCTTGATGAATGAGGGCGTTCTGTAGAAGATCTGTCAGAAAATGTGCGTGAACGGTACGTAGCACCAGAGACAATAAGGCAGAGCAGGATTGGAGTAAGTTTGTTCATGGAGACCAAGAAGATGATGACTTTTGGTGTAGCAAGACTATTCTCGAAAGATTCCTTTGCCAGCACGTATACGCGACTTACTCACATTGCTAGATCACACCATTCAAAGAGATGCCATCTTGACGGCCAAGCTTGTACCTGTGACAGCTGACGAATTCGATCGAAGATTATCATGATTGACTATACAGTATAGAATGCTCCACCTTATGGATGGTGGGGAGGGTAGATGGGAGGATGGTTGTTGAAAGCATCTTTGCCATTCAGGTAACGTCCATGGACGCTCATACGTCATTATGCAGCGCGAGGTGACCCTGTCTCAATGCCATTCTGCATACGACGGAGGCAAAACAAGCTCGACCAGCACTACGATGGGCAGCGGCAGATGACTGTCATTCTGGACGCTTGTAAGACCCGGTCAACTGCTTAGATGTGTCGAGGCATCGAGTGGTTGGAGCTGACCGCAAGAACAAAGACAGCAGGGAGGGCGAGATCGGGACATGTCGGTGCCGACACCGGATGAGTCTCCGTCGGATTAGCTGCATATCGAATCCCACCTTGATAAGAAAAGTTTCGTGACTCAACCATCAAGTGCCATTTGGCCGGGGAAAAAGTTGATGAAGCCTTTCTTGATCTTTTCTGTACTGTTTTTGATAATCCATACCCATCGTCATGTCTTTCCGTATCTGTTCTTCGCGATTGAGCGCATCAATCAGGCCGTCACTGGCTCTGCGCCGTGGTTATGCCTCGCCGACGGCATCCAACCTGCCTGCCGGACTCCAGAATGCCATCCAAGTGCGCAACCATGCTAAGGACATATCACATGGACCGAATTGACAATGTGCAGAAAGAGGCATCCCTGGCCACACCGGACCCTTCGTCAGACTCGCAGACCAGCCGTCTCGTAGGCCAATCGACACCCTACATGGTCCCCACCTACGTCCGCCCTCCGCCCATGTTCCAAAAGGGCGAAGGTTGCTTCTTGTGGGATGTCGAGAACAGACAATATCTCGACTTCACATCTGGAATCGCCGTCAATGCCTTGGGCCACTGTGACCCCGAGATGTCCAAGCTGCTGGCCCAGCAAGTCAGTCGCACACGGCACAACAAATCTACACATCCATACTGATGCTCTGACTAGGCGCAAACCCTCGTTCACACCTCCAACCTATATCATAACCCCTGGACCGGCGCACTGTCCAAGCTGCTCGTAGAAAAGACGGTCGAGTCGGGCGCCATGACCGACGCAGCACGAGCATTCATCTGCAACTCTGGTTCCGAGGCCAACGAGGCTGCCATCAAATTCGCTCGCAAGTGCGGCCGCACTGCCGACGAGTCGGGAAACAAGCACGAGATTGTCTCGTTCCACAACTCCTTCCACGGTCGCACAATGGGCTCGCTCTCGGCCACTCCCAACCCCAAGTACCAGAAGCCCTTCGGTCCCATGGTTCCTGGCTTCAGATACGGCAACTACAATGACATTGACGCCGTCAATGACCTTGTCACGGACAAGACTTGCGGTGTCATCATTGAGCCCATCCAGGGTGAGGGAGGTGTCAACGTTGCGACCGACGACTTCCTGCTTGCTCTCCGTCGTCGCTGCACCGAGGTCGGTGCCGTCCTGATCTACGATGAGATTCAATGTGGTCTCGGTCGTACTGGTACCATGTGGGCCCACGGTGCTCTTCCCAAGGAAGCACACCCCGACGTCCTGACCACCGCAAAGGCCCTCGGTAACGGCTTCCCCATCGGCGCTACCATTGTCACCGAGAACGTTTCCAGCAAGATCGTGACCGGCGACCATGGAACTACTTTCGGCGGCAACCCTCTCGGTTCCCGTCTTGCACACTACATCGTTGGCCGTCTCTCAGGTGCTGAGATCCAGGACGGCGTCATCCAAAAGGAGAAGGTCTTCCGCAAGCGCTTCGAACAGCTCAAGCAAAAGTACCCCGATGTTATCACCGAGGTCCGTGGACGTGGTCTCTTGCTCGGTGTCCAACTCTCTCAAGACCCTACCCCCGTCATTACCGCCGCCCGTGAACGCGGTCTTTTGATCATTACTTGCGGAACCAACACCCTCAGATTTGTTCCTCCGCTCATCATCTCCGAGCCTGAGATTGAGCAAGGCATGGATATCCTTGAGGATGCCATGAAAGCCGTTTTCAGAACAGATGAGCACATTCCTGGCACCGATGGCCAACAAGAGATGCGCGCCTCATAGAAAGGGGAAGTCTGTTTGTAATATCGTCATTGAGCTCCGAGTTCTCAAAAGTGCATGGCGTTGGCTGGGGTTATGTATGTATGTGATATAGACCGATCTATCGATTAACATGGTTCAACAACTTCACAAAGGATCATTCAAGTTCACTGCCATCTCCATCAGTTCAAATCGTTCACGCAGTGACTGACCTTCTCACTTCATCACGGTGTCACCTTCACAAAGCGTCACCTTCATGCCGCATCACCTGCACACAGCACCATATTCGCATCAATCGAATCGGCCAGAGCAAGGAGACCGAGATGGTCTCAATGACGGCCATTGGTACCGTTGATTAGCACATCAAGGGCACCAGAGAGCGCAAGTCGAAAAACATCAGAAATGTCATGAAGTCATCTAGGAGGAAGAGCACCAAGGCTCTTCACAGAATGTTAGAACAGAAGAAGAAGAAGGACGACGAGTATGCTTGGGCGTTGGATCTCGACGAAAGGCTGTGACCAGGTCAAGTAACCCTCTCTACAGAAATGCCAGTCTCATCTCAGCGATTCTCACTTGGGCTTTATCCTGAAGCAAGTCAAGATTTTTGGTGGTGCATGTTTGAGGGAGAGAAGTCTATTTTGGTAGTCCAGGGGCTACTTTTTGCTGTCATCTCCTGTACTGCGAGCCCTAGAGGCGTCGGACAATTCTCTTTCAGCAGCTCCTGTTGCCTTCCACCGAGCTCACCATCAGGTTTTCAAACGAGTCGTCATCTTCGTCTTTCTGAATTCTTCATCCTTGTCGTCACGTAGTCGCAATTCATGTTTTTCATTTACACTTCCAGCTCCCGGTGCGTCTATACAGCGCTTGCACGGTATTTGACAATGCTTCTCTCACATGATGCCTTGATATCACCACGGTCTGTTCTCTTGCAAGACCTGGCGCGGCTCATGGGATAGAAAAAACCAATAAGAGACATTGTAGAGTCGATGAGGATGATACTGAGCGAGAGAAAGATACCTCGATACTTCTCCAATGTGCATCTCGGGACGTACGTATAGTTTGATCGGTCTCGACATATGACCTCGTCGTAAGAATCGCGATGACACAACTTGATACATGGATGAAACAGCCCCAAGATTCTACTCAAAGCACCTGCCATCGAAGCCATGGATGATATCAAGATCCTGAAGTTGTAGAACAGTCTTGGGGTAATTTCTTCTCGATTTCTTCAGCCCTCAATATTGGATCTACGTTCGATCCTTACACTGACGTGACAAATCATGCAGTCTGCCATCAATGGGAGTAGAACGTACAAACAAGATATCGAAAGCCAGACTGGTTGCATCAGAGTCTATCGAGCGTCTCATCACTTGCCCTACACTGTTCTTTCTGCACTTGCACAACCGCCTCCTTCAAAAAGTACTTGCACAAGTGGTAGTACCTAGTACTGCCGCCAGATGCCTGAATCGGTCATGATTCACTTCCAATCACTACGAACACATCTAGTCAGAAAGCTTTGGAGTTCAAGCTCCACAGCTTGCGTCTGGGTAAAGTGCCATTGCTAGAACAGGTTCGGCGTTGTAAGTCGATTGTGATGTGTACATGAGGGATCTGGGAGCTCACATGGGACGTGGCAGTTGCAAAAAGTTGTTAACATCATGTGCGATAAAGAGACCAGCTTGTGAACATTTGATCTTACCCAGTTCTCCTCTTGTTGTTATACAGATCACACTTAGTTCACCTTCAGGGGCTGCATGGCACTGTCCATCCTCTCCAACTCGTTCGAGGCCCCTCTAGAAGCCTGCCTGATGAACTTTGCACACTGCTCACCAATGCCGTAGGCTGGCATTTGAGTATGGCCACCATGTAATGTTGGCATGACAGAGCAGTCCGCCACTCTTAATCCCTTGACGCCACGTACTTGGAGTTTCTCGTCGAGCACAGCCATCTTGTCCGAGGCTTTGCCCATCTTAGCTGTTCCTGCTGCATGATAACATGTAGTTGCGTGTTGCTTGACATGAGGTATCCATTCTTCGCGCTTGGTGAATGCATGGTGAGTGAGGTTTGCTGGTAATAAAATTAGCTCGTGTTTGATCTTTCCAAGAAAGGAGCACTTGCCTGGCCAGGATCCCTTCACAATGTCCTTTGTTCCTTTGCCCTGCATGACCACCTCGTTGCCCATACGGACTCCCTCTGTCAGCACCAATAGATCTAGTGGGTCTGATAGATAGTTGTGATCCACGATCGGGTTGTCCAGCGGATCCTTTGACTTCAGCACAACTGTGCCTCGTGATCTTGGGCTGAATAGTTCCGTGATCATCGAGAAGGCGTGCTTGTTGTCGATGGGGAAGTCTGCATACTGCTTCGGTCNCTCTGTATAAATAGTCAGTCCAAATTCTTCGATTCGCAAGGCAGCTCGTCAGTCTTACCCATAGCATTCTGTGGTGAAGTACTCGACGTTTGGCTGACTCTTGGTCAAACCCATTGCATCTCTTCCTGGCGCAGCCCCTATCATCGCTTCTTGCCAAGTTGGCTCGTCCTTCAGTCTCTCGTCAAGTCGAGCAAAGGCAAATGCTCCGAATGGGAATGTAGAGAGGAAGCCTGTCTTTTCCTTCTGCCACTGAGCATATGTCGTGCCGAGGCTGTCTCCATGGTAGACATGGTGATCAGTCGTCAGTCCAGCTTGTTCTGTCTCATAGAACACAAAGACAATGAGGTGATCAAGCAGATTTTGTCCGACTCCAGGTGCGTCAACCAAGCAATCGATGCCCATCTTCTCCAGCTCGCCGCGTGGGCCAATACCAGAACGAAGAAGAATCGGAGGAGTACAATATGCTCCGCCAGAGATGATGATCTCAGACTTTGCTTGCACTGTCTTTCGTCTACCGTCTGGCCCGGTCAGATCAACACTCTTGGCCGTCATCTGTCCATTCACGTCTTGGAAGTTGATCTTGTCCACCACAGTGTTGACGAGTATCTCAATGTTGGCTTTGTGTTGATCTTTGGTTACGAAATCGGCACCAGTGGTTCTCAGTCCTTGGTACACGGTACGGGGAGCATGTCCACAGCCTTGAGCTGTTTCTCCTGTGGTGAACATATCCGGGTGAAGAGGCATACCGTGACTTTGGAAGGAGTCCAGCAGTCTCTCAGAGATTGGTGCTAGGTCGTGAGGCTCGATGTGTAGGGGCCCATCAGTACCATGTGCACCTTCGCTGGCTTCGAACCACTCTTTAGTGTGAAAAGTCTCGGANNCTGTGCGTCCTAGTCAGCACTTTCTCATAGACACACACACGCAAAATCTCCTCACCTTTCTCATAGCCTCAAACATCTGCTTCCCACTCCACCTCTCCAATTCCCAATCATCATAATCCTGTTCCGTGCCTCTGATACACAGCGTACCATTGACACCACTACTTCCTCCCAAGAACCTGCCTCTACTGACTTTGACTTGGCGATTGTCAATCCCCGCTGCAGGCTCGGTGACGATATTCCAATCTTGAGGTGTGTCGAAGTTCTTTGACCATCCACCGACCATGTGCACGTTTTCGAGATGCTCGTTGTGGGCGCCGGCTTCGACTAGCAGGATACGCAGAGAGGGGTTTTCAGCAAGGCGGGCTGCGACGACACAGCCAGAGGTGCCTCCACCGCAAATTATGTAGTCGTATTCCGAGGTTTGTGTCATGGTTGCTTACTTGTTTTCTTGTATGGTACGAGTACATCAAGTGTCACTTACACTCTGTCTTTATAGCTGCCAGAAGACGGCTCCATTCCGTAAGAACCAAACTCTAGACAGTCTCTCCTTTTGTCGGACTCAGGGAAGTCTATTGATATCCCCATACAAACACCTTTACCCCAGACATTGACCCCGCTTTCTGACCTGGAAATGGTGCGGTTTTGTTCCGCACCGAACCAGAGCTGCTGTAACTCTGTTTGCACTTCCTGGAGATACAAAACCATTGCGCTGAGTTCCGTGAAGAGGAGAGCGGTGAAACTTGGGCGCCAGATGTGTTTGCACTGTCCCAATCTCGATCGGGAAGCCAAGTGAAGAACTAGCTCATACCACGCCGCATCGCCTCTTGGCGGATCAGAGACACAAGAACCAGGTACTAATCTTTCCCTCAAGTACTGCGGCACAATGGTTCCTGTCACTTCATTTGTTTGCCTACCGTCGGAATCTGTCGACCGAAGGTTCGTAAGTCTTCCACTCGTCCACATGGTGACAGCGACTACCCCCATTGCCAGCCTTACATCAACACCATGTCTTCCACGCGCTTGTCTCAGTCTAGCGCTCTCAGCATCGCGAGCAGCGTGTTCGCAACCATCTTTGTCGGATTCGGCATCAACGCAATCGTCCGCCCCGAGCATGCCCTAACCTTCTTCGAATTCACACCACCTGTCACTGCTGCGGACAAGAATCTTGTCAACAGCTTGATGGTCGTTTACGGCGCGAGAGACGTCTTCATGGGCGTTTCAATGTACGCGGCTGCCTGGGCGGCCGATCGCAAGACCCTCGGTCTGATCACCCTGGCGGGAAGTGCTGTCGCGTTTGTCGATGGCATCGTGTGCTGGCAGGCCGGCCAGGGACAGTGGAACCACTGGGGATATGCTCCTATGTTGACTGTGGTTGGTGGCTTGTTGCTTGGTGTAGCCGACAGGGTTTGAGTCTGAAGGCGCGTGGCCGAGTGATGGGTGGCGTGAAAGGACTGCCTGCCTCTCAAGAGCATGCTATCTGAAGCGTCTCGCACATATATGGCTTACGCGAGATGAGTTAGTCGAGAACGGAATTGCGAATGGAACTGATTTGATTGGAGTGACTTGTGGGACAGTGCAAGGCCTATGGTAACCGCAGATGAGTCAACGGCGAGCAGGCTCAACGATCATGACTTCTGCTAGAAAGTGCGTTTGAATACTGAGTTATACTCATCATCAAGGTCAAATAGATTGGTGTATAGTCATCGTCATCGCATAACACTCAAGCAGGGATGATTCGCCATAGATACCAGACTCCAACCAGCAGGGGTACCGCCAACGACATCATCTTCGCATACCGCAACATTGCTCTCCTCAACCCCAACATCAGAGCCAAGAAGACTCTCTCCTGCAACTCCTCAGTCTCATTAACCCTCGGAAACTCAACTCCAGGAACCTCCTTGCCCAAAAACGTACACAAGGGCTCCCATCCACTTCCCAACTTGTAAACCAACAATTGTTCCTTGGGCACCAGTTTCTTTATCAGAGCATTGTGATCCAGATATCCTTGTCTGGCTTTTGCCCGCCAATCATCAAAACTGGATGCTTGCCATTGTCCATGCATAAGGAAATCGCCAATCTCGCCTTGCTTGCCAATAAACCCAGGGTCCAGTTTTACCAACACCCTGGTCAGGGGCGCCGAGAACGAGGCAATGACATTCTTCTCGAAGCTCTTGTACCAACTGTCTACCTCCCGTTCTACCAAGACGACTTTGGCGTGGGGGTAAGCAGAGATGAGTTCAGGTCCAAATGCATTGATGGGTGAATCTGTCACTGCGGAGACGTGACCGAGAAGAGCGTCCCACTCGGAGGGATTGAAGGGTTCAGAGTCAGGATGGGAAGAGTATTTTCGAGATAAGGCCAATAGCCAGAGATCGATGTCGGGGGNGTTTTCCATCATAGAAACGTAGTGGTAGGTTGGATAGCCGAGAATCTCGTAGGCTGCTTTCATCGNCTGAGTTGCATAAGATCTAGTCAGTTGTATGGTCTGCAGACGTCTTCGTAGTGCTCAATGGAAAACGTGATTGAAGAGGGAACAAGTCGACGCGATGTCCAGCTGACGGATAAAAACCCGAGCAATCAAGTAGAGATCGCTCTTTCCAATATCGAAGAGAACATAATCCCATTACGGCTCTCCACGATCTAGCACTCCAAGCTCTAGACATCAAAAGACCATTTGAAAGTATAACTTACACATCGTGCCGGTTCGTCCCAGACTGAGCGACAAAACCTCCATAGGTACAACACGCTCACGTCCTGTCCGATCAAGATTTGTTTGAGCATAGATCTCAGGATACTTCTCCTTGAGCGACAACTTCTTCTGAGAGGCCATGATCAACTTATCGCTTTGTGCAAAGATCTGTAACGAAACAACTCGTGGTTAACAAAGCGTCTCTATATAGAGCAGTGGGGGCGAAGGAATAATATGCAGATTCCTGCAGGATTCTAGGCGTCTCCCAGCCACCCCTCATTCAAGATTGACAGGATCGTGCTGCCGCATATATCAAGAACAATAGCTCGTGATCAGTCGAGTTGATTCCGTTCGAGAAGCAGTAAGCAATGAGTTGGGCTGTAACATCTAACATGCATCCGCAAGCCAATACGGTAAAGGCTTCTGGCTTGACTTCTCTCTACGATGATGGATGAGGCGGTACGTTGAACAGCATGAACAAGGTCTCGATGGCGACAGTGGCAAGGCAAGGCTGATGGCACTGAACAAGAAAGCTTTGTCAACTAGCAGTTGGTTCTTCTGCACTGTTCTACTACAGAATACAGACAAGATGAATTTGCATATGGCAAAGAAGAGAAATAAAATAAAGGGGACAAAGAAGCGAAGAAGAATAAAGGGAGAAGATAAAATATGAGCAAGAAAGGAAACATGGGGGTATCGATGCTCGTAAAAAGAGAAGATAAAAGAATCGAAAAAGAAGAGGCCAAGAAATAGAAGATAAGTTCCGAAGAAAAGAGACAGAAAGAAACGCCAGTGTTGTGGAGTAAGAAGTTTCTCCGCAAACAAATGCTCCCTTCCATCGCTGATGCAGTCTCAATAAGAGTGTGTGTAAGTCTTTTCGTAGCTGGGTCGTGATGGGAGTGGTGGAATTCACCCCAAAGTATAAGGAGGAGATTGAGGGTCATGAGTGACTCTCATCATCGATTGGACTTGAAGATGGCGGCGGGGTGATTTGGGCAATGGGCCCCAGAGTCCATACCCATTCCCGCGGCTTCTTGCTTTTCCGTGTGATGGGCGTTGAAGGACAAATATCGCCATCTGAATCGTCTTCGGAGGAAGAGTCGCGTTTATCTCCGCAGGCGGGTGATGTGGGTGTTCTGATTGGCAGGGTGGCTGCTCTCTTTTGTTTTTGGTGGCTTTGAACGTAGTGGCCATGGCCTGAAGGCAGTGGCTCTATGGCAGATGAAGAGGTCGAGTCAAAGTCGATGTCGGAGTGCGCCAGGGTGTATATGTCATTGCGTATGTCTTCGGTCAAGGGTGCGCGGAACGACACCTTCTTTGGTGAAGGGAACATGGGTCGTGTACTGGAGAAGGATTTGCGACGGCGGATACAGCCATGCGGGCCGTTGGTGAGGATGGAGTGATGGTTGAAGGGGAGACGATAGGGGATGGGCTTGTCGAATGAGTCGATGGTAGATAGGGATGAAATGGAAGAGTCGGTCGAGGCCGAGGTGGCAGAAGTGGCTGACATGCAGCTGTCGGTGGAGGAAGAACGTGCAGGTTGTTGGTGAGTGGGTGCTACCGACGTGTCCAGACACAGTCGCGACTTCGGTCGTACATCCTGATGAGGCGTCACGGCCTCAGGGCTCGTGACATGTTGTGATCCGTAGGCATTGCTGAAGGTGTTTCTAGCTGTTGGCGAGGCTATTGAGGGTGCGTCCAACCTGAGCCCGGTAGTGCTCTTGCCAAAGGTCGATGGCAGAGATGAAGTGTTGAGAGATAGTTTGGGTCGCTTGGTAGGAGCAGTCGGCCTCGAGACAGGGGTGTGCGAAGGTAGTATGGCGAGTGACATTGTATCCACGGGCATGAGTGCCAGCATCACGCGGGTGTTGGCAATAATATACTGCGACCAGGATTATGGAATTCAGAGGGATCGGAGTGTTGGCTGATCTAGCCGCTCATCGCCACAGAGGCTGTCGTAAACATCCAACCAAGTCAGCAGGTCCAGAGAGGGGTGGCCAGAGGGTAGACGACGACAAGTGGCCGATGACGCGCGTGAAGGATGCTTGTGCCTTTTCTATACTTGGACACACCACTAGAAGTAGTCCGAGCCCTTTCGCAAACGACAGCAGAAGGTCCACAGAAGACGACCTGACACACTGGCCGTTCTGATACACTGGCGCCGCGAGGATTCGTGTGGGAGAAAAGCGTCAGGACAAACACAGCGGGCCTCGGACGCTCAATATGCGCTCAACAAAGTCGTGACGACCTCAAGACCGGGACCCATGGCCCTTGTAAACTCTCAACCGGCAGAGCGGGCGCCAAAGAAGGAAAAAAAATCTCGTCGTAGAGCAATTCTAAACGAAGCCGATCTCTGCCCATGCATCGTCTCCGTCTCTATCCCATCCAACCTTGCAAACAACCCTTCCACCAACCACTCTCGTTCTGCTACACTTCGCGGTTCTTCCCGTTCGCGCTATGATCTCCTCGTGTTCTATTTCGGGACGGAGCCCCGCCTGTCACTTGGATCGAGTCCAACGGCCAGGGTCAGACGCCATCTCACGAATCAATGGCCAGAACCACTTTTGCGACTGCATCAACAAATTTGCCGTGGCTGCATCTGCATCTCCTTCTCGCCCCGACTGTTCGTGAGCCATCCTGAAACGTTGCTCTTTGCTTCCACTTCTGCAGCCTGCAATACAAGAGGTCGACTCTCTAGATCGCGCCATTCAAGAGGTTGCCCCTGACCCGCGACACCGGCCGGGCTGAGTATAGATGGCGACGTGGATGGGGGGCGTATGTCCGCCGCGACTTTCTGCTCCGGCGTGGCGCCTCATAAACTACACCAAGTTCACATACGTAATCCACTCCCTGCTTATACATGCGTCCGGCTCCCCCCCTTGTTGGATTGGCAAGAACGAAATACCTCCCGCCTTCCTGTACTACGGCCGTTCTCTGCTGTAGACAAAGTATGCGACTCAGTGTCTGTATGAGCCCTCCTCTGTGGGGACCCGACACTTGAAACACCTTCCACTTTCACAATACCATCTGTTTTCCAGACGTACCTGCATGATTGACCGTTCTGCTATCGAGTATCAAAAACTCTCTTTGCTCCTTGTATTCGGTTCCTCCGAAGCTTGCTCCTGGTGTCAAATTTCCCAAACAAGTGCAGTGGAGCTCATGGCAGCCACAAAATACGAGAGCCTGGAGTTTAATCGTTCGCTATCGCTACTATGAGCCCAAGCGCCCTACCGACGTTTTTAGGTCGTGGACCGAGCGAAAGCCGATTCTCGAGCAAGCACTCATATGGGGGCAGCCCTGTCTAGAGAATCGATCACGATGAGTCGCAAGCAAGACCAAGCCTTGCTGACGCACTTCAGAGTAGTAGACATTTGCCACTGTTGTGCTGAGAATAAACATGAGCGACAACGACTCCTTTCCATTCACGAACGCGCCCACCGCGGACCGTTTGTCGCGCTGATTCAAGTATTCCATTCTAGTGACTGACATGACTGGCTGAAAACGGAGAGCCGCAAGTCGCACTTCTGCTGATCGCACGCGCGCATCGCTGATCAGAAGCATTCCATCGAGGATTTGGCAGCGGCCGAGCGCTTGCCAGACGCCTATGTGATCGCGAAGAAGCGCCTGTTTCTGATGCGTATCTCACGCGCTTCATCGCTGTATGCCTCACTGTTGCTGCGTCTCCATGAAGTTACTGTTTTGCTTGCAGCGTTTCACCTGCAATGTCAGGTTTCCGACGGTTTGTGGGTCTTGAAGAACAAGCATTGCACAACCAAGGTCCACGAGATTGAAGCTCGAAGGTGCCCACTCGGGGTCTTTGAGTGATTTTTGCACATAAGATGGGTTGTGGACAATCCAATCGACACCAGGTGCTCTCGTATCTCGACGCATGGACCGGTGCGATCCGAGTGAACATGGGTAGTGACTTGTACGTGCATATCCATCTGTAATCTACAACGACAGCGCACGGTATCCTTCATACATGAAAACTTGATTGAACGCTGCCAGGCAGCCAAGGGTTACAAGTGCTTGCATTGCATCACCGCATACCGATGAGATGCCACGGTCGACGGCAGTGGTGCTTTTGCGGGACTTAGCATGGTCGCACAACGCAGTGAGACGAGGTGTCGTGCATCAGAGGCAGTGAGACACTATCTTCACCGTACTCCCATGTAGCAATATCACTCCAGGCCAAGTCCTGTGCCTCTATATTACATTTAGCCTGTGGAAAGTGACATCTCTGATCATCGGACTTGTACGAGCGGCACTGTATATTGTACATGTCATTCAGGCTATACTGTCATCACTCTTTTCACAGAGTTGGCAGCTGCGATGTCTGTCCGAAGTCCATGCTGTGTGATCAGAAATCAACCATGGGAAAGGTCTGTGAGTCGCTGATCTCCATCGATATCTCTGTTTTTGACATCAACTATTATCAGTCATCACAGAGTGGGAAGGCGACGCTACATCGATTGCTTTACTGAGGTAATTCGAGGACAAATGTTTCCCATCATGCTTGATGAGGGAGATATCCTGTGTGCCTCAAAAGGATTCCATGCGTATTTTTCCATCTTCATCGCATCTGGGAAAGCATCCGATGGCTCCCTCACAGGATGCATGCAAGTCGACACGTCGCGAAAATATCTGCTTGAGACCTCGCGATCGGACACGAAGGTACACGGAGATATCCTAACATCAGCAAGATGCATGTAAAAGTTCGCTGTCCGGGTCACCGAACCTGTTCATTTGCCGACACCTCTTGATGTGATCGGAGAAACCACGGGTGACCAGCCAACTTTCGAAGACTCCTTCCCCCTCTAACTGATCGACAAATCTCATCCGAAAGAGGCAGCTCGTTGACCAACCACTTTTTCTTGCTTGGAATCACGAATGGCTTGTTGTACACCGCTTCATGGATTAGCACCGAGAGTACTGAGTACCCGGAGAATCCTGTGAATTGCGTTAGCATTGACGACAAGATGTAACAGGCCAAGCAACGAGCGCAAAGACGCATGCTCGTAGCACTGCGATACAAGCTTTAAGAAAAGTTTTGGGATCAACTCTCGAGACCGTTCTTGGTTTGCTTTCTATCTCTTATCACCGGACTACAACGTCATCGAATCCCAGGACCCGTTCTAGCTGCTATGGCATCTTCTGCTGCCGACAACTCGAGCTGCTTCTTGGAGTTTAGCTGCCAATATCCGCTGCTCCTCTGCCAATCATCTCGTGTCTATCATGCGGACTAGGTCATTGTACGGCATAGGTAGGATTTCACCAAGAACCCTCGACGTGCGGAGAAACAAAGTATAAAACCAAGCATTGAGATCTTTTAGTCGCGTGTGTATCCATCTTTCTTCTCTCACCATCATCAAGATGATCGGAGGAACCATGTTGCTGAGCAGCGCTGCTGTGCTACTCTCTGCTACGAGAGTGTCTGCTTTGTTTCCAGTTCTTGACAAGAGACAGTACTTCCCCGCTAATGCTACGGATCTCAAGACGATCACCGTGAGTGCCTCCAAAGACTGGTCGCTGATGATGACTGACTCTTGCCATAGNACTCCTACCAATGTGACTATTCGCTACAAGGAGCCTGGCAAGGCCGGGATTTGCGAGACTACTCCTGGTGTGAACTCATACTCTGGATATATCGATCTTGCTCCTGATATGCACACTTTCTTCTGGTTCTTCGAGTCCAGAAACGATCCTGCAAACGACCCCATCACGCTGTGGCTCAATGGTGGTCCAGGTTCTGACTCCTTGATTGGATTGTTCCAAGAACTTGGTCCTTGCAACGTCACTGCCAACTATACTACTCAGGTCAACCCCTACAGTTGGAACGAAGTGTCTAACATGCTGTTCCTGTCCCAGCCGTTCGGAGTTGGTTTCNNCAGTTACCAGNNGGAGGAAGAGAAGGGCTCTTTGAACCCTGTCACTGGTTCTTTCGAGACTTCAGAAGAAGCCAATGCTACTGGCATCTACCCTGTGATCAACGCCACTGAGATTGATACCACCGATCTTGCAGCCATTGCAGCCTGGCACGTCCTACAGGGATTCCTTGGTGCCTTGCCTCAGCTCGATGCTGAGATTGGCAGCAACAAGGAGTTCAACCTCTGGACTGAGAGTTACGGCGGTCACTACGGTATGCTTTCCCAGTTCCACATTCTACATTCGCTGTCTGACATGATTCGATCATANGGACCATCGTTCTTCAACTACTTCAACGACCAAAACAAGCTTATCTCCAATGGAACTATTCCTGGTGTCAAGCTTGACTTCAACACTCTCGGTATCGGTAACGGTATCATCGATGAGATGGTTCAAGCTCCTCACTACCCCGAGTTCGCCGTCAACAACACATATGGCATTAAGGCAGTCAACGACACTGTCTACAACTACATGAAGTTCGCTTTGAACATGCGCGGTGGATGCCTCGACTTGGTCGATACCTGCCGCCAAGCCAGAGAGACCGGTCAAGACAACCTTGCCACCAAAACGCTTTGCTCCGAGGCGCAAGACATGTGCCGCGATAACGTCGAAGGTCCTTACTACAGCTACAGTGGACGCGGAACCTACGATATCAGACACCCCAGCGACGACCCCACTCCTCCTGAGTACTTTGCCGATTTCCTGAACATTGCCGAAGTGCAGAATGCTCTTGGTGTCAGCCTGAACTACACCGAGTCGAACGACGACATTTACTATGCATTCCAGGCCACGGGCGACTTTGTCTACAACAGCTTCCTCAAAGATCTTGAAGGGCTGCTTGCCCAGGGTCTGCGTGTTAGCTTGTACTACNNGGGTGAGTCTCCTGTCTCGACACCAACCTTTTTCTGAGTTCTCTACTAACCGCCCTCCAGCGACGCTGACTACATCTGCAACTGGTTCGGCGGCCAAGCAATCTCCCTCGCCGTAAACTACACCCACAGCGCCGAGTTCGCCGCCGCAGGCTACGAGCCCTTCACCGTCGGCGGCACCGAATACGGTGAAGTGCGCCAATACGGCAATTTCAGTTTCCTGCGCATCTACGAGGCCGGCCACGAAGTCCCTTACTATCAACCTCAGGGTGCTTTGGCTATGTTCAACCGCACAATCAACCATTGGAATATTGCTGATGGCACGGAGAAGGTGACTGCTAACTTGACGAGTGTNGGGGGACCTAATGCTACGCATACAGAGTCGTTTGTGGCGTTGCCGCCTACTTCGAGTGCTAGTGTTGCCGTGTACTCTTCTGGTGCTGGGCGTGCTGTACCTCAGTTTTGGAGATAGTCGATCGCAGGATGAAGAGGATTGAAGTTGGCAGGAGATGACTGGCGCTGTCACGCGTCTGGCCCTCTCTCATGAAGTAATGAAACATGCTCGTGGTCAAAACTGTGTAGATGATGAAACGTACACTGTGGCCGCGAAATAATTCTCAATGAATCGTCCTTCATCAAACAGAGGTGACAAGTTGTTTGTAGCAAGGTCTTCCGCCAGCTAGACCTATGATGCCAGGACGCAAACATTTCAGATGCACCCACAGAGCCTTTGTCCGAAAGCAACCGACAAGAGGATATGTATGGGATCAGCGAATCTGATTCAATGTGCGTGGGTTGTTGGAAAGACTACAACAAAACTTCACGTAGTAGGCATTCATGATCTCGAAATGCGCAGTGTGGTAATTACTCTGCCTGTAATCGCATAATTCTATCAACACAACTTTACCACAGTACTCCAGTCCGAAAACACGTAGACCCAATACTTTCTGGCGATACAAAAGGTCTCAGGGTGGAAGAACGACAATTGGGATATCGTGACAGGGTCACTCTCTTCTCATGCCATCCTCCAAGCTCCCTTACCGAAAATCGGGCCTTGCTGTATTCAAGTCGACCTGATAAAAAGATAGCTACATTCACATACGACTAAAGAAGCAAATAAAGTGTACAGAATCGCATTTGCTGTATCGAGAAAGAAGAAAAACAAAAGCTAGCATAAAACTCTTGCACTGCCATTTATTTGCTCTTCTCAATCTGCCCTATGTATACCACAGACCCTCGACGTTGAGTGACGGGAAAAAAGAGTCCAAGTTCGAGACCTGCACGTCGCGTCCTTGGTCTTTCCCATCCTCTGCATTTACGAGCCCATGAGCATCAACAGGAGCCGAAGAGTAAAAAGCATGTGATCTCCCAGCCGAAAAAGCGAGACCAAGACGAAAATCAGAACTCCTCCCTTTGCGCGACGCAAAACGAAAACGAGGAAAGCGGAAAGGAACACAAAAACGCCGTTTGCAAATGCGAATATCATCAATGTATGGTGTTTGTGTTGCGGAGAGGAAGAGGTATCTACGCAAAACCGAAGTATTCACTTCCTTGCGTCATGGCAGTGTTCATCTGGTGTCTCAGCTGCTCATAAGTCTCATATTCAGGGAGATCGAGTTCTGTAATACAGGTTAGCAATTATTTCGTAAGACATTTGGAAGAAGGAAAAGACTCACGATTGAAACAAGTGTGACTGCTAGGCAAACGGTCCTTGCTGCCGTAATCACGATGAATGTTGAACTTGGTAAAGCCATTCATACCCTCGAGCTCCTTGAAGCCGTTGAGTGGGACCTTTGAGGTACCGGTGACGAACTGCAAAAGCTTGGCCTTTTCTTCCTTGTCGAAGCTGCGGACAGCGCGCCAGAACCATTGGATTTGTGGCGAGGTTTGCTGGTAGTTATGGTACTCGGTGTTGTTCTTCCAGTCGTCGACATCGATGTCGGGAAGACCCGAGATGAGAAGTTCGAGTTCTTGCTCGTTGAAGATTGAGACAAGTTCGGCGGGGATGATTTCGTGGAAGCCTGTGTGATCGGTTAGTACTTAGTTGATCAAAAGATAACCTGAATGCGACTTACCCTTCAAGAAATGCTCGAGCTGCTCCTCGACTGACTTGATCAGACGATGCTCAACAACCAGACGCACGTACTCTTGCTTGTTCTCCTCAGTGACAGGAATGTCACGACCATTCTCGATCAGATCAACAGTCTCGGTTTCTCCGAATCTGTCAACCTCAACCGAGAAAGTCTCGAAGGTGACATCGGTAATATCGTTTTCGAGGATCCAGCAGAGTGACTTGTAGTAGTCAAGATCCAAAGTCTCCATATCCTTGAGCGAGACGGGCTTGCCAAGAATACGTCTGTAAACGGCTCTGCTGAAATGGCAGTCCAAGACACGGCCTTCGTACATGGCCTTTCCGATGATACGACCAACGAACTTGAAGAAGGTGAGATGCTCATCGTTGATGCCACTCATGGGGTTGGGGTGGAAGGTTGTTCTGTCGGAAGCGACAGGGTTGAAGAGGGCATAGTCGGGGTTGAACATCTGTCTTGAGAGAGCTGCGAACCACTCTCTAGTGACACCACCAGCGTCAACACCTTCTTCGCCATGGAAGCGAATGTTGAGCTTGCCATATTTGATCTCGTTGGGTGTCTTGAAGTAAAGGTTCTTGAAGGAGTCCAAGAAGATCTGATCACGGCGGATGTTGAGCTGAACTGAAGGATGAGCAATACGATCCTCGGAGTTGCGAGTGTGCATTCTGCGAGTGAAGTAGTTGCGCTTGTTGTCAAACTCGAGTACCTTGGAATTCTTGGCCAGAACATCAAATGTACCGTTGAGGAGCTTGGGATTGTTGCGAACGAGATCGTTCAGGATCTTGCGGTGCTCCTCGGTAAAGGAGAAGAAGAGCTTCTCAATGCGCGAGTCTGGTTGAGGGGTACCGATTGACAGCTCCTGTGAAGCAGCAAGGTTGGCCTCCTTGGAAGTAGTGTTCTTACAGACAACCATGAAAGACTCAATCAGTGGCTGAAGGATGGTAGCGACGTTGTTCATACTGCCACGCTCGCGGATAGCAGTCAAGCAGTCACTCAGATTAGACCAGAGCTTGGCGAATATCGAAGTCTCGTAGAGCGTTGACAACAAATCCTGGCGGGCCTTTGAGGGTAAAGCTTCAGCTGAGGATGATTGTCTGTCGTGAGACGCAGAGCGCTTGGGGTCGAAAAGGTAGTCGAGCGCCAGCAAGACGCGCAATAGCTTGCTCTGATGGGAGCTGGCGGGCGAGAAGTTGGCCAAAGCGATACCCTGAATATCGGTGCTAGTCTTAGCATTCTGGATCTGAGGAGCGAGCTGCTGCAGATCAACCAGAACAGCGTCGCCCAAGTCTTGAGCACGATGGACCAGCTCCTTGCCAAAGGTGTCCTTGGCTCCAGGAATCGCTGAGAGGTGGTTGATAATGTCGAGTGTACTCTGGAAGGTCTTTGCGTTGCACTCGCGTGCAGCAATGATGTTGACGACCAAGCGCAGATTCTCTTCTGGAACCTCAGGAGGAGTAAGGTCTCTGTGCTTCTTCTTCTCTTCTATCTTTGCGGCAGGCTCTTGCGGCTTGTCAGCCTCGGCGGGCGCATCCGTGTTGGTCGAAGCTTCACCCTCAGTCATGGGCACATCAGTAGATGCACTGGCAGCAGTCTCAGCAGCCTTCTCTTTTTCTCTTTCAGCGTCCTTTGACTTTCTGAGAAGAATCTTCAGAGGCTCAGTGACGCGGATGAGTAGAGAAGCCAAGCCCTCCATGACAGAAGAGTTCTCAATGATAGACTTGCGGTCAAGGAGGGTGAGCAGCGCATTGAGAGGATACTTGGCAGCCTTGCTCTCCTTGCCCTTGCCCTTCTTCAACGACTTGGCTCTCTGGCTGATACTGGTCTCATGCTCAGAAAGGAAGAACGAGCTGACACGAGGGTTCTCATTGGCGAGATGGGTCAATGTGGAAAGACACTGCTGGACAATCATAAGAGGTGAAACGTCTCCGCTGGGTGATGCGAATTGTGTGCCAGTCAAGGCGCGTTTGAGAGGTTGTGGCGTCTTTTGTCCAGAGATTTGCTTAGCACGAAGGGTGAGGTGTGCAAAGCTCTTCTCCAAAGCATTGGCGTCGGAGCTGCCATCCTGTAGGATGGAAAGGAGAACACTGATAACCTCGGCGCGGTTTTGGGTATTCTTGCAGATATCTGACAAGATTGCCTGCATTGTGGTACGTGCGCTGTCCTGCATGGCGACGAACATCAATCTCAGGAGGGTGGCCACGCCGGACTTGTCGAGCATCTGGATAACAGGTCTGCGGACACGTTGCTCTTCGGGCTCAGGTGCTTCTTGTTCGTCTTGAGCACGATCAGTTTCGCGTCTCTCACGAGCGCCACCACGGTGACGCTGGATATTGCCCAGAAGAGTGCGAGCTTCAGCTTGAAACTCGGCAGGGAAGCCAGCAAGTGTGCCATCGTCAGCGTCTAAGAGGACCTGCTGGCGAAGAGCGGGGTTCAGAGTTGCGAAGAAGTCTGCCATATCCATATCACCAGCTTGGGGAGGAGCATTGCCGCTGGCGGCTGCTCTACGGCGCTGTTCATCGCGTTCACGACGGCGACGATCAGCGGCTTCAGAAGCAAGCAGCTCAGCTTGAATGTCCGGCGGCAGCGCATCAAGGAACTCGCGGTTGATTTCGCTGGATCTGCTAGGCTGCCCGGTTGTAGTGTCTTGTGTTCTCTCCTGCGAGCGTTGCTCCTGGAATTGCTGCATGATGACCTCCTCGCGCATGTCGTCGGGAAGTGCGTCCAGATATTCCAGATCAATGCCGAGGTGGGTAATGTCTATTTCTCTACCACGGATGTTGGTCATAACTCTGGGTGCAGCTTCTGCGGCATCTTCTGCAGGCTGTTCGACACCTTCCATACTCTCGATGCCTTCAGCAGTCTCGCCACGCTCAGCAGCCTCACGAGCACGAGCTGCAGCCTCTTCGGCCTCCTTGGCTTCGCGCTCTTCTTGTTCACGAGCCTCACGAGCCTCACGCTCAAGACGCTCTTCCTCTTCCTTCTGGCGCTGTTCCTCGCGAGCCTTTTCTTCAGCGGCCCTGCGCTCAGCATCAGCCTTGTCTTTCTGACGCTTGGCGTCCATGGCAGGAGGCACGAGAAGACGCAACAAGGAGTCGACGAGCTTCATAGCTCTCTCCAGGTGATGATGACCGAACAACAAGCGAGCCTCTTCTTGCCAACGAAGGCTAGTAAGTGTAGGCGTGAAGGAAACAGCTGCAACGGGATCGGTAGAGGAAGCTCTTCCGCTTGAGGGTGCATCGCGGCCGGTAAGACCTCTGGTGATACGCTGAATGGCGCGGATATCAGGAAGTCCGAATCTGCCAGGACCACCAGCGATGTGGAACACGGCAGGTGGCATGCCACCAGCCAAAGCAGCAGGAGGGAAGCCAAGACCACCAGAGCCATCAACGACACTGATTCTAGCCCCCGAGGGGCCAACCATCTGGATAAGATCGCTGACAAAGGAGAGCCCATCTTGACCACCAAGTCTAGGGCGGTGTTGGTGAAGCCAGTCGTGCATATCACCAGGGCGAGGCGGGGGACCGGGATTGCCGCCCGATCGTTGAAGAAGAGGATTAGTGCCATCTTGATCGCCACCACCTGCAGCACCACGATGCGAGCGAGGAAGTCCAAGAGGAGGGTCTTCCATAGTGTAGAAGGGACCACCAGGGCGGCGCCATCCGTGAGCTGAAGGCATTGCAGCGGTCTCCCACCCCCACTCCATCTCGTCGTTCTCAGGATCGTCGTGTTCGGGTTCGTAGCCAAGGACTTCTTCATCTTCGTCTTCCTCATTGTCTTCATCGTCCTCGGCCATCTCGTCCTCGAAGTAACCCTCGGGTCCGCCCATATCGAGAGTCATGACCGGATCGTCGCCATCCATTTGGTCCATGACATCTGAACGGTCGTCCTCAAGGACAACGGCACCACCGAATGGACCGCCATGTGCAGGTACAAGAGCGTCCATAGGGAGAGCGCCATGGTGGTAAGGGTCATCACCATCATCATCGTCGTCGTCCCAGTCTTCTTCGTCATCATCAACATCGTCGTCGTCGTCATCATCTTCTTCCATGCTGGCGTTCTCATCGTCGCCAGTAATCTCGTCGATGATCTCGATATCATCGCCCTCATCTGAGTCGGCTTCGTCCATGTCGGAGTCATCATCATCGTCGCCGCTGTCATCTTCGTCCATGTCGACTTCGACATCAATGTCACCAGGAAGACCTTCGATAGGTCCCATGCCGTCGATCTCGTCGTCTTCATCACTGACAACGTCTCCTTCGTGCATACCGGGACCGCCTTCTTCGTACTCATCGTAGTCCATTTCCTCGCCGTACTCGTCACCTTCGTAGTATTCTTCGGCCTCGTCCGAGCCGGACTCATCCTCATCGTCGTCGCTGTTTGCAGCTTCGAACATACCCAAGGTAGAGTTACGGAACAAGTCGGGAGTTTCTTCACGCTCGTTATCGTCGTCAGACACGGAGGTAGCGGAAGAGATCTCGTCATCTTCGGTAGTGCCGGGTGCAGAGACGTCTCCAGAGATGCTTAAAGTGACGCCGATGTCTGTCAGCAACTTGAGGGGTCGAAGGATGTACTTGACTGCTCGCTTGGCTCCAGGGAAGTTAAGGTCAAGCTCGGCAATGGAGGACGTCAAAGCGGTGATGAAGTTCTTCTCATACATGAAGCGGCCAAGCTGTTTCTGTGAGATGGTAACCATCTCGAGCATGGAGTGGTTGATGCCGGATTGTTGCTTGCCGGTCAACATGCGGTAGAAGAGGTTGCTCAGGCTGAGTAGACGTGCATACTTCTGATCAAGAGGCTCAGATGATGCCATTGCGTCCTTGTATGATCTGAGAGCATGTTCCAGAACGAACTTACGAACATAGGCGAGATCAGACTCTTCGTCGCTGGTCGAGATCTTCAAGCTAATCACACGCTCACTGGTCTTTGAGCAGAGGGAGACAATAGTGTTAATAGCCCAATTAGCAGTGGCGGCCTGCTTCTTTGAAGGGATATCTTCGGGATGACTCAGAGTTCCAAGCGGGATCAAGCTAGTGAGGAAGTAGTTCAAGAGGCCGGAGCGAGGCTTTGACGGAGTCGACACCTGATACTCAGCCTTACGTGAGAAGTTGATGAACTCTATCTTGGTTCTGTTGTAAGATCCAAGGAGCTCTACCAAACAGTGCAAGATAAAGCAGCGATAGGCAAAGATCGGGTGCTGATCAGCGTTGAATGCCGGCTTGTTGTCAGACTGCTTAACCTCAGAGTCCGCAGACGGGGCGGGCGCAGGTTCGGCCACCGGGGTAGGAGTCGAGTCAGACATCTCGACATCCGAAGGAGTGGCGGCAGGAGGAGCCTCAAGAGAAGCAGGCTTGGCAGGCTGCACTTCCTTGTCTTCGACATCCTTGTATGACGAGAGCTCCTTGAGTAGGAACTGGATAACGCCATCAGGATTCTCGATCGACGGAGGCTTGAGTTCACCAGTCTTGGTACGCTCAATAGTGGGTCGCTCAGTGGTAGCGCTAGGCTCGCCCTGAGTAGATTCCTCTGTCTTCTTGGCCTCTTCAGGCTTCTCCACCTTCTTCAACATAAGCGGCTGTGCACCACCAGGACGGCTGTTGTCCCATCTCGAAAGTTGAACTTTCTCGTTTGTGACTTCCACGAATATCTCGGGACTGCGTAGTGCGAGGTGATACAGCGTTCTAGTGTAAAGAGTAGTGTCGTAGCTCCTGGCCATTCCCTTACTCTCAAATGTAGACTGGATTTCAGTACGCATGATTTGACGAATGGTGTCATCGTCTTCGATGATATGGCGGAGCAAGATGAGGAATGTGCTCTGGAGACGTTCACCTGCAACGCCGGCAAGTTGCTTCATCATGACAAATAGTCTTGAGATCGAAAGCTTCTCACCAAGCTTCTTTGCGAGAGCACGACGGCGAGTCAGAATCACAAGTGTACGGGTGACTGAGAGAGCAAGGGTCTCGTCCTTGCCGATCTTGGGCAGGATCTCAACAAGAGCATCGAAGATCGTAGTCTTCTTTTCTTCAGAAACAATCGGAGGCTTAAGCTCGACGACGTCTTGCTCCTTGTGAGGGTCTTCGAATGGTGGCGGTGTCCATTGGATCTGCTGAGGCTTTTCGTCTTCGGCAAGAACGCGTTCAATGATGAGAAGCACATTGCTGACCCAAGGCGAAGTCTCGTCCGGCTTCTGTCCTTGGAACATCTTGATGAAGCCGCCAAAGTACTCAAAGTTCTCCGTCAGAGTATCGAGAGCTGCACTGAAGAAGTCGCGGTCTTGGATAACCAATGCGAGCAGATGAGCATAGGAAGCAATCTTCTTGCCCTCAAGAGGGGTACCTTCTTCGGGTCTGAGAGACATGAGGGAGTTAACCAGTGTCTCACCAATCTCCACCTTCGATGATTGATCTTGGCCAGCCTTGGTGATAGTAGCTGTGATGAGGTCTGCAAGTTCGAAAGTGACATCTGTGTGAGTGTTGAGAACATCAAGACATCTATCGATCAGTCCGTCCTTGATGTCCTTGCGCTTGTCGTCCAGATCATCAACAGTAATGAAGCTCTCTTCTGTCACAACATCAGCGGGTCTTTGGGCCTCATCTGAAAGTCGCCTGTGAACTGGAAGAGCACGCATCAATTCTTCTCCACCGCCGAGGGCGTTCGAGAGAACTTCTGCAAGACCGCCATTGAGCATGTCTGGGGGTAGCACCAAACGGCGGTTTCCATTGCCCAGAAGCAGATCGGCCTCTGAACGATCACCATCAGTGTCTTGTGTGCTTGAACCGGCTTCGTCCGCGTCCTGCATCTCCACCGAAGGTACGCTGCCAGATGCGGCAGGCTCGTTTGTCGTGTCAGATGACTCCTGGACAGGCGGCTCGGCCTCTTCTTCGTGAGGGAAAGGGTATAGAGGTATGTGGCTGTCCGGGTTGTCCCTTCGTAGCACATAGTACTCTTTGGCGGCTGCCATGTTGTTGTTGCAACGATGAAGTGCCTCGATCAAAAGCTCTTCGTCTTCGTGACCTTCTGCCACAAGAGCGTCCTTAGAATCTGAACGCATCTTGAACTTGCGAGGTTCGGCGGCGACACGACGCTTCAGGTTCTCACTGCGCTTGACAGCGTTCGCCTCGCCTTCACCTTCGAGGATGAGTTTGAGCAAGTCCACAATCGACTTCACGCTGTGTGCAGGTAAAGCCTCCATGACGGGCGACTTCCACATCTGACTGATTTGAGGAAGGACAGCGTTACGGAGCTCGACCACGAACTGCGCACCCATGAAGAAATCACTCTTTTGACGGTCCCGGACAGCCATAACGTTGGTCTGCTGAGCGTCGGTAATGTTCTTGGCATGGCTGATCTTGTTGTAGAACTCCAGGATCTTGTCAATACCAGCGAGTGCCAGAGCATGAATACGCTTGGAAGATGTGACCTGGTCTGAGGAGGAAGAGTCTTGAGAAGCTTCTTTGTGCTGTTCGATGAGCGTACTGAATTGCTGCAGACGTTTATCCAATTCTCCGAAACCGCCCTTTTGGTAGAATGCAAGAAGCACCAGAGAGAACACTTCACGATGAGTACCGCCAGTGCGTGTGGTCTTTCGCTCGTCAACCAGCGTCTGCAGTGTGGAGGTGAGAACGACAATATCGTAAGCAACACGATCAACCTCCGACATGGTTGATGGCTGAGCGGTCGCAATGTGGCTGATTAGGGCGCGTGCAAGGTGCTCGGCCATCTTGCCTGCGTTCTGCTTCTGGTAATCGCTCAGAATAGTGCGCGAAGAATGCTTCCACAGCAATGATTTTCCTACAGCCTGGAAGAAAGAGAGAATGCCGGTGGACACTTGATTAGAGAGTGACGCGAGGATTTGGCAATTCTTAAATTGTGCAGTGTTACGTGCCTCGATCTTTTGAGCCTCGTTGCCCTGCTGTCCTTGAGAAGCGCTTCCAGCCTCGGCATGGTTGGAATGTGAGCTGCTAGAGGCAGACAGGCCCATGACATTGTCCGCCTCACTATGGTCGAAACTCATGCCAGAAATGTGGATTTGCTTTTTCCAGTCTTCAGGCATGTTATTGCGCATTGTGATGGCCTCCCAGACGCATGAAGAGTATAATTCACCCAAGTCGTCGATCAAGTCAGTGTAAATGTCTGTGAGGTTGACTTGGCCGAAAAAGTGATGAGGTACAGTGCGACCTGCGTGGTAGACGTGCATGGAGAAAACCTGAGAGAATACATGGCAGAGGAACTGTGCCTGAACCATTGCCTTGGCTGTGTACGTTGCGTTCGAGACCACAAGACTGTTCTGAGAGCGTGAATCCGTTACAGGTTCCGTCAGATCGCTGAAGTAGGTCTTGCCCGCAGGGTGATCGGCCAATGGTCTTAGCTGGAAATAAGCTAGTTGTGTGCGTCGAGCAAGAGATGGAAGGATCAGATGGGGCTTATGTTCAACGAGCTGTTGGAGCACTCTGATGAGTTCCTGCTGCGCAAGAGTCTCGTGGAAGTTGTATGGGTTGCAAGCAGCAGTTGCCATATCGAGTAGAGTCTCGGCACCTGCGGCCTCGCAGAAAGCTGTTGCCATGCTATGGTTACTCAAGAAACCGCCGAGGAATCTGCAGACCATGGCGATGAAGTCCGAGCTAGACTGTCCACCACCACGGCCCTTGACCAGGGTATCGCTTTCGACATCAGTCTCTGTAACTGGTGATGTATCTTCAGCGCGACCTGAGAAATTGGTGTCATCGGCATCATATGCGTTCTCGACCTGTGTATCAGACATGCCGCGCAAAGCATCACGTCCTCCAGCTACCTGCAAGCCCTTGTCGTCCTGAACCCAAAGTTTGGCACCGACACCCTTAATCTCAGCACGACGCTGACAAATGGACATGACATTACGGACCATGCCGACAACAGCGTTTGAGGTTCTCTCTTTGAGTTGAGGATGATGGCGAACAAGCTCGTCAAAAGCAGTACCGATGTATTGGGGAACTTCAGCATCTTCCTCCATAGCCTTGACATGCTCGGGGCTCTCGAAGATTTCCAAGAACTTCTCCAACGCCTGTGATGCTTGGAACATACGCATACCGTTCTCGTTGAGACAAATAGCACCGAAGGCTGTGGGGATCTCACGCATGGTTTCTCCCACAGGCAGGATGCCCAATGCCTTGGGTGTCTCTGCAGAGGGAGCTTCCTTGGTCGAGGTCTCGGGTACAAACGGTTTTTGAGCCATTACTTCATCGGGCTTGTCCTCAGAGATCTCCGTATCTTCGTTCTCGGCATTCTCGACGATTACGTCAGAGACAGTGATCGCCTGCTGGGTAACAGCTTCGAGGAAACCCTTGCTCAGTCCAGCTTCGGCAATGACCTGGTAGCTGGTAGGTTCGTTATGGATAAAACTGCTGAGGATGTTCATAGCACCGCTCCATACGTTCGACCCAAAGACAGACGCATTATCGAAGATGATGCGAAGTGCACCGAGAAGTTGAGGCGAGTCAACAAAGTTGCGTAGCAGACGGTCATCCGTGCCAACATTGTGATGATACATGTGGGCGACGAACTTGAGAAGCTGGCGCAGAGTCTGTTGAGAATTGAAGGGGATTTGGAAGTCAGTAATCTTGGTCTTGTACTCAGTGGGCAAACCCTCTTGCTTTTGCGCGGCCTCAAGCGAACGCTGGACTTCGAAAGCAGTAAGATCAGCAAGTACATCCAAGCCTTTGGCGTTGACGATGGCCTGGAATGCATCTCTCACTCCGTTGTGAATGAAGCTGTCGAAGAAGCCAAGAGCAATGGGGAAGTAGATCTCAGCTTGCTTTGTGCGAAGGCTGAGGATATCAACCAAGATGCCTACAAAGCCAGCGGCCACAAGGACGTCCGCGTTACGCTGCGGGTGGGGTGCTGCCGGGGTAAGGGTCATGACCAGATCGAAGACATCCTTGCACCATTCATGGTCTTGTTCAGAAGCTTCTTCGTCACCAAGAGTAGCAAGGATTTTTCTGAGAACATAGAAAAGAACACCATGGCTGACAGTGATGTTGAGAGCGTTGGCAATCTCGGAAGTCTTGGATTTGCACTTGGCCAGAGCCTCGAGGGCTTGAATAACAATAACCATCATCTCGTGAGAAATCTCTTCCTGACCAGAACTGGGAGGCTGAAGCAGGTCTGTGAGTTGCTGAGCCAACTGAGTTCGGCGGGGCTCTTCGGAATCCGGCTGACCAATGCGTTGGTGGAATGTGGTCTCGCCATAGACGTAGGACAGGTTGGAAATAGCCAAGATCCTGATTGCAACCAGATCATGGACAGCTGCCTTGGATGTCTGGAACGCAGAGGCCACGCGGACTCTCTGGAGCAGGTCAAACTGGTTATCCTCTGGTACCTTGGTGACATTCTCTTCCATGATCCTCCAAGTGTCAGCACCAGCGAGTTGAGCAGAAGAGAGTTCAAAGGTCTTGGGTCCGGCCGGAGGGTTCTCTGACTGTTGCGGGCGTACTGGAGTCTCGGGAGTGTCTGTGTTGGTGGTCATACGTTCACTGCGTGCTGAGCCGGGGCCTAGGTTCGAGGTACGGCGCACGGGAGTAGGTGTGACCGGAGGCATGGGCGAACCAGGCGTGTTGGGGGCGCGAGCCTCGACAGAAGATGCAGGTGCAGATACATCAGTCTTGTCGTAATAAGTCAAGTGTACGCTTGACAGCTCCTCCTTGTACGACAGAGGAACATCCTTAGCCTTAACCAAAGACTCAATATCGGCAGTGTTGACCCCAGGCTTGACAGCATCCTCCTTTTCCTTGTTCTTTGAGGGAGTTTGAGCGAAGATGGGTGTAGCCACGGGCTTCTTGGGGAAAGGGTTGGCGAGCTTCTGAATGCGATTCAGATCGATGCTGTAATGGCCAGCTAGTAGAGCGTTGAGCGAGTGTGGCGAAGCAATACGCATTCGGGATGTGTGGTATCTCTGGGCCAAGCGCAAACTAACACGGAGAGTGATTTTGAGCAGGCTGAGGGAGACAGTGTTGAGTAGGTGGTTGAGATGTGCGCTGCTAGCATACAGACTGCGGTTGCCACAACGCTCAAGCAGGACACGAGTAAAGTTGAGGACGCTCTCTACGAGCTCGCGATCTCCATCGGCTGAATATCCACATGCCTCGAGCTCTTGCACCGACACTTCGGTCACCGAACCATCCTCAGCATCGCCCTTCTGCAGTAGCCGTAGCTCGAATGGCTGTGTCTGTGGGCCCTTGTCCAAAGCATACACGGTAGTGAAACCATCAAGAATGCGGTCGAATCGATTTAACGGGGCGATCCAGTGGTAGAGGTCGCCTCTGGGGAATGGCCAGTGATGTGGGAATGACGCGATGTGCTCGGGCACCTTGTGCAGAGGCAGCTCGACCAAGGTCTTGATGAAGTCGGTAATGTAGGGTGACTGCAGCGAAGGTTAGAGAGTAGCTGTGCAGAGAGAAATATCTCGACTTACGATAGTCGCCTCATGACGCTCGGTGGCGGTCTTCTTGATCCTCCCCATGGCGTGCCGAGACACGAGCGCAAGTGCTGCGCTTCACCAGGTTATGTGCTTTGTCTAGGTATGGTTGCGACTGATCCGGTGCTCGGAGAGTGTAACTGGAGCGGCAAAGGACCAGAAGAAGCGGAGGTGGGTAGGCGAAGACGAGTTGAAGTGAACTGAGTAGTGCAAACAGATGCGCGGGCAGCTGCAGATGGTAGGGCGTGAAGCAGAGACGTCCCGTCAGCTACGATTTGCTCGGTCAGATGCGGGTCGACTAGAATCTCGCTGGTCGAAACGTTGTGAAATGGATCGAAGGTGGAGTCGAGAGGCGGAGCGTGTAGGAAAGTGATGCAAATCTTTCAGCGGGTGCAGCGCGTCAAAGATCTTGTCGTGTCGCGAAATTCACGATGAGTGAGTGTGAAACTTCCAGAGATCCGAAAGTGCTTTCTTCCTTGTCCGTCTGAATGGAGCTTCCAAGTTCAACTTGATATCATTCGGCAAGAGCCGTTTGCTTTCCCGCTGCTGTCACGAAGTCACGGACCAACCACGTCAGACTTTTAATCTATTCCACTGCCCATAATTACCAACATACTCAAAGGACTACCGGTGCCTGGATGATACAGTGCTATCTGTTATGATCTCCCCTCATTGACACTCTCTGTCGACTGTATAATGCTCTCAAGCCCTGCAACCAGATTCCACCAGGAATCTAGATGCATGGCTGTTGGATAGATCAAGATAAACCCCAAAGACTTTCAGTCTGTACTTAATCGAACTCTGACCAAGACAGACTAGACAGCTGCCATTTGCTTATGATATACGTAGACAATGAGTGTTTGGCCATCAGGCTTTTATGCGCTGTCTATCTTGCCCAAGCTGTGCTGTTTTCTTGCGGGAAGAAGAGCCGGTGCCTGCATTCACCTCCACCTCCGCAACGCCATTCCCGCCTTGAAGGGTGCTTATTTGGTGGGCTTTCCATTCACCTCAATATCGACCGTCCCTTCACCAGGACCAGGATCTTCATGCTGAGCCTTTGATCCCTTACCACGCCATGTGCTCACTGCGGGGATCTTGGCCGAGTATCTCTCCTCCTGTGTGCCGTATGCTCTGGGCGAAAGCTTGATCAGCGTGTGTAGAGGGACCTCCATCCAAGGGCTCTTGGCCTGATCAACACCCATGAAGTAGGCGTAGATACATCTCAGCACTGCTTGATGTGTTACGATAAGAATGTTCTCGCTGCGTTCCAGTTCCATAATGATAGGCTCGAGACGGATGACAACATCCCTGTAGCTCTCACCACCCAAGTAACGATAGTTGTATTTGTCGTCGTCGCGAGCCTTAAAGTCTGCTGGGTATCGTTCCTCAATCTCAGCATATGTCAAGCTGTCGCAAACTCCAGAGTCCAGTTCGTCCAACGCTTTCCATGAGAGCTTCTCGAAGGGTAAAAATCTCGAGGTCTGAATCGTTCGCTTTAGCGTTGAGGTCCATACTGTAAGTTGAAGGTCTCCAGCAGATTGCTTCACGATCTCAGGCAGCTTCTTAGCGTACATCTGACCTCTTTCGCTAATGTTGGCATCACCACCAATCTTGCCCGACAGATTGTACTCAGATTCACCGTGNNCTGCGGCAGTCAGGATTAGTAAGTCAGGCAGTGTGTTGACGTTGGGTAAACTTACTCGCGACAGCCAAATAGAGCGCGGTTTGATGTGGAGATTCATCAAGTAATAGACCACACGGGATTGAAGGTAGTCCTGAATCTTGTTGATGATGACTTGATGTCCAACGTCGATCAGCTTGCAGTATGTAAGGTCGGCTTCGTCCTCGTCCAGTGTCTCGTACACCTTTTCATAGTTTCTGATTCTCTTCAAGAAATCTTGTGCAGCGACTTCGGGATCTTGTCCTACATAGTCGGGCGATGTGGTCTTGACCTCCTTGATGTTGGACATGACGAGCTCTTCGTCGTCACATTTTGACTCGACAAACATGGTCTGGATGTTGGCGGCGTCGCATCGATCTTGAATCCAGCGTCTCCGTGCTTTCGTCGAATTGGTAGCATCAAGGATTGCAACAAGACCTTCACCGTTGTCGAACCATTTCAGCATGTCTGCCACAGCAGCCTCGGCGGCAGCTTTGCGCATCTTCTCGCCTTCTGCATTGCTTTGATCGAAAAACTCGGCGGGAGGGTTGGGTGTGGTGGTGCGACGATATTGGCCTACGTTGAAGGTCTTTGCGTCGACCGAGAGCCAGCGGAGATAGCGAACAACTATGAGGACGTTAGAGGGTGCGAAGAGGGACTGAGAAGAGGACCTCAATACCTTNNTCTGAGCTATCAGACTCTTTCCTCTGGCTGGAAGGCCAACCATTACAACACAGATCCTGGTTTCTGGAGCCTGGACGCCGCTTCCATTAGTCTTTCTATTGGGACGCATCATCTGTCCGTCAGGCACTTTGCGCATCTCGGGCTTGTACTGCTGGCCCGCTTCCGAGGGAATTTGATCCAGAGCCATGGTTGTTGACTTGGAGAAGGTGTATCAATAGCGACGTAGGTAGAGATGAGATTCCCGTAATTGATGGTTTGCCGTGGTGACGTTCCGTGCCAGCGGCTTGCAGCGGCTTGAGACGAAGCAGATTGAGTGATTGTTCTTCGACGAAAGATGGCGAGGATGACAGGAACAAGGTAACAGTAAGCGACCCTATAATCTCAGGAGAAGGGCTCGAAGTTTTGCAGCAGCTATGATTCCCGCGTGACACCGCTGAGTTGGTAGTTTCCGCAATAATAGATGGAGATGGCGGGGTCGTTCTTCTCCCCCGCGCCGATTTGCTCCGCGGCCACAATCGATATGTACAACCGAGTGATGTGTAGAGAGACCGTACCGACCTCAAATGTGGCGTGAGGTGGGATGTAACTGGAGAGCGTGACTTCTAGAAGAGTTTGGGCGCCAAAGATGCACCTCAAGGGTCAGGAGAGAAGAAATTAAGGCCGTCATTCGGGTCAGAGTGCATGACGCCGATACGGCCAACCTCGGGTCTTCTCGGCGACTCCTCGACAGCGGTTGTTGTCTTCCTTACCTCCTTTCTCTCCAGTTTCCAGACCAGTCAGAGTCCAGGTTCGTCCTCGGTTGCAGCAGTACGGTACTCGAGAACGGCACGTCAAATGCCCGACTGGAAAAGAGACGACTGACCGTAAATACGCCCTCTTGCAGTGTGCTTGCACGAGGCCGACTGCCTGCCATGATTCCCTTCATCTTTTGTCTTGCTGTCTTTGATATCCCGGCTGGCGAAGAGAAAGGATGCGGCTTCTGGTCAAACAGCAATTGATGCTGTCTTGTGGTGGGAAAGTTGGCAAACTCAAGATTCAGCATCGATGCCCTTTTCTCTCAACAAAGAACTCATCAGAATGACATTCCAAGCGATAACGCCGATAAGAGTGGTTGGGTAAGCTTGGGATGGCATCAAGGTTGTATGACCTCCCGTAGCACACCTGAAAACCTTTGATCACTACTCAGGCGCCACTGGCAGGTAGCCACGACCGGAACCTTGGTCAATGGCAAGATCTCTCACTTGCACATTGATTGAGCTCAAATTTCTTTCCAAGCATTCCAGCTGTCTACAAGCTTCAGAGGTAGCACGCAGCAGCTTTGTCAAAACACCGGGGACGACTAACAGACACTGGTCTCACGCACATCGAAATTGTCATATAGATTCATTCATGTGTATTAATGTCAATACAGTGCAACAAAATGTTCTGTCGCCTTGCCCCCATCCGTCGTCTATCTGATGATCTGAAGTGTAGACCCTACTTATTCTCAGAAGCGACCAGCTTCGACAATCGTAGGCAAAACAGTTGCTTGTGCGATCAAATATCTCGAAAGGGTTGACAATCAGTGACTATTTCTCAAGACGCAATTTTCATCGCCTAGATGCATTTCGACCTCTGCACAGAAAGGGGAAGCGACGGCTTGTCTGGGCGAGAGGTGAACCGCAACACATGAGGAGATCGCAAATGGTCGACGCTGCCTCGCTCGACTTCAGAGTATCTGACTATCCTTCCAGCCTAACCATTTCTCCTACTCCCTAAGCCGCCATCGACACAGAATATCAATACAATCAGCAGGATACAAGCCATTTTCTCCCGTCGACAGGATACATCATCTTTTCCATTGGCATCCCACTACCTTTGTTGTCAAGATGGGTAGCAACAACTCCAAACCTCAACAGCAGTCTGTTCCCGCGAACATTGCAAACACGCCTCGAGAGGTTGCCCCAAGAAGTACACAGTCAGCTACCGAACCACAATACGTGACGGCATCTGGTATTCCTGTCGTCCCCAGAACACAGCCAAGTTCGACTGTCGCTCCTGATCCTGTGCTCCAAGAGTTCAGGGCGGCATATGTTGAGCCGACTGGTCGCGAAAGTGAGATGGGCAGCATGTAAGTCATACATTCTTGAAACATCGAAGAGCGAAACGCCTACCCGAGGCACTTGATGCTGCAATTGCTCATTGAAACAGTCTCGTACATCGAAAACAGCTCACTCCTCACACTTCTATCCAAATGAATGTTGGAACAACTGCTGATCCTTAATCCAGANGCCTCCCAGGTGACGCCGTTGGCACGGCATCCTACCCTATTCATGCGCCTCGTCGAGAACCACTACTCCCGGAGTCGCATCGATCAACTCATTGTGGAGACTAATCCTCAATGCAGACTGAATCGCTTGAAGCGTCTGCGCAAGATCTACACGAACCCTCTTGTACGACTATCTGCATCCAATCGGCACCGCGTCAAAGTTATCGATGCCCAAATCGAGGAACTTGAGTTCTTGATGACAGATGACGAAGGCAGACCTTTCGCACGGTATCGTACCAATGACGACGAAGATCCCTCACCACCATCGACTCAACTCAGCGGGAGTCTGGAAGAGCGCCCTGTTCCCATGATTGCCCAACTTGCCGATCAACAAGCGTCCGAGTCGTCAGACCCTGGTTCTGGAATGCGGATGGTACCATACAACAGACCGCTGAGACGATACCTTCAGGAGAGCCCGCGCTTACCCCCTCGTCATGCAACTAGCTCATCTCACATACGCTCAGGCAGTATCAGGCTGTCGAGTGGTAGCACAGTGCCCCAGAGTCAAGATTGGGCAGAGCCACGCAGACACTCACGAGGCAACAACAATCTATCACGCGTATCAGAAGAGCCATCAGCCGGACCATCTAGAGCCAGATCATCAAGACATGGTGATTCTGCTCCACCACTCTCTGTTGGGCCCGCCGTTATGCTCGAACGCGACCCATACAACTCAAATCTTCTGGTTCCTGTTGAGCCCTCAAGAAGATCAAATACACACTCGAACGCTTCGAAAGATCCATCCAGACACTCAAAGACAACAGGGAGAGTATCGCGCAAGACAGCAAGTCATTATTCTGAGCAGATTGATGTCAGGCCAGAGATGAGGGATCCACATAGAGGGCAAGGGGTTTTTGGTGGCGGAGGCGGTGTCGGAGGAGGAATCTGACAGGCACAGTTGGCGTTCCCGAGTTGAACGTTGCAGTAAACCTATATAGTTATTCTTTCAATGCAGCTGGTGATTCTTGTCACAACAGTTCTTTGTTTGAGACTGTGAGACTGCCAAAGTGTTTACTAAGAAGTGTCGAGCCTCTCTGTGGCTGACTGCTGCATTTGATGAAACCCATGCGTTATGACAGCCTACCCTCTAGCATCTCAACCGATCGTCGAGCATGCATAACTATACTTTACAGAACAAGCAAAGTCAACTACCGATTATCCAATGTATCAAGGTAAGTGGGTATATAGAATAGACACAACAACAAAAAACTTGTAATTAGCATGTCTCGGTGAATTACTTTTTTTTATGGCTAATTGACTCTCTGGTTAGCTATATATGCTCAATATCAAGTCCCCCAGATCTGGCAGCCCTATTTCCCTCGCATGTTTTGGAAGGTATTGTACATGGTACAAGATATCCCTTTTTTCTGTTTTCCTCTCCTTGTTTGTCGCCTGCTCACCCTTTTACTACCTTCATGGAGCCAAGAGACAAGAGCCAGCGCTGGGAATTACAAGATCAAGAAAAATGTCCGCGTTTGCAAGACCTTCCGTATCTCCAATATTTTGCCCGAGGGAACTTTTGCTGGTCTGGCGAGCTGAGGTTCCCAGCTAGCTAGTTCTTTTTCTTCATCGCTTCCTGAGCCTCTTTGGCTTTTCTCTGCAAGAACTTTTCCAATTCGCTGCCTTGGTGGAGGAACTCGGTGTCTGCTCTAAGGCCGTGAGGGTAGGTATCGCAGACTTGATCTGGTGTTTTCTCGAGCATTTGCGTCAGTTTGCCTTCATATCCACCATAAAGTGTTTGAGCACAGGGGTCGCAGAATTTTGCTCCGCAATGATTGTCGCAGGTGTAGGTGGCAGGTGATGGACACAAGGTACATGTTTCTGCAAGATCGGCGGCGGTGAATTGTTTTGCTGCATCCAGAGGGGAAGCAGAAACAACAATCAGTTTCATGGGAACGATATCATGGTCCCTGCACATCACAATCTTCAAGTAGTTTGTCGTGCACTTCAGACAAACTTTACAGTCCTCTGGTTTCTTTTTCTTGGAGGGCGAGGTTTTTCCTGCTTCGTTGGCATCGGGAATTTCATGTGCTCCTTGGCCGTTGTTGAAGTCGTAGGTCTTAATGTGGCGCAGGGAACCGGTGCCGCAGATTGCGTAGGAGGGTTGGCTGCAGATTGAGCAGGAGGTGAAGGGAGCGTTGAAGTGGATTGGATAGCTGAGACGTGTGGTGATTGGTTTTGCTTTGCGATGCAGGATTTGGCAGATTGTTTCTGAGGGTGTTGTGGATTCTTTCTTGGCAGCAGTCTTCTTTCTGGGAGCAGTCTTCTTTCTGAGAGCTGTCTTTCTTGGAGGTACTGGTGGCGGTGAAGAGAGGATCTCGATGTCTTCCTCGTCTTCGCCTTCGCTGTTGAGGGTTGTGATCTTGGGCTTCTTGGATGATTTGGAGGACTTTGTCTTTACTCTCTTGCGCTTCTTGTCTCTTCTGGCTTGCGCCTCGTCTTCTGAGGAGGACTCTTCGATGAATGGCATCCTGTCTCTAATGACAGGGTCGGTTCTGTTGAAGAGAATCTTGGTACTGAATCTACCCATCGAATCAGCTGTGTCAATGCCTAGGCCGCCACTCATGACATGGTCATCTTCGTCGTGATTGGTTTCCTCGTCCTCTTCCCGATCCTCAGGGGCAACTCTCTGAGCCGATGGATATAACTTGACCTCATCTGTGTAGTTTCCAGAGGGGTCGTTGTCGTAGATATGGGTATCAAAGTTGGCACAGACGTCTTCATGCCTTGGGCGCAAGCCATGACTTCGGCGTATGCAATGCTGACAAGGATAGTCAATCTCGCAGTCGCAAATCTGGTCCTGTTCGATTCTATCCAGCACAGACTGATCAGTACCATTGCATGCTTGCTCCCGTTGAGACTGCTCCTCGGACTCAGGAGTCGCTTGGTTGTGGGTCACTACAGGATAGAGGTCTCCTAGACCCATAGCGTCTATCATCCCTTCGTAACTTGACGCACTGCTCTTCTGGGATGTTTGTGATTTGTCTGATGCAGGGTGTGAGTAAGCAGGAGACGTGGCATTAGACACGGTGTTGATATTAGGCTTTGCATCATGGTCGGAACTGGTTAGCGGGCTGGAAACCTCTTGCTCAGCACCAGCTTCTGTCTGAGTCTCATCATTCTTCTCAATATTTTTGTCTGGAAAGTCGAATTTTTCCATGTTCGAGTCGAAGTCGAAAATGCTGTTGGGCTGCTCAGAGACATCGATCATCTCGTCTGGGAAGAGATCTCCAAGCCCTGCGGGATTCTCGCACTGTACCGTGGATCGAACAGCTGGACCATATGGGCCACCAAATAAGGAGCCTCGAAACTTGTGCACTAAAGACATCTCGACTTGTCGCTCTTCCATTAATTCCGAAGTCTCCACTGTCGTTTGGACGTCTACATTTGACTCTGCGGTGGCGATCTCGGCATCTTCTGGAGCAGAATCATCACCTTGAGCGCCAGCCATAGATTGATCTTCAGTCTTCTCTTCTTTCTCACGTTCTGAGATTTGGCTCTCTCCAGATGATGCGTATGTGGTGTGGATTCTTATTACTTTTGCAGCCGTGTCATCAAACTGAGCAGCCTTTGAAATTGGTTCGGAAGCCAGGGAAGAATTGCAGTCAGGACTGATGTGTTTGGGCGCATCTTGGTCGTGATCAGGGAAGAGGCAACGAGTACGGTCAGGGGCATGTTCAGTGTCGTGGTCAGAACCATCTTTCATGTGCGTATCCTCAGCTGTGGATGTGTCGAGATCGTGATCGTTAGAAGGGTCGTGTTTGACTTCATTACTGGCGTTACCGATAGCATTCATGTCTGTGGGTGTAGTGGCTTCGGACTTGGCAAGCGCAGGTTTGAGAGGTGTAACATTGTCAGTGCTGGTTTCCGCGTTTGTAGCTTTTACGTTCTTGGGTCTGACCACTGGAGGCTCGGAACGTGCGGACGTCTGAAGGCTGGGTGAAGTGGCAGTAACGCCCACGACTTTATCCTTGCTGTTGTCTTTGCATTCTGCCATCTCGGTATCAGGAATCACATCCTGAGCAAGTACGGACATCTTGGGGTCGTTGTCGAGACCTTGCGTGGGTAGGATGGAAGCTACATTGATCTTTTCCACGACCTGAGGGCGGGTGCTTGCTTCTCTGGTACTCTCGTCTGTCTCGGTGTCCATCTGTACCTCCAGACTTGCAGATCCAGCTCTTGTTGTAGCCGGTGATGGAACCTGGCTGATGATCTCTTCGGTAGTCTCAGCTGGTTGGATGTCCATCTGCAGTTTGACCGAGGTCGATTCAGCTGAGACGGAACCAGGGAGGGCGATTGTATTCGAGGACTTGTCGGCGGTACTTCCAGCTGTCTGATCAGCCTCATCCAAGTGAATATCGATTGGTGCTGGATCGGGTGATGGTAAGCTCGGAACGTGGTGGGCCGCCGTCGAGGCCAGCATTGGCATTTTGGCCATGCCGAGTCTGTCAACGAGTCTCAGCCAAGGATGTTATAGTAAGGTGAAATGGAAGACTGACCAGACGCTGTGATCTGTCTTCAAAGCAAAGGCATGCGTATCCCAAGTGGAGTGAGAGACACTCGTGAGCAAAAGAGAGTCTTGTTGTAAGCCTGGTAACAGATGAGATTGGAGTGATGAATAGTGAGATGAAATCTCGAGATGAGTGTTAGATGGTGAGTGAAAACGGCAGGAACCTTTACCGTGGGCCGGCGGTGTATCGCTACCGCTCTGTGTAAATTGGAACGATTTCTGGACGTGAGTTCTCAGGAGGAAAGCATTGCCAGTAGTGAGGCAGTGTCAAAGAAGAACGGATCTCACGATAGGACTGAACCAGCAACCCAACTGCGAGAAGATATGCAGAAAGGTGGTTCAAGGCTGATGAGTACGATGGAAACGGAAAGGATAAGCGATGGAGGCGATCAGCCAAAGCAGCAACTATAAGAAGCTGAATTAGTTGGAAGAATCAGAAGAAGCACAACGGAAGGGGACAGCGGAAGTTGTTGGAGGAGGCAGAGATATCTGAAAGGGGGTGGAAAAAGATGATTGAGTAGTTGAGGAGATAGTCATATGTGGCCGGGATTAAAATGATCTAAGAAACCAAACGTCGCCGAAGGAGATCGAACGAGTGTGAGAGCCGATCAACTTGTGTGTGACTGGAGTGGCCGGATCATCGAAAACAGTTGAGGTTTTCGAGTGTGCGGCCGAATCGTGATATTGTGACGAGTGTCATGATTGACAAAGCTGAGCAGGCTAATGCCAGGAAAAGGGCTGTCGAAAGTCTGAAGCAGGCAAGAACAGTCCGAGGTAAATAGCAGAGCTCAAGTCTCGAAATAGGTAAACGAGAAGGTATTCGGAGGTGGAGTGGCCACGGGGAAACGACATATAGAAGATGTCAGACGAAGTGCAATTGTGTGGACGACCGAGAAGATGCACATCTAAGAATTGGTGGACGATAGAGAACTGAAGATTAGTAGTGGGACCGTGTCATTGTACAAATTTAGACTTAAGAATGACCTCTTGTAAGTCATCGCCTCAGGAGAATATTGGCAGGAGATTGTGTAAAGATGCCAAGTCTATGACTGCTTGGGGGCTTTCCCCCATATCGATGGTAGGCCAAGTCATCGGGAAGAAGAGGCAGCAATCGAGAAACGCTCTCTTCGGCAGGATTGGGGTAGGTAGATGACCATAGTTCCCTCTGTTCCTTCTGCTTCGCAATGGTCGAGCTTGATGCAAACAGATCTGCTGATATGACTAACCAAACATATGTACGATGTTCTTCGCAACACCTCGTGAATATGGAAGATCAATCTTGTCAGGACAGTCCAAGATGAAATGTTGTGTGTTCATGAGAGAAGACGAGGTTGGTGTTCAATGGCAAGCTCCGGTGGTGTTGGGCGCTCGGACGACCACGGATGATTTCACCAAAACAGCTGCGATGCTTGGTCAACATCTCTTCTCACTGCACATGGCTACCAAGCTAAGCATGCTCAATGCGCCTTTTCTTGATCCGCCATGGCGAGTCGGTTGACAACGTAGCTGGTGTACTGTAAGTAGTTTGCGCCTGCATGAAAGCGACCGGCCAATCTGACTGACTTCGACAGNNTGCCGGCAGAAGAGATTCGGCCCTCACCAACCATGGAGCCGACCAAGCTCGCCGCCTGAGCGACTATCTCGCAGACAACAGACCGCCTTTGACGCGTATTNNTTTCTCGTCGACTCTGCAGCGCGCCTACAGGACGGCTAGCATCGTGGCAGCAAAACAGTCGACCAAAGACTTGACTGTCAGCACAGTTCCCTACTTGATTGAGCGCGACTTTGGCTACTACGAGGGCAAGAACAACCGTGTGCGAAAGGGCCCCCATCGCGTAGAGCACAAGAAAGAGGCTGGCTATGTCGAGGAAGAGTCCAAGGACAATTTGGCCGTCCGCGCAGACTTGTTTCTGGACCACCATCTTCTGCCTATGCTGCATGACGAAGCCGACTTTGGCGGTGCTGCTGAGCATGTCGTTGCTATTGTGTCGCATGGCATATTACTGTCAAGTCTCTGGCGAAGATTACTGCTCCGTCTGGGCCCGAGGAGCGTGAAAGTCTCGCGCGACGTCATAGCATCTCGAGGTCAAGTCGTCCTTGCTCACCTGGGTGGGTGGAGCAACACTGGTTTCCTCGAACTCTCCATTCAAGACTTGGATCCTCAGGCCACCCCAGAGTTGGACATCGTCTTACCTGCTGTGGTTCCGTCTTCAAAAGCGACAGCCGTTACTGCTGACTCGTCCTCGTGGAATGCTCTTGACACGGCTTCACCGCCCCACCTGGTGACTGATTCATCCGAACCAGAGATGCTAACAGACCAGTTCGACGTTGTTGGCGATGTAAGTGTCCCCAAAGATGCCATCGACCCTGAGTCGAGTGAGAGAGACAGCCCCAGACTACTCGAAGGCTACCGTACCACCATTCTTGTCGTAGACGGCCAGCAGCATCTCCAGGGCCTGAAGCGACAACGAGGTGGTATTGGTCGGGCCGAGCACGATGACAAACAGCAAAGCATGACGGCCTTCTTCAAAAGAGCCAGAAAGGACTGAGTTCCTTGTTTGCCTATGCCTCGCATCTTACAAGCAAGAGATGCCTGTGCATGGGTATCCATCAGTATGGTAAGCGCTCACTTTTTTTCCTTCTCCATCCCACTATCATGATGAAAAAGCAATATCTCACAGACCTGATCGGAAATCACTATGTCGATTCTATACTTGTTGTCCAACTGCTGTCTGAAATCCATTCTCCCCTCACTCTGTTCAAACCTGACTTTTTGAATCAAAAGCTAACTTGAACAAGCCAGGTCTAAGTTCTTTCGCCCTCGTGGCACACCTCGTCCTCAGTACATTCTCTCAGTCGAACGAGGACACGTCGCCTCTATGGAGGCTTTAGAGTCATCTTCGTGACACCCCTTGGGTCTTGTGTATGGCTGGCATTGCCACATCGATCACGTAACACCAAATGTTATAGAGAAAAAGTGCTTATAGTTTAAACCCTTGAAATCAAGAATCTCGTTCTGCCTCATCTACGTCTCTGTGCCACCTGAATATCCTCGATTGAATGATTACCATACTTTGTCACATCGCACAACATGCTACTGGCACGTTCGCTCGTAGATCTTGCTTTGGTTTGCGCTGGCAGAAAAGCAGCCACGCGCCCCACTCTCCAACCTCACACCGCAACAATCAAGCTTTGCACGCACACCTCGACCCAGCACAAATACCACCACCATGATCCCTTGGAGACAACTGTATTCAATTAGAATCACGATTTGTGCGTGTTTCGTACAAGTCGCTGGTACTGGGAGACGTGCCACAACAGATGTCCCCTTGCTTTGCACTATCGTGGCCTGCAAGCTTGCTTTCTTCAGCACTTGAGAGTATACCATCTTGCTTGACGAAATGACGGTGATACAAGAAGGCTTGATTTCTCTGTGACTTGGACAAAAGATAAATCCACACCTCACAAAGTGTGGCAGTCAAGCTATCCTGTCTAGTCCTTGTCTTACTTTCCTTCTCTCACCCCAGCCACCTCCAAAAGCCCAAAGATCCACCCTTGGACCATTCCCAGCCATCTTGAACCCACCACCCAAGCTACTCGTTCTCAGCATATCATATCTTTTGCGTTTCTCCACGTTTTTCGCTTCCTTGCAATCTTCGTTGTTTTGTCGTTCTTCACCGTGCTTCTTCGTTGTATCGTCGCAAAACGTCTGCGAATTGTCTACACGCCTAGAATACATAATACACACAACCATGAAGACTGGATTTATACTTGCTGTATTGCCTGTACTGGCATCAGCGGCAGCACGAGAAAACATTACTGGTATGTATCGCTTTCTTCTCTTTTTCGAACTTCTGCTTTGCCCGTCCTCAGTCACATATCTTTTTACTGTGTTCTTTTCTAACGGAAAACACAGCAACGATATCAATCCCTCCTTCTTCGAGTCTCGCAGTGGTGATACCTGTTGTAATTGCGTCAACGGAGTACACAACCATCTCGACTGAGGAACAGCCATCACCAACTACCAATGCGTTATCGGTGCTTTCATCCGCGTTGGCGACTTTTCCGTCTAGTTTGTTGCCAAAGACGACGTATTCGTTCGAGTTTACGAGGAGCACCACAAGGACGTCTGGTGTGGCGACGAGTACCAGTGGTTTGGTTTCGACATCTGCTGCTCCGGGACCAGCGTCTACGGTTACGGTGCCTACGGTGGTGATCAGTGGGACGCAGATTGTGACGTTGGTGAGTAGTGGTGGGGGCTTGGTGAGTGTTTCTGCTGCTACACCATCTACCTCTGCTGCTGCCACTTTTACCTCGACTGCAATGGCTTCTTCTGTGGTTTCTTCGGTGGAGTCTGGGACTGCATTTTCCACTGCATCTTCCTCGCAGACGGAGATTACATCGACGACACTCGCGACTATTACCACCTCATCAACAACTTCAGACACGACATTGTCAGCATCAGCAAGTTCTGAGACATCTGAATCTTCAACATCGCAGCAGAGTACAACAACAACATCATCACAGCAAACGACAGAAACAACAGCAACAGCAACAACAACATCCAGCGTCACACCCGCAACAACCACCGCCGCTCCACCAATCAATGCAGCTATTGCGCTCACACCTTTACCATTTACCGCACTGCTGGTTGTTGTTCTGAGTTTTGGCCTGCTAATATGAGCAAATTCTTTGTGTCTCGTGTTGGCAACACTAAAAGAGGAAGTAATGAGAGTTTTTGTATATAATGCTTCGGGAAGGGGAACTTGATGCGTAATGTTTGCGGAAAGGTGTGTATGATTGAATTGATGATTAATGAGAAGGAAGGAGAGGATGGATTTGCTTTAATCTCTAATTTCAAGACTATGGTTTTTCAATCTAGTCTATGCTTGATTCTTGACATTTCTTCGCTATTGAGACGGAGGAGCTGGTTGACTAGATGGCATGATTGAGGTTGAGTGGAAGAGAAGATCAACGCAGCCGAAGCAACATTTTAGTCGAGTTCAACAGTCACAAGTTCACAGGAAAGAGCAAGAGATGTGGTTTGGTTCCAAGGTTTCTCCGTAGAGAATGACCGTATAGTATTTCATTTTTGATTTTTGCAAAGGACTTGCAAATGACTGTTTTGTTTGACCTTGATGAGAGAAGCATGCCTTCTTTCAATGAACCACCCAGTGTCGTCCGCGCGTCCGATAGTAACAGACTTTCGCCTGGACCATCTCAAGATCAGACTGACCAGCGAGCAAATCCGTGAAGAGAAAGCAGAACACATCCCTCGATCAAAAGAAAGCCACAGCACAACTCAGACCACTCCCGTCTTTCATGCTAGAAGAGAAGAGCAATTTAAGAGGAAGGAGCAGGGGCGGCACCACCGCGGCCACGGCCGAAGCCACCACGGAACTGGGGGTTGAACTCGCCAGGGGCGGCACCCTCCTTGCCCTCGCCAGCGTCACGGCGACGGTACTCGCCGCGCTCGCGGTCACCACGGGGACCACCACGGCCGCCGCGGGGACGCTCCTCGCCGCCGAGCATACCGCGGGGGGGAGCGTGGGAGCGCTGCTGCTTGATGTGGGTCTGGGGGACAATCTCGGCGGGGAGGTGGAGCCACTCGCGGAGGTAGTCGAGGCCCTCGGCGGTGAGGCTGTGAGAGGCAGAGTCAGTATGCGAAAGGCTGTGATTCGGTGGTGAGGGCACGTACGTGTAGTAGTACCACTGCCAGGAGAACTGGGTCTTGAGGTAACCGCGCGAGGTCAGGGACTGGCAAGCCTTGATGACATAGAGGTTCTTGGTGTCAATGTCGCCGTGCTTGGGCTGGTTGAAGTCCTTCTTTGCGACGAGGACACCCTCTGGTGAGAATCAGTACGGAAGTCGACAAAGTACAAGGGGATATGGAGGGGTCCTACCGCGGAAGAGGTACTCGTGAATGAGCTTACGGTCGGCCTTGGGAATCAGCATCTTGACGATTGATGTATTTGGATCAACGTGGGGCTTGGGCGATGTTGATGTACCGACGTGGTTTGGGGAGAGAAAAGTCGTCGGTCGCGCGCGCGCAAAATCTCCAAAATGCGTCGTGGAGCGGCGGCCTTCGCTTCGTTGACTCGCGTTGCTTGGCGTCTTGTGTCTGGCTCGAGTCAGCCGCCGGTCTTCGCCTCGGGCGGTCTCTCCGCATCTGATTCACTTCCATGTCCAGACGCGCCACCACTTCTCGTCCATCACCACATTCAACCATGGATACAATCAACGTCTTCATCTCGTCCCTTGCCGGCCTGTCGCTACCTCGCACACTGTCCCTCCCTGTGCCAGCCAACACCTCCATCGCGACCTTCACGTCACTTCTCTCCACTCACCTTCCACCCCACGCCGACAACCTCCTCCTCTCGACCACAACCCGTCGCATCGACACCACATCGGGTCTACCACTCAGTTCCCTCCTCTCTAGCAATGGGTGCCCAACATTCCTCCCTCTCCGTCTCAGCGCACGCCTCCTCGGCGGCAAGGGCGGTTTCGGCTCCCAACTCCGCGCAGCAGGCGGCCGCATGTCCTCGCGCAAAAACCGCAACCGCAATCCCGACCAAATAAACGGCAGCAACCGCAATCTTGACGGACGCCGTCTACGCACAATCACCGAAGCCAAAAACCTCGCCGAGTACCTGGCCCTCAAACCAGAAATGGACAAGAAGGAAAGGGAAGAGAGAAGGAAACGCTGGGAGGCTGTTGTGGAGGCTGCAGAGAGAAAGGAGGAAGAATTGAAGAAGGGAAACAGGAATGCGAGGTTGGATGGGGAGTGGGTCGAGGCGAAAGAGGAGGCTGAGCAAAAGACCCGGGATGCTGTTTTGGCTGCTATGAGGGCAGGCTTGATTGAGGGTGATAAGCCTGTGCTTGAGAGGACTGGCAGCGAGACCTCAGATGGTAGTGATGCTCAGCCAGAGCCCTCAAGCTCGGCGTCCAGCGACAATGACGAGATACAAGCCACCAAGCCTGCTCCAGCTGCTACTCGTGCCTTTTATGGCTGGGACGACGAGGACGACGAGTTCATGAGCGACGACGAAGAGGACGAGATTGCTGCTCCTATCGAGCTCGATGCTGCACCCGTTGCATACGAGGGTAAAGGCAAGGCTAAGGCCTGATCATGATCAAAGCCTGACTTTTTATTCCCTTATGTTGCTGGTCGTCATGAGCAAATGGTTTTTCATTTTGGTTTTCTGTTCTGGTTTTGCAAGCGAGCGAGTTTTGGCGTTATTTTCCTGCAAATTACACATTTCTAGCGTCCGATACCCCAATAAATATTCATCCTTGATGCAAAGGTCCTTTTCTCTCAAGTTCTTTTCATTAAAGCCATCTTTGCCGAGCAACCAGCTGCACTGGCGAAAGATATGTCGCCTCTTCTACATCCACTTCTTCGATATGATGAGATGCTTGAGTCCATCTCTTGTTCACCGTCACGTATTCTGGGATTTCCGTGGTCTACGAACCATCGACGATGTCCAAAAAAACCATGGCTTCTGCGTACAGAAAGGTGTCACCGAAGGAGGAAGAATAAAATAGGTTCTCTCTGACGACAGAAGTATCCTTGATCTGTCTGGTTATTTGCTGGCTGTGGCATATGTCATTTTTATGTATTGGCTACGAGGGATTGATATTAGGTTGCTATCAATCTTACATTTGAACCATCCAACAGTTTCAGATACAGAAATAGACGTGTAAAGTCCAGACTGACGTAGCATCGATAAATCTACCATGTCCTTGCTACAAGTATCGTGAAAAAGAAGAGTGTTTTGCTTGTTATACACAAAGAACGCAACACACATTCTCATGTTGCCATTCTCTATCTGGTTTCCTTCCCTTCTTGCATACCGTGCATTCCCCTTCATACAGACCTACCTCTCCTTCTCAAAATCCCAGAAAAGCCCTCACACCGTCCCTTCAGCTCTACGTCTATCATATCTCAGGATACTCTGCATCAACACCTGCGCCCCCAACGCACAATCCTCGGGCTTTGTAAACTCGACCGGATTATGCGAGACTCCATCTCTACTGGGCACGAAAATCATAGTCGTAGGGACGCGTTTGCTGGTGTACACGCTATCATGTCCAGCTCCACTGGTCATTGCTTTTGTCAGTTTGTCAGTCTTGTCTCCAAAGATGGAGACGGCAGCTTCTTCGACACAGGAAATGCATTCGGGAGCAAATTTTGTGGCTGGCGAGTATGTGTCTTGGGTCCAGGATACGGTGCAGGATTTTGTGGAAGGTACAAAGTCTGCGTTCAAAGAGTCGATGTCGTGGCCAGCGGCGAGGGCTGCAAATGCTGTTCGACAGTCTTGTTCCACTTGTGCCACAATGTCGTTTTCGGGGCTTCTGATGTCGAGTGAAAAGTCCACGGTGCCAGGGACAGTGTTTGTGCTGCCAGGCCTAAGAGTGAGTATTCCTGTAGATGCCAGAGCTCCTTTTCGTGCTGCTGCGCGATGGCTGTATACGATCATTTTGCTTGCTGCTAGGAGGGCGTCTGCGCGGTGAGAGAAGGAAGTGGTTCCTGTATGGCAATCTGCTCCGCGTACACTGACGGTAAACCATTTGTACGCTTGCACACCCTGCACGATGCCAATTTTGCGGTCTTCGGCTTCGAGGATGGGGCCTTGTTCGATGTGGAGTTCAAAGTGTGCGGCTAGAGGTACAGCTTCATGGCTACAGGGAACTTCCCCAANGTAACCTATACGCTGTAATTCGCTCTTCATGGTTGCGGTGCCAGAGCCAACTTCTTTGAGGTCATGGGCATGGTTGAGTGCAATCTCGCCGGCCCAAACTCCTGAACTCACCATCGAGATGGGGAATCTTGCTCCCTCTTCGTTGGTCCAGTTGACCACTCCAACAGGAAATGTAGTGGTGATGTCGTTTTGGTGCAGCGTTCTTAGCATTTCTATTCCGGCGGTGACGCCGAGGATGCCGTCGTAGCGGCCTCCGGTGGGTTGAGTGTCGAGATGACTGCCTGCTACTGTGGGTGCACCGTCTTTCAAGCCTGGGCGAATGGCGAATTGATTTCCCATAGAGTCGACGGTGACGGTGCAGCCGAGGCTTTCTGTGGTAGTGGCGAACCAATCTCGAGCTTGTTTGTCGGCATCAGAGAGGGAGAGGCGAGACATGCCTGTTTCGGTAGGTGCGCTGGAGGTGACAAGGTAGTTAGCTTCCGATGGCTTTCTGTACGAGACTAACAGCGAGGATATAGAGAGGTAGAAAGAGAGGAAAGCCATCTATATCACTTCCAGCGCAATCAAGGTGGTCTTGCTGATGCTGCATCTCTGGTACAGCTCCATGTGACAAAGACATCTCGCACTAAGCAGCAGTCCCAAAATCCAGTCAAACAGAGGCCCACTTGATAGAACCAGCATCGCACCAGTACTCTTCCTCCTCTTCCTCTTTCCCGCCTCCTTCTTTCACCCCAAGTACACACCATCAAAGCAACGAACCGCCAAAAGAGCAAAAGGGAAACACACAAAACTCACCTCCCCAGACCTCTCCCTTTCCCCACTCACAAGTCTCATGCAAATCCCCCATCAATCTCTCCTCTTTGACTTTGATCCCACTAACCTCTTCCTCAGACATACTTCTCAATTCCCGTTGCTGCCATCTGTTCGAGCAGGAAAAGTGTCGTGTATGTTGCGAATAAATGGATTTGCTAATGTTGTTTTTGTGGTGATTGCCAAATCTGAGAATATTCGGAGAACGAAGGATAGGAAGCATAGAACCACGGATTGAAACCAAGGACGCCGCTCGGTTGGGCATTCGCTGACATGATGCTCGTAATGCCATGATTGCTCGTCTCCTCTTTCGCTGATCGACTTCCAAGAAAATGAGTAGAGTTGTTGAAGAGCGTTGAGATCGAAGAAGATGAAGAAGCTCACAGAATGAGACAAGAAAGATAGACAGGACTGAAGGTACAAGAGCACAGATAAGCATCAGAAAAGAGGAGAGCTGCATACATACCTATATACACTGCCCGCACCGGCTATCAGTTCGGATGCACCTGCCTGATATGGATGCAACTCTGCCGCTGGCCGACGATCTCCACTCGGGGATAATGTTGTTGAGAGAGTTACCCTGGCCAGAGATTCGACTTTGGGTGATACTCGTCACCGATGCCGGTATGCTTCTGATATCTCTGTTTGTGAGTCTATGAACTATGGACAGATATCAAATGTAGGTCGGGGGTCGACTCAGTATGGGTATCTGGGTGCGACGACTAGGTTGTTTATCAAACTTGCAATCACTAAAAGCTTTGGACACGCAATAAAGAAGCATACCTTACTACGCAGCCTATGATGACCTCCAGACATGAACATCTTCACTGACACGAGACAAGAGAAAACCGTCCATGGTTTCGAAACTGTTCATTATAATATCAGGAATCTAGGAGTCTCTCTATACTACAGGATTATGATCCTGCCGTCAATGCCCTATTCAGAACAATAAACCCACCCAGACGAACGCCACATCTGCCAATGCTATCTCCATGTGCGTTTACTCAATCTCATCCTCGTACTGCTCAGGGCCATTCGGTGTCATCAGACGCTTGAGCTGGTCTTGCACATATCTGTGGACGTGATCATCTGCGCTTTCTCTCTCCTTGTTGCGGTCGGCATTACCGTCATCCTTGTAGATCGTCCAAGCGCGTCCGTTAGACTTGGTATCATCACCCTCTTCGGCTTCAGCGTCATGGTCGCCATCATCACTAGGAGGGGCAGACTTCCAGTAGTCGCTGCGGGCGCCGATGCTACGGCTGGTTGACGAACGACGAAGCTCTCCAGGCTTCTTTGTTTGAGAATTTCTGCGTTGACGAGTGAAGACGTCGTCAAAGTAGTGAGATGCTGCGGCGGTAGGAGTTCTGGGTGTCTGAGGAAGACGACAGTTGACACCAGTGTCGTGGATCATCTTGGCCATAAGACCGGTCCAACCACACTGATGACTAGCACCAAGACCTCTGCCACTGTCTCCATCGAAGAATTCGTAGAAGAAGAGGTAGTCCTTCCAGTGAGGATCAAAGTCGAGCATATCGTTTCCATCGTTGATTGCACGTCTTCCATCATCACCACGAGCCATGAGATGTTGAAGACGATGCTGAATCTCTTCAGCTACATGTCCAAGATGCATCATGTCACCGGAACCCTTAGGACACTCGACCTTGAGTGTGTTGCCGTAGAACATGTAGAAGCGGAGCAGAGACTCGACCAACAAGAAGTTGACTGCAATCCAGACAGGACCACGCCAGTTGCTGTTTCCACCAAAGAGACCACTATCGGAATCTCCAGGAACGTAGCCAACCGAGAAGGTCTGACCATTGACATCCATCGAGTAAGGGTGCTTCTCGTGATACTTGGACAACGAACGGATACCACCCTTTGACAAAAACTCGGTCTCGTCCAACATGCGCTCCAAGATCTTCTTGAGCCTCTCCTCGTTGACCAGGGAAAGAAGAAGACGGTTGTCCTTTCCGCGACGCTTCATGCTGGCAATGTTGCGCTCGAAGACGTCATGCTTGTTCTCGATGAACCATTCCATGCGCTTCTTGAACTGAGGCAGCTTGTTAATAACCTGCGGCTCAAGCGTCAAACAGGCGTACATGGGGATCAGGCCGACGAGCGAGCGGACAGGCATCTGCTGAGTCCATGGGCCACCCCAGGAGATTGCGTCGTAGTAGAAACCGTCCTCTTCGTTCCACAGAGACTTTGCCTCACTACCCGCGCGGTACTGCATGGCATCACTGATGAGGACGAAGTGTTCAAAGAATTTGGAAGCAATGTCTTCGTATGTGCGACGGTGCTTGGCGAGTTCGAGGGAGATGTTCAACATGCACAAGCAGTAGAAAGCCATCCAACCAGTGGAGTCAGCTTGCTCGAGAACACCACCAGTCGGAAGAGGGTCGGAACGGTTGAACAGACCGATGTTGTCCAGACCCAAGAAACCACCTTCGAAGACGTTCTTGCCTTCAGCATCCTTGCGGTTGACCCACCAGGTGAAGTTGAGCAGCAGCTTCTGGAAGACACGCTCGAGGAAGTCAATGTCTTCACGACCGTACATCTTGCGCTCCATCTTGAAGGTTCTGAAGGTGGCCCAGGCGTGGACGGGAGGGTTGACATCACCAAAGTTCCATTCGTAGGCGGGTAGCTGTCCGTTGGGGTGCATGTACCATTCACGAGTGAACAGATCGAGCTGCTTCTTGGCAAATTCGGGATCGATCATGGTAAGCGGAATACAGTGGAAGGCTGAATCCCAAGCGGCGAAGAAGGGGTACTCCCATGAATCTGGCATGGACAATATGTCGTCGAGATGCATGTGCTTCCATTGGGCGTTGCGAATGGCCTTTCTGCCAGGAGGAGGTGGGGGCATGCCAGGATCACCGTTGGCCCACTGATCCCAGACAAAGTGGTAGTATTGTTTGCACCACATCATGCCTGAAAGAGCCTGGCGCTGGATGTTGCGAAGGTCGTCGTGCATGGGCATGGGGCTGATGCGGTAGTAGAATTCGTCGGCTTCTTGGAGTCTCTGGTCCATAACGTCGTCAAAGAGCTCTTCATCGATGTAGCCCTCAGTGAGCTTCTTGGAGAGGCGGAAACGGACAACGGCGCACTCGCCAGGAGGCACACCCTCGCCCTGGTCGAATGCATACCAGGCTGCACTCTTGGTTCCTGACTTGGCAGGGTTGACAGCGCCCTTCTCCTTGTTGACAATGTGTCTGTGGAAAGCATCCTTGGTGAAATCGGTGTGGTTCTTCTGGTCTTTGCCCCAGATGGCCTTGAAGTTGGTGTCGTTGTCGGTGAAGAGGAACTCGGGGTGAACATCCTCCTCGCGACCGCCAACGTTGGGCGAAGGAGAGCACTGGAAGTAGCGCTTGCCAATCTTCTTGTGGTTGGTCTCGCAAGCAAATTCACTAACCTGCTTGCTCTCAGGCTTGGTCTCATCATAACCCCAGGCCCAAGTGTTGCGGAACCAGACATGAGGGATGATGTGCAATTTGGCAGCCTCAGGACCACGGTTGTATGCTGTCACACGGAAGAGAAGCTCATCCGGGTCGTCCGCCTCTTTTGCAGTCTCGATGAAGATGTCCCAGTACTTGTTGTCCTTGAAGGCATCAGTGTCGATCAGGTTGTACTCGCGCTCAGTCTTGTTGCGGCGACCGTTCTCCTCAATCAGGTGCTCGTAAGGAAACTCCTCTTGAGGGTACTTGTAGAGGAACTTCATGTACGAGTNGCTGTGATTATGAGGTCAGCACGAGGCAGTCACCAAGCTTCAGGTGATACACACAGTAGGGGTGTTGTCGAGGTGGAAATGGCACTCCTTGATACTCTCGCCGTGAACACCCTGAGGGTTGGACAGACCAANAAGACGCTCCTTGAGGAAGGGGCTAGGAAGTGTTAGTGGATGGACGTGGTGTCGAGACTTTGTGTGTGAAGCCTACTCTTTTCCGTTCCAGAAGGCAAATGCAATGTTCTGGAGACCGTGAGTGTCGGAGACACCAGCGATACCATCTTCGCCCCAACGGTAGGCTCTCTTGCGTGACATGTCATGCGAGANAGTCTGTTGTCGTTGTTAGCTTGGACATGTTCGTCAATGGCGGATCAATGGCCAGGACTTACGACTCCAGGCATCTCCGTCAGCGCTGGCTGTGTGTTAGTGATTGTTCACAAGCTTCAAGATCATAACGGTCTAGCTTACGAGTAGTCCTCTCTCACTGTGAAGCGTCAGTCAGGATTGTGCAATGATGAGGAGTGATGTGGTTGGACGTACNNCGGTGGCCCATTGTCTCTCGGAGACGTAGGAACCCCATTTCTTCCAGTACTTGGTTCTCTCGCGATCCTCTTGCAGACGCTTCTCCTCCTCACAGAGAACCTCTGTGTTGTCGATGTAGACCATGGCGATGCGGTGTGCCCTCTAGATAATGGATGAGCAAGTCGCCGCAGAGCTGGCTAATGATGGTGGTGAAAGTTAAGGCGGGCAAAGAACGACAGGAGAGGCGGTAGAAATTAGCTAAGATGGTAAGTCTGATGGATGCGAGTTAAAGAGAGAAACAATGCAAAGTCAGCCGAACCGAGACAAGTTTCAGGAACTGGACGCGACTGCACGGAGAAGGAGGAAAAAAGACACAGCAGCAACAGCAGCAGCAGCTACTCTCCAGATCTACGGACCGTGTAGGAAGGTCCACTGGGGAACGCGGGAACGCAACCGCCTACGAAATAAATCCACCAACGTCATCCCGCACTGCAGCGAGGACGGACTCTGCGGTCCACCAGCCCAACAATTTGGTGCTTATCGACTTTTTCGAAGCATCGGCCTATGCTGCAGCGTTGCTATACACTCTCGGATGCCCTTTGATCATCCAGGGGACAATGCAATGCTTTTATATCATGTTTCCAAGTGTCTGACTCGCTTACGGACCAGAGCAACAGCTGTCGAGTCTCCAGATCAATCTCCCCAGGCCACTTCAACCATCTGGAGACTCCGCTGGGCTCCACACGCACTGTTCAGTTCCGCTTGTCAATTCACCGAAACTTGTCAACCCCACCACCAACAAATTGTCGTTGACCAAATAAGCGGCATACAACGCTTGTAGTACATTGATATCTCCGTCATGCTGACTGGACATTTGCCCTACTGCCTCGTCTCCTATTCTCGCCAGACATGACGTTGTTCCTGTATAAGAAGCTTTTGAGGCTTCGTTCAAAAACCGGAAAGGACTAGTTGAAGATTGAGTATGCACAAGAGCCTCTATCTGTCCGAGGTCCTCGCGATTGTATTGCTCACAGCTGGTGTTGTCAGAAGAGACTTGAACCACTGATCTTGTGTTTCGTAATTTCGAGAAAAAGTTGTGGTTGAAATTTGGTATCCTTTGCGAACAGAAACAAGAAAGCGCCCATACAATGTACAAACCGGGCTATGCATCGAGAAACAAGAGACACATGTTGTCTACTCGACAGTGTCAAGAGAACCCTTGCCACTTGTGCCGGCGGGAACCTCACCCTTTTGTGCCTTGAGCTTTTCCTCGAACTTGGCAAACTCACGGAGAGCGACCTCCTCTTCTTCGTCCAGCACTTGTTGGACACCTTGAACCTCATCNNTGTGTTGCTGTTAGCTTCGTATCCGGGGTTTCGCAGCAGACATATACGAACCAATGTAATGCATGAGCATGCTCTCAATGCCATTCTTCAAGGTCACTGTGCTCGAATCGCAAGTTCTGCAAGCACCGCGCAGCTTCAACAGAACCTGGCCATCAACAAATCCTCTGAACTCAATGTCACCACCATCTTCCTGGATGGCTGGGCGAATACGAGTCTCGAGCAATTCCTTGATCATGCTGACCACCTCGCTGTCATTCTCATCGTATTCTAAAGAGTCCTTCTCGACTGCTTGCTCTTCACCATTCTTTCCGGCAACTGTGTTTACGAGAGGTTGTCCAGATGTCACAGCCTCGGTGATCAGAGCGAAGACTTCGGGCTTGACGTGTGGCCATGGGGTGGCGGAGTCTTTTGTGACGGTAATGTAGTCGGGGCCGTAGAAGACTGACGAAACGCCATCTACGTTCAGCAGCTGAGCGGCGAGAGGCGATGGGTGAGGAGGCGCAAGTGTTGAGCGAGGCGACAAGTACTCGAGGAAGGATGATTGAAAGTTCTCAGGTAAGATGCGAGAGTTGGGGATGAACTTCAATGCGTCGGCGTTAGGTGTGTCCTCAGTCTGAATGAAGATGGAGCGAATGCCGGTGGGGAATCGAGAGTGAGCAGGCTTGAGTGAAGGCGCACTCGGACGGTATCTGGTGGCGGTCGATGTGAGAGATGAGGGTGTTGCCAGGCGATGCAGGCTTCTGCGGATTGGTGCTGTGGCAATCGTCCTTGATGCGCTCGAGCGGGCGGCGCTTCTGCAGGCTGATGTGAACATGGTGGATTTGGCGGGCATCGTGTAGGGTATGGTGAATGTCTCAGGAAAGGCGAAAGATGTTGTGTTTCGTGTCTGCAAAAGATCAACAATTATCTACGAGTAGATCTCGAATGACGCAGAAGCCTTCCGCTCTCGGAACCTCGGCAAAATTGGTAAGCTTGGGAGTGCCTTCCTGCGATTCGTTGCTCTTCCTCTGTCCTGCACCACCACCTCATTGCCAAAATGTAATTGAAAACAAATGCTCCCCAATACCAGAATCTTCTTGGAGTAGTGGGGGTATCTCCAGAGAGCGCGTGGAAGCGACGAATCTCGCTCGTCGACATGACTTTCCAAAAGTCTTGATGAAAATCGGCCTTCTTGTCGGCAATGCAGCACAGTGTTTGTAGTGTCTGGGAAAGAGGACGATTGTTCGGCACACCTGATTGCTGAATAGTAGCTTCATGCATTGAAGACCATTCGAGTCTTCTAAGAAAGCAAAAATGGATTGCAGCGAGCGAGATTCGAACTCACGTCTCTACGCCTCAGGTAGTTGCTTCGACCTGCTTCTTCAGCTATCACCTCACGACTACCATAACATGCTTGTGTTTGCAAGACAGTATTTGCGTAACGTCTTGACCACTAGACTAAAGCTGCTGAAGTTGAGTTTGGCAAGGATGGCAAGAAAGTTGTAGTCTAGGTTAGCAGGCAGGTGGGCGGAGGTTGGCGCCTGCCTGACTCGATGTTCACCATGCTCGCCATTTCCGTTTTTCGTTTTCTCACAATTTCCTTGTTCTCATCATCCATCAAGTATGGCAACAAACGGAAAACCGCAACTTGATCCAAAGATCACAGCATATCTTGGTCTGACTTGATCTTTGCCTCAATGATCAAGCACTAATGTGAAGATGGTAGATTTCGCGGCGCAACTGGTCAGACGCATCGATTCGGGCAATGTCAATGCTGTCACCATGAAAGAACTTGAAGGCACCCTGAAGACCAAGACACCCCGTTCGCCAGCTGCTAGGGCAGCCGACTTCGACCGCCTCGGAACACAAATCTGGAATGCTGCTATTCGCCTCAAAGATCAGTCATCACCAACCTTGAAGACTTGGCCACAACTCGAATCTCAACTACGTGTCCTCGCCTATCTTCTTCTGGATACGGCGCAGCGATCTTACGTCAAGCATGGCAGCAGAAAGTCGTCCCAGAACTTGGTCCGCATCCTCAAGACGGCCTTGAAAGCAGCGCGCGTCTGTATTCACGCAAACGCTCTGGACATTTGTACTATGCTGTTTGAGAAAGTGGCCGAACATGTCGAGCACAAACAGGATCCACCTCCGGAGTATAAGAAGGACAGGCAAGAAAGCGAGGCGGACGAGATACTCAAAGAGTTGACAGCCGACTACTATCTTCTGAGAGCGACGACGTCATGGAAACAAGACAAACCTGATACCGTAAGCTACTGGGTTGCGAGAGTTCTTTTGCTCCCGGACAGAGCAGACATGCTGCAGCTGGCCGAGAAGAAGGCAGACCTGACATATGAAGTCGGCAAATCAGCTCTGCAGCAGAAGCAGTTCAGCAACGCCGCAAGGTGGTTAGACCAGAGCTTCCAGATCTTCGACGACATTGATCCCGAACTGTTGTCATCCGACTTCTGCGACCTACGTCTGGTGGTCATGCTCGATTATGGTAAGTTTGGTGCAAGGTCTGTATATCAGCGTACTTACTTCTCGAANGCTCGCGCCCTAGTAGGTATTGGGGATGCTGCGTCATTGGACAAAGCGACCGACCTCGTCGTGACGCTTGACCAGGTTTGTGGCATAAAACAAGGAATAAAGGGCTTCAGCTGACTTCAANNGCAGGAGCATGGCTTCAAGACTGAAGTCCACCTTTTAAGGCTCGACATCATCTATGCTAAGAGACCATTCGATCCAGCTGAGTTTAGCGGANNGGTGGGCCAAACTCTGATAGATCCTCAGCATCATATCACTGACCACATACAAGCTTTGATCAGAATCATTCGTGGAGCCATGCTCTCGGAGGGCACTTTCAAATCGTATGCTGTTCACAACGTCCCTTCCTTGATGGCACACGCTGATGGTGTTNNTAGTATCATGTATCAGATTCAAAAGCTGAACACATATCAACCAGAGCGAGACGGTCTGGCTGTTCAAACCGTCATAGCCAGTTCGACTCCTGGAACACACTCACACTTGGCATGCCAGACACTGGACTCCCTGTTGTCAAGGTTGCTTGCACAGCCTTCACTCACGCAGGTATGGATTGAGAAGATTGTGGTCACCAGAGTCTGGATCAGTTCACTTTCTCCGCATGTGCAAGATCACTGTCCCAGACTCAAAGACTTGTTTGAAGATATCGCCAACGCAAATGGCACAAAGTTGGATCTGGAGGCAACACACGCTTCTCAATCTGTATGTCAGAGGAGTATCTTCATGCAGCAGGGACTTTCCTGACGTCGTGACAGNTTGATTTGGAAAGCCGTCACCGCTTTACAACAGTCGCAAAATGAGGATGAAGCCGCCAAATGGTGTAGTTTGGCAAACCATCATATATTTGCCAGCTCGGGAGAGATCAACAAAGCCAAATTATTACGGCGAGTGTTGTCAATTTTCTTGAACATGGACTAGGCTGATTGTTCCNNTAGCAAGTCGATGACTGTCGCTCTCTCTCAAGGAGATCTGACTGCTGCACGAGCAGCTTACTATCAGATGTCAGATCACGGCATGTCAGCCGCAACGACCCAATATCTTATGTACAAGATTGCCTTGCAGGAGAATGATGCTCACTTGGGTGTGTAATTAAACTCCTGTATCAGATCATTGCTGTTGACACCACCAGCTGCAACATCGCTCGAAGGAGTCCTCAAGTCGTCTTCTAGAGACACCGAGAAATATCTCTATGCGTGCGTACTCGAAGCGCAACAGATAGGCGACCGACAGCAACTCATCGCAACCATGAACAAAGTCTTGGAACTCCATGAGAAAAATCCGTTGAGCGATGTCCGCTTGCCAGTTCTTCTTCGGTATGCGAGGTCAAACTCTAGTGTATGGCATAAGGCTGACAGTATCCAGNNTTGTATAGCCGGCTCTATCGAGACGGAGTTAAACAACCATGACATGCCACTCGAAACTGGTCTGACTGAGCTGTGCAATGTCTTCGAAGCTGGTATGTTTGCTTAATCTGGCTGTAAGTAGTCCTGCACACTAACATGACCAGCAATGAGACATGGAAGTACCTTCATAGACACAGATAGCACTGATACCCGTCTGGCCGAGCTTCGGTGGTTCGCTTGTCACAGTTACAACACAGCCCTGAAGTACTGCTCAGACATGCGACCAGACTCACTTACAAGGCTGATGATGGCAAGCGTAGCTGTGTGTATATCTTCAAACTATCCTGAGCAGTGCTGACACCCAACANNGCTGATAGATCTGCTCCGCAAAGAAGGCGAGAAAGATGACGGTCTTCTGAGTCGACTTCTCTTATGTCGCTTTCTGACAACATCTGCTTTGATCGTCCTAGCGAGGTCAGAAGACAACATTGAACGAGCTGTTTGTATACGAGATGTCCCTGACCGGAAACATGTGCTGATCTTGGAGCAGCTGCAACTCTATCTCGACGCAAGATGGCAGATCGAAGCATTTCACCAGAGATATCAAGAGACCATACAACAGGATTTGCTCCAACCAGATGCAATATCTGACGTTGAGGTCAAGGAGTTCGAGATGATCAAGTTCGATTTGGAGGCCCTCATGCGTCTCGAACAATGGCAAGACCTCGACAAAGTTCTTTCCGTAAGCTCACCACATTACTCATGCTTAACGCATACTAACTCGGACCCGAGNATGTGCCTCGAGTCTCGACACTCAAATAGGCTCGAGAGCGCAGCAGACTTGGTTTTTCACATCCATACCCACATAACCTCTTCTCCCTCCTATTTCGCTCCCTCGAATCCCCTCGCCAGAATCCCTTCAGTGATGGAGAAAATCATCAATACATGCTGGCGCAACGATAAAGATATCTCACGCCTAGCCCGTTGGATACGCTGCCTCTTCCAAATGACGCTGACTATCGACCCCATCATTTCCCTCCGCTGTCTGGACCAAGCGTCTGCTATTGCATCCAAAGCAGCCACGAGACACATCCCCGAGGCTTACCCACCGGAAGAACTCGAGTGGTTAGCTAGTACGGCATTCAACCATGCCGTAGATTTGTGGTTTGCAGGTGTTGAGGAGGAAGTAGATGCGCAAGGAGGAGGGAACGAGCAAGCGAGGGTTTGGGCTGAGAAGGCTTTAATGCTCGCAGGAAGTGTGGACGGGGCTAGCGCCGGAGTGCAAGGGCTGCACAAGGTTTTGCAGGATAAGTGGATGAAGTTGAAGGGTATGGATCACCGTCAAAGTTCGGACCAGTGATCGGCCTAACCTCAAAGAACAAAAACCACGGAGAGAACGAAAGAAAGCAGATGATTGCTAGTATGCTTTGGGTGGCATCGGGTACAGTCAGCAGAAGTACTTTGCTTCTCCGACGACCTCAATTCGCTGGTATCGCTGTGACAGAAAGAATTACTTCTCGGCACCCTCTTGTTTCTCTGGAACGCACAAAGCTCTTGTTTTTTCTTTTCTTATTGATCTCTCGAAAGCAGCATCTTCGGAACAGCTGTTTGACTTCATCGTCCAGTAGACTTTTGTTCCTGATTCTTGCTTAGGATACTCGAGCAATGTTGACTAATCAACCCTGAGAACAAATAGTAACTATAGCAGGTTGAGCTTTTCTCTATCTCTTGTCGCATTTTCCTCCAGATGTGTTGGGACAGCTGCCAATACTTATAAATCTCTCCACATGCCTGCTTTCTGACGTCTTGGACCATCGAGAGATGGACTAATCAGGTTAACGATATTGCAAGTTGATTTGTTTCTCTCCTCTGGACGTCTCTCTACTATAGTTATCTCTGGAAGAACGTATCGTTTGTTATTCGTGACGTTCCTGGAAGAGTAAACTCTTCAATACCAATAGAGTCGATGATAAGATGCGGTAATCTTTCGAAGATGGAACAAAACGCAAGAGCATTTTCCAATCCAAAGATTGAGCTAGTGTCCGCTTGTGTGAGAATGCTAGTCTGACACTGACACATATGGCGACAACTTAGCTGGAAGAACTAAGTCTCGATGACTGTTCCAAGCTCCTCGGTTGAAAAGTATCTCAACGAGCATACAGACTTCACGGCCTCAAGAGGCAAAACACCTTTTCCTGTCGTACAACAACCAGAAGGAAAGAGAGCAGCCTACAAGCCCAAATATACCACTTCGATCTTATCAAGATCTGAGACTAGCGCCTCACTACAGAGAAGCGGAAATAACATGCGTACGATCATAGCGATGAACTGTATCAACTGGAAGCTTCATCCGTCAGATTGTCCGATGTTGTTTGTCCAATTCAGGTTCCATGGAATCGTTGATATATATGGACTTGGATGTGTTCAGGGTACGTCGCAAAGAAGTGATGAGCCAAAATACAACGCTCATTTACTACCTAAAAAGTAGCATATACCACACTAGGAGTGTACACCTACATTATCTCCGACCTTGAGGAAAACGCCAACCGAGACCGCAGTATGAGGTAATCATGATCAAGTCAAGCACTTTAAGAATCGTTGTTATGGAATCTGAAATTGAGCCCGTGACACATGGTCAGATCAAAATCATTAGATAGATCCCTGAATTCAAACAAGCGGTCACCGGACCGACAGAGAAGTGAGAGCGTAGATTACCAACCCTCGAGATAGTGCTGGAATTCGGTCATAGTACAGGACTATCAAGAATGGAGAGCTACTATGAGACAAGGACAAAGAATGACTTGATAGGAAAACCTAACAGGAAATAGCTTATAGGATCCAGACAGAACTGAGCAGTCTGATCACTTGAATAGATAAACGATTGAATGTCAGAGTCCATCACATAGGAGCACTACGATCGATGAACTCGCTGCCTTGCCCTTGCGATCGCCTTGGAACCTTCGCGTCGAACATGTTCATCCATAGCTGAACTCACGACTTGCAGCATAGCGTCGCTCGTGCTATCATCGTGCGCTACTATCACAAGAATTATCGAGATCACAGTGTACAAGTGCTCATCCTCACGCGCGACCGCGGGCCAGTCAGGAAGGGGAAACTCCTCAACCAGGCGGTCTCGAAGGCGACGAAGCAACTCGAGGCATCGTCCGTTGAACGTCAAAAAGTCAAAGTGCATGTGTAGCTCTTCGGCCATGATTCCATAGCGGATAGCTCGCAGCGTATCCACAGGGGTAAGTGTGCAGTTTTCTTTCCACTGCTTCAATATGCGATCCTTATCGCTAGGCTCAGTGAGACTGCCCCCGAGGCCTTGAGCGCAATTTCAATATCTCGGATTACCATCCCAGATTGTCTCTTACCCTTTTTCCTGCTGTAGCGCTCGCGCATGATAGTGAGTAGAGGTTGATTAACCTCAAATAGGCGTCCAGACCTTTTGGAAGTTTGAACCTCAAGAAGATTGCCGTCTTGGTTCCCTTGTGTTTGTTTCAGGTGGGAATTACGGGCGAATACAGACGCAGGTAGACCCATAGCAAGCGCATGACGCTTTGAATACTCTCTCGGGGAGGTAGGTGGCTTCCCGACGAACAGGTAAGATGCGCCGTAAAACTCTATGACTGCTTCCATGTCTGGCCACTCAGCTTGCAGTCGTTTGCTTTGTCGCACAGTATTGTACAGATGCAATACGCCAATGAGACAACGCCATTGATTACACGCCCTCAATCCTCCATAATACATCGTCCGATCGACATGGAATTGAAGGACTCCACAAAGGATTGGATGGTGTTTCAGAATGTAGAAGGGTGTCAAGTCTTCTCGGCTTGAGACAATGTGCGCTTGTCGAAAATCACCGACCGCGTCTTTCTTAATGGTCAGGTCCATGTATTGTCGCAGGAGTCTAAAATTGACCCGCGTTCCAGGGAAGCTACAGTCGGCCTTTAATACGTTGGCGTGAACCTCGCTCTTCTTTATTGCAAATTCTGCCTCGTCTGCCGAAGTGCTTAACTCTTTGAAAGGACGCTGGAGGTCACCAAGTAGAACGAAGTGGATATCCACAAAGATCTCACAGAAAAGTACAGAGGCAACGTGATCTTCTGCGACTTGAAGAAGTCAAAAGCTCACAACTCATCTCATCCACAGGTGACTGATTGCCTCCAGTGCTGAGCATGAAATAGATAAGGTCCGGTAATGCGCGAATGAGAATAGTCTGTACTCGCAAAGAAGTAGGTTCCATGCAAGATTCGGCGCATAGAACGAACCAATCGAACTGGTTGTATTCCACATCAAAATCTGGAATGACTCTTTCTTTGCGGTTATCGCGAAAATGTTTGAGTACGCTGAAAGCCTCGCGGCTGGCAAATGGTGACTCGAAGTCGTATGGATCAGTAGAATAAGCTGCAGATGCAGTCAAAACTTATCTGTGTTGACCAGCGATATTTGGCAGTATGGAGTCGTCTAGCATCATGTGATCCAGAACTTCGGAAGTGGCATGTTTTGGGAAAGCCCGTTCAAAGTCATCATGTAGTCGGCGGATAATGTCGAACGCCATGTTCGCTGTCAAAGCGGCCACAGTTAAAGAGATTCGACGTTGCTGATAGTCTTCCCAGATAGAGCGCACATATTTCCGTACACGATGACAATCCAGCAAGAAGCAGAAACTTGCAAAGGCTCCATCTTCAGTTTCACTGATGCCAGCTTCTGTGATATCTGGTACATGCCCAGGTTTCTCGTATGGCCTGGCTGTCTCAGGATCTGAGACTGTCCTATGGTCGATCTGGCAGATATATTGCACTGGTTCGTGCAGCTCTAAATGGTGGAACCGGTTTGCCAGCGTTATCGGATTGTTTCCAGTGGTAACAGATTGAGTACACGACTCAAGAATGCTTCCAGAAGCGCAGTCTACAGGTGAAGCGCGAAGGGCGTCCTGCACTTCCTCGAGAACGCGAATGAAGTGGTCATGTTTCTCATTGGATGTGATATCCGGTTCAGATCCTTTGAGCTTATGTTGTGCGGCACATTCTTTCCTTGCAGTGGTTACCTGCCCTAGGATGGTTCGAATACGCCGAGGAACCTCAGAGGGTGACATGATGCTCATAGCATGCCTTGCCAGTAATGGTAAGACATGGACTGGTAGCTTCGAAGTTCTTTGAGTGGCATTTCGTGAATCCTGGTGCTTGGGTACCTCATAGCAGGTTTTTTCTACCAACCATCGGACGATCTCCTGTGTGCCAGTTTTGTACTGCTTATATGTGTCAAAGTATGCGTCAGGAGCCATAGCGATTGCTCATGTTAGCCCTTCCTTCGAAGCGCGGTCGATGGCTGCCTTTTTGAATATGATGCATTACCCCGCTCTGCATGCCAGCACACCTTGTATATAGATGATTATAGATAGCTCCATTCCGGCGGCTAACAGTATCTTCTTGATCGCGACAAGCAGCTTGCTGCAATAGAATTGTCTGTTGCACGGGGCTCAGCGGATGTATTCCGTGTAGGAAAGTTCATGCGGTTGTTCCAGATATCTGTCGAATGTATACATGATGCGAGTATGCTTAGGCGGAGGATGACCTGATGTGAAAATTGCGTCGATTCGTCCGATCGTGTCATGTTGGTGAGGCCTGGGGTGGCGCATCTTTTTGACCCCTCGCTTTTCGATGCGGCATAGTATTGATAGAGACTGATTGCCTCGCACCAGTCGACTTGGATTTCAAACCTCAGCATCAGACACAGTTACGAACCTCGACAGGCTGCAGTCGATCTCACGCTTTACAAGTTTGCATATTTGCTTTTACTCCAAAACCATCTAGAAATTTAGGACTATGTTTTGCTTGGGTATCCCACTCGACCACAGGCTGTCAAGAATCATCAAGAATTTCAGACCTCCTCCACGGCAATCACACGATCGCAGTGAGCACTTGAAGCTTCTTTACGACTTTGGAGATTCGCTTTGCTATAACAACGATGAGGCTCAGAGACTGTCGCCACTGGAGTTCGACTTTGCCCTCCAGCTCGCCAGACCAGAAATCACAGGTGGAGTGCTGATCGTGCTTCTTCACCCAGATAAATCACAACAATTCAAGAGTGGGTATCTGACCGAGTCAGGAAAGTGTCCAACACTCGACGCGGTGTTCGAAATCATCGAAGTTGTCAATAGTGGACAGTCGGACGAAGGATCTGTATCCATATTTGACAGTCTCCCCTTCATGGTCGAGAATTATGACAAGAGTGAGACACACAGAAAAAGCCAAGAGACCTTCCTGGAGATGATCAAAGCCAAAAAGCCTGAGGTCGTCATTTCATGCTTTTGGACCGAGTCGCACTTGGAGGAAGTGCTATCTCTTCGAAGATGCG